ACTTGAGGGGGGCACTGGCGGCTCCTGGAGCTTCACTTGTCCTTTAACTTCAGTTGTAACAACACATATCCAGCGTTACCCATCCTATCCCTACAAGCACCGCCCAGGTAGGTAGGTCAGCATCACGTTTGTTCCAGACCTCGTTCTAGAGTGGTCTCACCCACGCCTACTTCTTCCCGGTGAAGTCTGGAGAAAGCCGTTTCATGCCCGCCCGGCTAGAGGAAGTGGAAGTAAGACCGGGGGTCCGCCTTACTTGGACAACAAGTGCATCATCATCCACCCCAAAACCTTACTCGCATGTGCTGGATACCAGTCATAGGTATTCAGTATACATACGTCTTTGTATCCACGCAAGCTCAACCTCCCACCCATGACCACCCCCCTGGCTATGCTCCCTCATCATCAATCCCCAGAGACCTGGTTACACAGTACCAAGTGCACGTACGGTATCTCAGCCGTATTCCGGGTGGCCTTGGAGAACCGGGGTCCTCGTTCGTCTGCTACGTCGAGTTTAGCGGCCATGGTGGGGGTCTCGCGGGCTTCGATAGGACCAGGGCCGGACGGGAGCAGGAAGCCTGGAGTGGGACTGGATTTATTGTTTCTGGGCTGGGCCTGTCTTCCTGCCTGCAAGCGCAGGTTATGGCTCTGGGCTGCTGCAAGTACCTCACCAGCTTTTGCGCACCGTCTTCTCACTCCCCATACGGAGTGAGTGGGTAATGACATTGACAGGCATCGACGTGCAGGGCAAGGTTGCTGTCAAGAGCACCACCCAGCTGGAGTCTGTCCTCGAGGTACGTATTGGACCATGGTATGTAGGTACATCCACTCTCTCTGTCCTAGCTTTCCCGGGATGTGAACCCAAGGAGAGAGAGTCCCATCCGTTATGGAATCCCACAAGGCCTCGACAATGAGTGAACGAGATCTCCCGGCCTGAAATGGCTTACCCATCGATTGGCCATGCCGGATGCAAGACCCCGGCTGCTGTCAGTCTTGTCTCTTTTACATACACATACATCCCACATGTACGGCCCCCAAGGTATAGATATACCATCTTATCCCACCCAGATTTGAACATCCACTGGGCTTGACAATATAATAGTCAGACTAATCCTGACTTACAACATCGCTTCATCCACCTTGGCTTGTCTCACTTAGCCGTCTTCCAACTTCGCCCTTCCCCATTACAACCACCCGTCGACAGATATCCTACCGGCAGAATGGCACTCACAGCTCAACCGTCGGCCCCCGCGGGCTGGGAACGTTGGCCCCAGCACCACCCCAGCAACGACTATGTTATGATGGACGCCGATGTTATGCCTTACAACGCACGGCCTATGACCACAGCACCGATGCAACAACGGCCTTCCTTGGTTCCCCACTATATGCCGACTACATCGATGAGCACAGCTCCCATCAACAGCATCAGCGCGCCAGCGCATTATCAATCACCTGTGTCCTATGGCGGGGGGTATCCGGCTTACTCGTTGCCTACGCCTACTGCCATGAACTCCCCGTACAAGCATCAACATTACCAGGAACGACCATTACTACACATGATCACACCTGAACTTGAGGATACTAGGGGACCGCATCATATCAGGGATGCGAGGCGGTACAGTGAAGAGAGCAGGAGCCCATCGGAGCGGAGCGATTCTCAGGTTTCTACGACGGAAACGACCATCTCGAACCACCCAAGCTGCTCGCGGACCATCACCCCTAATGCCCCGGTCAACGGCGCGGCCCAAGTCGAGTTTAGCACTGCTGTGGACAAGCTCATGAAGGTCATCCAGTCCAAGATGAAGGACGCAGACACCGAGCAGAGCGGTGATGACAAGGACATCAAGGCTGAACAGGTATGACGGACCCTTATTTTGAGACTGAGCGAGACTAACATCTTTTCAGCAATCATCCCCCGATTGCCAGGCAAGAGTGCAGCAACCGGCCGATAAGCACAAGCGTAAGCGATATGAGTGCCAAATTGAGGGCTGCAATAAGAAGTTCTCCCAGAAGACGCACCGCGACACCCATGTTCGATCTCACACTGGAGATAGACCCTATGTTTGCCCTATTCCTGGCTGTGGTGGACGGTTCACGCAAGCTGGCAACCTCAAGGTAAGTCTCAGCCCTACCGTGGCTACAGTGCCAACAAAGTCTGACAAAGTCTTAGACACACAAACGTCGTCACACAGGAGAGAGACCCTACCGCTGCGAGGTATGCGACAAGGGTTTTGTGCAACGTGGAGATGTCAAGGCACACATGAAGACACATCTTGGCACAAAGGCATTCCTCTGCAGACTCGACAACTGCCACAAGCAGTTTACTCAGCGGGGAAATCTCAAGGTGAGAAATACGTCGTTATTATGTCCTTGCTAAGGTGTGAAACTGACTCGGCTTGCTCGCAGTATCACCAAAACAAGTACCACAATGAGACCATCAAGGCTCTCGCCGCCAGATTCGACACCATCGATGATTGGTCGACTGTATCGAAGGAAGACATGGAGATCTTCAAGGACTTCGCCGAGGTCCACAAGAACAGCAACAAGGGTATCAAGGGCCGGGGAAAGCATCGCAAGGTGAAGTCGGTGCCTCTGAGCTCACCCACCAGCCCGACCGGACACTCGCCGCTTCCCAACATCATAGCTTCTCAGTACCCTCTTCCTTCGGCTCCCGGACTTTCGCAACTTCTTCACACTCCTCATCCACTCCACCCTCCCCTCCATCACCAGGGTCCTAACCACTCGGCTATGTACGGCATGCCTCGACCTGGTCTCCATGCCCATTACGAAACATATGATCACCACGAAGTCGATACCGTGGCCAGCAGCCGCGGTTCTGTAGCAGAACCCATTTACCACCACGAGGAGCATCCCCGGGAGCTTGCTTTCGGCGACCGGATGTACTAAACTGCCAGCCACTAAGATGGCGATACGACTATTGTTGTGTTTCGATGTGTACGAAAGGATGATTCTGCTTCGCTTTTCTCTTCACAGCCTTTTCCTTATCTGTATATGACTTGCTCTTCCCTTTGTCATTTCCTTTTTATATCGTCAGGCCATTTCCTTTGTTTGATATCACTGTCTTCGGAGTTCTTGTGTGTTTTTCCTGGGTGGTTCGCATTTGATCATAAATTTTTTCCAGGGTTCGGGGAGGTTGGTGGCAAGCGGCATCTGAATTGGTATTTTGCATCCGTGGTTTGTTGCATAGGGATACTAGTCCCTCGTTGCCTTGTGGCAACCTTGCATATCTTTTACAAAAGGAGTTCCGGAGCGATGGGGGGCAGCGCGGCGCTGTGGGAGCATGACACGAACACAAAAGGAAAGATATGTGTATACAAGGCATGGATGTATTATAAGTGCCGGGGATGATCGGTCATCAGGAGGTAGGATGACTGGCCGGCTGGTTTGACTGGTTGCAAAAAAGGAAAGATACCAATGGGTGGATTTTGATTGCGCAAGAGGAAAGCAAAAAGCAGTTTTTTTGCTAGGAGGATTGGGAACTTTGTTGCCAGTTGTTTACGTACACATATACCAAAAGGGTCGCAGGGCGCTTGGGAGGGTGGTTTAGCCCGTCTTTTTACTATAGTTTATGGCTTGTTGTGGACTTTGTTCGCATTGAATAAGATCACTTTGAGAATCAATCATCTTGTTGATGTTAATGGAAGTGAATTGCACTCTAAATGTGCTCGTCTCGAACTATGAGTGTAGTCACCCTCCTATCGAACATGATAGTCAGCAGCCCTCATCACTTTCCACTCATGACAATACCTAAAACCAAATTGTATCAACATCTCCGCAAAACCAGCAAAAGCCTAATCGACACCACGACACGCATTTACAGTAATTACCTCCAAACCCGCTCCCCAAGCATCCACATATCACCCGACAATTCATCCCCCCCATCCTTCATCTCCGTCAACCCGCGCGGGCAGACGGGCAGAGAATCACACAAAATTCCAACAAGCACGACGTCACCCTCCATTCTGGCAGCAACAATCATCATAGGTCAAGTTGGAAATACCTATTGAGTAATAAAAATTGCGCATCTACAACAAAGTGTCCAACAAGTCCCGTCCTTCTCATTGTCCGCTTGCAGCGAAGGACTAGGATGCCAAGAAGACCCACTCAAGGTCCATCCGTTTAGGGTTAATAAAGCCAAGAAATGAACAACTGATCACAACCACAAAAAAAGATGGACAGGTAGCTCAGGGGTAGAGCGTTCGGCTGCAGTCCGAACGGTCACGCGTTCAAATCGCGTTCGGTCCTCTTCTTCTCTTTTTACATTTTTTTTTGGACATTTGCACATGCACTGGATACCTGACCTTTTTTCTTGAACTGTGAATGTTTTTCGTTCTGACTTTTTGCTGAATTCTTTTTGTATCCTGGCTTAGCTTAGTTTTCTTCATCGGCTTGCGATCCTGCCTGCATGTGCCAGTGCATGATGCCAAAGTTCGTTAGGAAGAAGCTTCGTGGGTTTGTGTCGAGTTGATCTGGAGTGCTTGTTTCGTCTGTATATTCATGCCTTGAAGTCAATTTAACGGGCTTTAGAATACAGTGAGGTTCTTAATCGGGGATTGAAGAAGAAGAAAGGGGGAGAAGGAGGTGCAAGGTGTTGCCAACAACGCCACGGTTAAAAGACCAAGATGAACGGGATGTAGAGACAGTGTTGGGACTTGGGATTGCGTCAATCTCTGCCCGGCGTCACTCCAAGACTAAGAAGCCAGCTGGAGCAGTAGCACCTCTGTAAATTCGACGCTTTGTGTTATAGCTTCGTAGATGGTTGCTATGTACGAACCGTCTGTGACCGCGTACTGGATACGTAGGGTCTGTGTCGACGCTGCAATCATGGGCTTTAGGCTGCGAACTGGGTCCTTGTCAAGTGCTTCCCATCCGGATATCTTTATGCTTGAAACGCTTGTGTAGGTATGTCATGTGACGCTGTTGCGGCCATGGGAGCAAAACTCACGATCAGTCACAGACGGTGATATCAGCAGAGTTGAGGTTGGAAGATGTGAAGTAGCTCATAACATCAGGTATCATGACGGCGGGCCAGCCTCAACCCCGACGTCGTGGCTGTCAAAACCTCGTTTTTGTGAATTCCATGTCCTCTATAGGTTGATAATACATGTATCTAGGTATACACACAATAATACAAGATGATGATGATGATACACAAAAACCGCCCATGGCTGACGGCGGACAAGAACAGCACAGCCAACTCCCTGCCTCTATCCCCATCACGTACCACTCACCCCCTTTCTTAAACACCACCTACCATCTTGGGCAAGTAATACTTGACATTCTCATACACCAAAAACGTCACCCACGTCGCCGGCAGCACCCTCACCACACCAGGCATCATCCCCCTATAAAACCCTCTAAACCCTTCCTCCCTCCACAGCTTCGCCACCACCCCTCCTATCCCGCGGCCAAACAACTCATCCGCCAGATGATGCTGCAACCTCGCCCTCATCACCTGCAACGGATACGTCGCCGTGCCCGCGACCAGTTTGGCGACTGTAGAAAGCACAATCGTCGCCTCGTTCGATATCCTTTCACTCTCCCCATCCAAAGCCACCTCCTCGCCCCTAAGTCGTCGCTTAGCATCCCTAGAAGCGACATACATCCTCCTAGCGGGATCGTACACAGCGAACTGCACCGCCCCATGGCTGACGGCCAGCATGCCCACCCCTAGGCCGCGGTAGAAACCGAGGATCCCTTCGCTTTTGAATAAACGGACGGCGCCGGAGAACATGGACGGATAGGCGTCCGCGGCAAGCCGGTCGGTGGAGAGCATGCGCGTCTTGAGCACCCAGATGGGGTTGGTGATGATTTGCGTGGCGGCGCCGGCGAGGAGGGAGGCGGCGAAGAAGTCGGTGGGGGAGAGGTGGGATTTGATTTGGGCTTGGGTTTCCTTCTTCGGGGTGGTTACATTTTGGGAGAGAGTAGATTCACCTAGAGGTGAGGTTGGCAGCGATGGGGCTAAAGGAAGTGAAGGAGGGGGGGCCTTGAGATGGGCGATGAGTCGCTCGAAACGGGACTTGAAGAAGAAAAAGGAGGCCCAGCTGGTCGCGTTGCCGATGAGGTTCGGGGTCAGGCCGCGGTAGAGGGCGGCGAGGGGCCGGTCGGTTTGCGCTAGACTCCGGAAGACGGAGACGGTGGTGAGCGCTGCCGATGGGTTGGTTGGGCTACTTCGGTGGACTGTTCAAGTTGTTAGTATTATTTTTCCTATGATGAATGAACTATATGAACATACCCTGCATCCGAGTCTTGACAATATCAAGCGGATGAACAATCAGAGTGGCCATAGAGCCGGCCGAAAGACCGGCGACCGTCTCGACGAGAGCCGGGGAGAGGCCCGCATCGCTGGATTTGATCATATGAAGAAGGGGAGGGAAAACACCGGATCCGGTTATGTTAGGTTGTGCTACATGATCCCGAATGTGTGTATCCTAGGTATATCTGGGCCCGTGCATGCGCCGGTGGCCGTGTGATAGACGGCGAAGAACGGCGGACGCGGACGACGGCGGGCTTCGGCAGGAAGTCGGACGGTGCAGTGCTTCTTACAGACGGACCCGGATGGAACGGGTTGATGTCTTCAGTGGAAAATGTTAGTGTCAGTTGACCCGGACAGGCGGGTCGAGACGGCATATGACGCAAGGTACACAAGGGCCCTTCGGCCGAGTGGGACCGGAAAGAAATGGAACAGGGGCGCGCAAGGTGAAATTACTGGCGTCAGTTTACCTGTAACAGCGCGTAAAGCATCATGGAGATGGTGATGATTGTAGTATGCTCTAGGAGTGTTGATCCTTGGCTGCCTGGATCTTTCAAATGTGTTCAAATGCCCTTTTGATTGCACTGTTGGCTTTAGAGCATCCATACGTACATCGGTAACTTGGTTTAAAAACTGGTTAAGCATAGGGCTCATGCCTGGGCAGACATGAAACTTTTAAATATGGAGCTTGCCACTGTCCCATTTTCAACTCTCGTGTAAGTAACGATCACACCGGCGCAACCGTTCAAGAATGATATGTGTAAGCCGGCCTAACACTGTGATTCAGGTGTCGCCTCATGATGATATGTCCTTGCCGCAGATGATGTCTTTTTCCGTGTCCTTCGCTCGGGTTGTTCGATAGAGAGTTGTTTTTGATTATAGTGTACAGTTATCGTGGTATCTCCCGGTCCCAGTCCTCTCCTGACTGCCCGTGTCCCACGTAGTCATGTTCGATCTTCCGGTGTAAGTCGTTTTCTGCCCATCCGGGGCGCCGTCTCGTCATCGTTCGTCCAGAGATAAGCCCGCTTGCAAACAATAGTACTTGTACAACCCAAACTTTCTACCCATAACTCCGATTTCGTTGTTGGTCGTTTAGGAGAGCGGGGAGAGGAGGCTATTTGATGTTAGTTCAACATATCGATCGAATAGCAGCAGTCGAGATCGCTCGTCGTTTCTTTTCGCTCAAACGTACCGGATGACGGAAGGGCGGGGCACGCTGCGGGTGTAGCCTATGCGATGTTAGCATCTTGTCCAGTACGTATTATAAGATGGCAGATGGGGCGCACATACCGAGATAGAGGATCAAAGGCAGGTAGCCACTATGCGAACATCATGTTAGCATCCCGAGATCTGGCAGACGACGGAGCGAACGGGATGCGACTCGGGTGGGAAGCCATACTAGTGAACCACGACCCGCGAGATGTCGATGAGCTTGCCAATGCGCTCCTTGGACTCTTCCGAAAGGGCGAACATCTTGACTGATTTGTTCTGTTTCCGTGTTAGATTTTCGAGGCCTGGTGAGTGGGTTGTGTCCAGTTTCCGTACGTACCTGGAAGGGATGGGTTCTGCGACGAGTGATTGTCTTGACAAAACGCTGAAACGCGGCTCCCACTTTGATGGACAACCAAATTCTGGATCTTTTTGCCGGCACCAGCTTGGGCCGTTCCGTCAGCCACATTGGGGCTGCCAAGAGCAAATTGCTAAACAAACCAGGCTAGCGTGCAAGTGCTACCTGAAAAAATCAGCTAAAAGGCCCATAATATCGACTTTTAGTGGGCAACCTATTGCTCTAAATAGTTATGCATTGTTGGATTAGTAGTAGTAGCAACCCATGCGCGAACCGGGCAGGCAACAGACAGATCTGGACCGCGACTGCACCTTTCGTGAGCTTGTGAACTTGGACCAAAGAATCTCCAAAAGCTTGACATTGCTCCCTGCACCTTAACCTTTGTTTGTAGCCGATATCCACCCCGTCAACAACATCCATACACCTCAAGGTTCTTTTACATCAGTCAAGTTCAAGCAGTCTTTCAGCCACACGAGTGCTACGGCACACGCTTCATCATGTCGAAACACTGGTAAGTCGCAAATCTTGACTACCCATCATCGCTGACCTCGGATCCCCAGTCGCGCTCTTACTAACGCGTAGACTAGGGAACAAAACAAAGATGCGACCGTATACGTCGGCAACATTGACGAACGCTTCACCCAGGAGTTGCTTTCCGAGCTCATGACGCAAGTCGGCCCCGTACGCCAGGTACACATGCCACAGGACAGAGTGTCGCAAACACATCAAGGTTACGGCTTCGTCGAGTTCGATACCCCCGCTTCCGCCGAATACGCAGCAAAAGTCCTCAACGGAATTAGGATTTGGGGAAAGCCAATTCGCGTCAACAAGGCGAGCGCGGACAAGCAAAAGACGGTCGACATTGGCGCCGAGCTCTTCATCAACAACCTCGATTCCCAGGTCGACGAGAAGATCCTGTACGACACATTCAGCCAGTTCGGCCAGATCCTTCGACAGCCCAACATTGTCAGAGACGACAACAACATTTCCAAGGGCTATGGTTTCGTCAGTTTCGGTTCCTTCGAGGCCAGTGATGCTGCTCGAGCTACCATGAACGGGCAGTATCTACTGAGCAAACAGATTACCGTCGAGTATGCATACAAGAAGGACGGCAAGGGCGAGCGTCACGGTGACGAGGCCGAGCGTAAGCTGGCCGCCGAGGGCAAGAAGCACAACATTGTTCCGGAACAGCAGCCTTTGCCGCCCGCTTTCCACATGACGAGGCCTCCTGCCCCCGGCGTTGCGCCTGCTGCCGACATCCCTGCCGGTGCCGTTATTCCTCCCGCCGTCGTGCCGCCAGCTGCCCCCATCCCTGTGGGCGTGACTGTCGCGGCCGCTCCTGCCTATGGCGTTCCTCCTCCCGGTCCTGCAGCTATGGGTCGTTCTGGACCTCCGTATGGTGCTGGAATGCCACCCGCAGGTGGTCGGATACCCAATCTCCCACCCGCACCCTCCGGTCTCCCTGCAAGGCCACCACCCAGTCACGGTGGCTTTGGTGGGCCAGTTGGTGACTTCCACCCCGGAGGAAATGCTTTTCGTGGTGGCCCTCCTGGTCCTCCAGGTCCCGCGGTACCTCCAGGGCCTCCGGCCATGTACCCTGGCATGCCTCCTCCGGCTGGTTTCCCGGGTGCTCCGCCTCTCGGGGCACCTATGCCTCCTCCTGGTTTCATGCCCCCTCCTGGTGCTGCTCCTCCTCCGGGATTCGGTGCGCCACCCGGAGCACCTAACGGGTTTGCTCGGCGTTAGCGGCGTTAGAAGACCGACCATCCAGATGCTTTGTCTGGGGAAGCAAGTCACCAGGAAAATTCGGAGAAGATGCCGGAACTGTCGAAATCCATGCGGAAAAGGATACGGAGATTGAAGGGGAAATTGAAAAGGATGCGGAAGCAGATGGAGAAAGATACGAGCCAAGATTCTGAGATAGTCCAAGGCAAGATCGAGCCTTTGGTGAGGAAGCGGGAAATACGGCTGACGCCGAAAATCACAACGGGGCGAGACTTCCGAGTCCCAAGGTCTCCTGACGGCTGCCATCTCACTTTGCGACATGGGCCTGTTTTCCCGGGTGTTCATCGTAACTCCAAGCGAACGATGGGGAAGAAACCAAAGGCTTGCCATAGGTCTGGTAAGAGGAGTATTCCTCTGTCAGGGAGCCCCGGGACACGAGACAATGAATAGCCTCTATTCTAGGCATATGTGATAGTGCCATTGCAGAGGCCAGCAGTCTCTTCTTGGACCCTGCTCTACACCTGTCGAGCTCGGTTGTTTGAGAATGACGTGGTCGAACAGCGTATGTTGGTTTGAGGATATGTCAGCAAGCCCCGCCCTTTTCTTCGCTTCACATGGCCGGAGGAGCTAACATCAGCACAGCTGAGCCTTTATGAGGTGTCCTTGCCCAGCAGTTATAGATTGAGATTGGCAGGCTGAAGCGGGCATCGGCTAGCTGTACAAGAAGAAGTGGTGTGCTCAATAGCGAAGGCTTCATGGGCAGGTTTGGAAACAAGCCCTGGGTCAAAGTAGAAGAAGGGAGAACAAAAAGTAATAGATACCCTCGTCTGTGAACGGCAAAATGACAGCTTAAAAAACATCAAATATCTCTACTTCCCCTTTCCCATAGAGTGTTCTGGCTCCAGACTGTCTTTGCCTCGCCTCCTTCGTTCATTACTATGATAATTGGCAGTTGGTGGCCTTTCGACGTTTTGATCCGAGTATAAGAACCACAACACCGCCGCTCTTTCATGATGAGATAACCATTTGGGTATAGTTGAGGTCGAAGAGGAGGATGAGACACCTCCGCAGATCTCTCTGGTCAAGGCCACGTTAGGAGCAGATGTCACCTATGTATGTGTGCCGTCCTCGGCATTCGCCGTGGCTCATACCGTTCGTCGGACTGTACCTCAAACCGGAAGGGCAGTTCCTGTTCCCCGATGCGGCAGGTCCAGTCCATGAACGGGTTGGGTTGGTATGACACTCACTGTTGCTGAATCTGAGACCCTTTCGCTGCAGACCAGAGACAGCTGACTAGGTTGTCTTGGGAGCAAATCGGTTGGATGACTACTACCTCCCGTCTATAGCATAAAGATGCCTCTCCCTTTATGTCGACCTGCAGCAGCCTCATCGTCTCTGTTATTTACTACCGCCCAACATGATGCTTTCCGTTTACCTACCTACCTACCTATGGTTGGTTTCACGACGTGAACGATTCCTTCATGATTTAGAATGGATGAATGGCCCTTGCCTTGCCTTGCCTTGCTTTGCCTTGCCTTGCCATTGTCCACTGTTTCAGCCTCCTCAGTCCACCCTGGAACAACTTACAACAAGATAAGCTCCCGGGTGGCTGGAACTCTGATTCACCCGGTACTTTGGTCCGAGACCACCGGGCCGTTCGATCTTGAGCTTTGTTCGATATATACTTAACCTACAACCAGTGTTGAAGCATTCCGTCAAGGAGAATAGTGATGTTGTTATCCTGGAAGTTGCATATGCATATGATGTTTCTTGACGCTTGACGCGGAAGTGATGGGAGAAAAGGATTTGGATCTCTAATAGAGATATGGAAGCTAGAACTATTGTGTGACTTCCACGTCGTGTGAGAACTTGAACTCGTCAAGTCAAGTCTTCAACCCGCCTGCGGCTGTATCACCACCAGCGTCACCGCACATGAATTCCGAATCGGTGGTGGTGGTTTTGTAAAGGTCCATGTCTGTCTGTTTCGCCCCGGGTTATTGCATGCCGATCTTGCCGTCGTTTGCCTTGATCAAATCCATCGAGGCACCCAACCCAAAGTTAGGGTTTCTTCGTCGACATTTGAAGACAAGGACAAGGGGCACGTTGATGATGATGACTTCCAAAATAATGACAGATCGCAAGGCACGACATACGAGACTTTGCCGACTGCGACATATGCACGCGGAAACGCAAGAGAGACCACGAGATGAGTTGCCCCAGCGAATCGAAGGCCATTGTCCATTTGATTTGGCGGTGCCCTCCCGAACCTAGCTGCATGCTATGCTGTTGCTTCGCTGCAGAGTGCCAGAGCAGCACAGCAGTCGTCATTCCTGACTGATTCTGTCGCCGGTTCATCACTGGCCGTGTTCAGTATAATCTCTCTCTGACATTACAGATATTGCAATTCCAGGGCGCCGGTACCCTATTGTAACGTCTACCTACTGTCAAATGTTCGATCATTAGCCGTTGCACACGTCGATACAAACTTCACCACTCTCAGACAACACCAGAGAGGGAGGTATGCAGTGCAGCAGTGCGCCAATTTCTGGACCCCTGCAACCTTGGCGACATCATTGACCTTTATCCTTCCTGGTAACCTTTGGCATCTTTTTTCTCTTTTCACGATCATGATATTATTTTGTTGCGGTCGTGGGACCGTTGGTGATAGAGGAGAGACTAGCCGGTACCGAGCGAGCACGACGTTCGTTGCTCTTCATCAACCCATGTCGGAGGATCTGCCCCGCTGCGCCGCTTGCCTAGCTGTTGGCTCCGTTCGTTCAAAGTTGGCGGCTTTTGAGGGCAAGACATTGTGGACAAGCAACAGTCATCTGAGAATGTCTCACCGACAACCCAGCAAGCTTGTTTGTTGGATACCTCTACCGAGACCGTGAGCTGAATGAAAAACCACAGTTCCCTCCCCTCCTCACCTTCACCGGTTTCGACTTTCGTTCCCGCTTCGAGATTGAGGTGCATTTCCCAACCTCTAAAAGTCAGCAAATTGAGCACATTGGGTGACAATCACATGCCTGGTTCCATTCAGCTAATAGGTAGGGGGTTTAGCGGACCATCTTGCTTGACTGGGCTGTTGTACGACAGTAGTTGTTGTAGGTACAAGCCCTCATTAATACCTCCCGTCCTATAGGCATCATGATGGTGCGGTCAGCCCGAACGTTGAGCAGCAGGATCGCAAAATCCAATACTGGACGGAGGGGACGTGAACGGGACGCCACGACCGGTGACATCCGTCCGTCTTCTTCGCAACGCAACAAGTCCGACGCCGAGCCCGATATGGCTTCGGAAGGAAAGCCGCTATCGCCAGTTCCAACGGACGGCAATCCACGGCACGGACATTTTGAACCCCGCGAACCGATTCGACACCGCTATCCCGTGCTCCGTCTTCTCCACAGCTTACTGCCGGCTCCACGTCCCAAGGCTTCCTCCAAACCCTGGTCCTGAATCCTGCCCATCCCGGGAACTGGTCCGTGCTCGAGTTCCAGGTTGTGGATTCGTACCCGTAGGGAGCAGCTCACGTGGCACAAGATATCAAGGATGTCGTCCAAGACTCCAAGTGAGCTTCTTTTTACCACCAGGATTGCCCTGACGCTACACGCTACGCTCGATAGTGATTTGGATTTGGATCGAATATCCGGAATTATCGTCAGATAAGATCCGTATTGCTGCTGCTGTACAGCGGCGGTTGCCCGTGTTGAATACGGCCAAGCGTGGACGGGAGCGAGGTCATGGGACCTCTCTTTGCGCCGTTTAACGAGTTCTCGCCAGTCAAGTTTGATCGGATATCCACCCGCTTTTGCAGGACCAGAACGGGCGTACAGGCAGGACAGGTACGGTACGGTGCCCTCTCTGTCTCCTTGACCACGCTGACATAATAAAGGTTCTAGACACGCCCTACCTACAAGCCCAAGAGAGGTGGGAATAGTGTTGGGCTGCTGGTAGCAAGGAATCTTCAGTGTGGCCATTTTCCGTCATTGTGAATGGTGTATGTACGCCGTGTACCTAGGTAGGTGTGCAACGTCGTGCTATTGGACGTCTTCTTCCAGCTTTCCAATGCATGTAAATATCGACCCGACACGATTCCATCGAGGAGACCGGTGACGTGAACAGGCCAGAGACAGGTACGAATGGCAGCCCATAGCTTGACCCATGAGTATCGATTATTCGATAGCTGCTTCGGAGAGACGGACGGCGATCCCAGAATTTGTGCTTCTAATCGATCTAAGAAACCTGAAACTGATCACCCTCGGAAGAAGATGAAAGCTCGAAAAGAGAGTAAGCACGAAACTCTCAATGATGCAGATCTTGCTCGATTACTTTCAGAGTTGCAATGGCTTGCGCATGTACGTAGGAATTTGGATCACGATACCTTCATCCTGTTTAAATTCTTTGCCGCTTTTCAACCCCTCCATCATCTCCTGGCCCCCTAGACTAGGCCACATGCCCCTCCTCGCTTCTTGGGAGATCTTCAGGCAGCAGTATACCTTTCGCCCGCACCGTCATACTAATCCCATCGCTTATATCAGTCGATTTCAGAGCCACCAACTAGCTGCGCTTTTGACCTTGGTTGTTGAGATTGATATTTGCAGATCATTTTCTCTCCATATGAATCAAGCTTCATGAACCCTTCTTCGTTATGAACACCATACCAGTGAGAGTTTGTTCGAATGATGTCAATTTGGTTCCCCAGTGTTAGTGGAGTTTGCTGGTAAATGTACACTCTTTAGAAGTTAACTAAAACACTACATATAGACTTCCATAGAGGTATGGTAGAGCATGCTTCCGAGGAGGAGCTTTGGTCTTAAAACCTTGGGTACTAGTATGACCAGACCTTGACACTCTCGGACATATGTATATGCGAGTAGCCGCCAATCGATACATACTAGACCAGGCTGAGTGAGACATGGATCCTATACTTACACTCTCCAACAGATGGGCGTTGAAACCACTCCTTTCGTCCAACGTTCTCGATTCGGCTTTGTCTCATGGATCTTTACCATTCTGGGATAGCTGAGGGTAACAGTTTAAGACAAGCAACTGCCATCCCTTGCCATGTCTGTGGTGCTGGGCCTTTGTTGTAGGGTCGACCTGAGGGGGGGCCTGTCAGATCGGCTGGGCTGGACGAGATGGAAACTCCAGGGTTTTCCGAGAAATGCAAGGGGAACTTGTCATTCCCCTTGCTCGTCAACGAAACTCTCAGCCCCTCCTCCCCTTGTAACTCGAGCATCAGTGTTATTACTGATCTGGTCTAGATTCTCGGGATGGACAAGAGCCTCCTGCCTGAAAGCCTAGGATGCTAGTTAACTCTAGCTCTGTGCCGTCAGATACTCCCTACATATTGTCACCACGAAGGACATTGTCACCACATCGTGGCGTTCTCGTGAGGCGAATGAAGCCATACAGATCTCGTCTGCAAGGCTGCTTGAGACATGCAATCTGCAAAGTTCCCGTACAAGGAACTCGAGGGATGAGAGAGCGCCTGCTTGCTCCGGAGTTTCAATAAGCTCCAACCTTGTACTCGGAAGGAAAGTAAAAAAGATGTGACAGGCAACGGAAAGCAAAAGCGAAAACGCCAAGGACCCTGCATGATCATGTTGCTCAACATCAGCAGATCAAAACCCGTCGTCCGAAATCTCCTTTGCGGTTTCCCTTTTTTTTCTGTTGCTGAGGCTGCCGAGTGTGCATTTATTAGCGCCCGCTCTTTCGTCTCAGAAACGGGCACATGACTGACATTGACGGGCTTCTTCTGCAACAAAAGGCCAGGCACCGCCCTAGGTGGCACCGCATGCGAACAATCGTGTATTGGACGGATTGTCCCGAGTCTGCACCACGTTGCTATTTCCTTTTTTCTTCTTCTTCGTCTTTTTGCTTTTGGTTGGTGTTTAGATGCCTTTCCCGGCACGTGCCGGCCTTCTGGATCGTGATGAGGCAACTGCCACAACACCTCCATCTGAAGCGAAATCCAAACAGATAACCTTGCGGCAGGCAAAAAGGTGAACTGTGTAGAGGTATCGAATAACCATCCAACCGGCTAGACGGCCCCAAAAGCGCTGCAGCGGGGACAAATTGGACATGCACGGCGATGATGGTTGTATATAAACGTAAAGCCAACATATCGAAAAAGAAGTGTTCTGCCGGTGAAATCCCGAAAGATTCATTCAGTAGTGAAAAGGAAGATGAAGAGTGAAAAGCAATGATCATAAAGCAGCATGTAAATACAGTAGCCGCATCTCAGGGCAGGGTAGTACTTACATGGTAAATATCACCGAGGGCGTCGACCCCTATTCTTGATAAAGCCCGAATCTCGAAATCGGTACCTGAATCCGGCAATCCAGCTCTACGGTATGGAGTCATCCATCACCGACCAAGTCGAGTCCGGGCCAAAAGGTCCCAAAGTGCCCCTGGTCTGGCCATCGTTAACGGTCTCAAGACAGAGACAGCTTAGGGTGTTCCACTGGCGATTGTCCGTCCCTGGCCGCTGGCCGCTGAGGCTATTTCCGGCCCCCGCCTCGAGACGGAGTCGCTAGAGCCATAGAGTCGGAAAGAGTCCGCCCAGGTCCGCCCGCCCAGTGCTCCGGAGCGGAGGCGATATTGGCCTCGAGTCCCCTGGAAATCTGCTGGGACTCGCATTCCATATGAATCCTGGACTCACGTCACAGCTGCTACATCCCCGCTGGACGCAGGACGCTTCCACTTTTTATCATTTTTTCGCATCACACGGTACAGACCTCCAACCTCCTGGCGTGTTGCGGCACCCGCCAACAAATAGGAAGGCCCCTGCTCACCCGCAGCCTGCTACGCTACCCGCAAGTCCCGCACCCAGCGAGCACTGGCCACTAGCAAGGAGCGATGCAGCCTCTTTTGGCCCGCACCCTGAACGGGTAACGTTAACGGTATCGACAGGCCTCTTGGGGAGCAGAGGGCCAGTGAGTCCCCGTCCACCGTCAATCCAAGCCCAGACATCCCATCCATGTTCGTGCGGATACCGATTCCCCAAGCGACTGACCCGCAGCTGCTGGATGTATGGAATAGCCTCCTCGCCAGTGTCCACGCCAGTAAAATGCCCTGTGCCCATCTGTAAACAAAAACACCAGACGACATCACGACGTCGTCTCAAATGGACCCTGCCTGCTGATGTTGGTAAACTCCAGGGCAGGCAAAACAGCAGCAGCCACCCCTACCAAACGGCCCCCTTCCCTCTTTTAGTCTGTTTTTAGATTGCTGGGGCCCCGTTCGGTGCGACCAACCAGACGGCGACCATTTGCGCTGCGAGGCCCCACATTGCACGACCTGTTGACCGGGACGTGCGTCTCGTTGCTGCTTCTGGTGCCAAAACCCACCCAGGCTCGACAGGCTCGAGTTACCGTCCTCTCACGGGTTAGGAGTGACGACGGCAATCGTGACCCCTCACCACCACCGCGAGCCACAACTGATCCCAAGCTCGCCAAGTACTAGCCCAAGACCAAAACCAATTATCATTTCTCAAACACACCTTCAAAAAGACCCCGTCGCTCACGTCGCGTCACCCTGCCCTGCGAACCCAAACAAAAAAAAAAGAGTAATTTCACAAAACGACCGACGAGGCTCTGCGTGCGCTCAGCTTCCCCTTGCGCATTTGGAGAAACACCACGACGACGAACGGTAAGTCTGACTAGAGCTTCCATAACTACAACTTCACCTCACCTCCAAGTCCCGTCTTTACCCCTTCTTTTCTGCACTCATATGCACCTCATCTGGCACCGAGCCGACGTCAACACTCCTGTCGCCATCTTCTTCACCCTCTGGTTCTCGCATTCCTCAAATTATCTACACCCCTCGCCCTTTTGGCTCTCCCCCAGTTCTCGGGTTGAGCTTGCTCTCACCTCCATGTCACTGTCACTGTCACTGTCACTGCCATTCTGCCTCCCACAAGGAAAACCTCCATCCCTCCCAACCCTGGCCTCCCGTCTTGTTGCCTCTCCTTCCCAGGTCCCCAGCCCCAACCCCTCTTCTGCCTGCTCTGGTTGGCTGCATCGCAGGTACGGCGCGCCAAGTCGCTGGGCCATCTGACCTCACCAGACGTGCAAGTAGCACTGCATGGCATTGTGCCGTGAATGGGCGGAACGGGTCTTGGTCAAGCGCCTTACAAAGGTCAAGTCCAATTTCCACAAGACGACGCAGCAGCGAGAAGGAATGGAAGGCTTTTGGCTTTGTTACGGCTTCTCTTTGGAAAGGTCATGAGCTAAAGTCAAAGTCTCCTGCTGCTTTCCGGCGGTTTGCTGGCATTGTTGTTGGATTGTGGCCCTTGCCCCTCATCTTGCGCCGGTTGATGGCATCCCCATCCCACTTCCAGTTTCACTCTGTCACTGTCCGGGTGCTGCTGCTGGCGCAATGCTCATCAGAGGATCGAACCCACCACGACACCCGACCCAGGCACAGACAGGTACTTGGTGCACGAATGGCAGGTTTCTCTCTTCTCGCAGGTTTTCTCTAACGAAGTCGCAAACCCAAAAACTCTTAACAAACCCTTGCCGAGTCACGGCTCCCGTCTTGTTGCTGTCAGTGCCAGCCCAGCCATGGCGATGCCTTCTTTTTCTATCATATCGCCGTCGGGTTCAAACAGTTGCAGTGTGCTGTCCACCTCGACCGACGGTAGCAGCAAGCGAGAAGAAGGGCCGGCGAGCCTCGTGGCCGCTCAGCGTTCGATCACACCTCGAGTGCATACATGGTGGCCCTGCGTCAATGGACGTCTTCTGCAGACCACTCACTTGACCTGGCGTGCGGGCGCCTCCCCTCTGCCCACGCTAAGCTCGGCTTGTGTATGGTCGCCACTGCATGGCCCTGTCATTCCCCGCCGTCATTTCATTAAGCTACCTGCCTTAACATGGCCCGCCCCTCCAAGACCTACCTACCTACCTACCTCTACCTTACCTCACTTCCACTCCGTTCCAGTTCCAGTTCCAGTTCGATTGACGTCCGAATTTCGAGGTCGTTCTGCTCTTGCTCTCCATCTGGGCTTGCCTGTATGCACGTTGCACCCTCAGTCTTTCCCTTGCTCAAGCGGACAAGCACAACACTCTCCTTTCATCTCAATCCCGCTTGACGTTCCCTCGCAACGTCCCCGTCCCCGTCCCCGTCCCCGTCTCCACTTCCACTCCCCTTCCTGACCTCTTCGATCAGCATCTCCTACCTCTAGTCCTTCCACTTCCCCTACCCGCCCGCCTCTTCTCCTAAAACGACCTTGTTTCTGTCTCGCGACCAAGTTCAAGTTTACCAAAAACAAACTAAGAGACCCTGTTTTCTAATCGCCTGTGCTGCCGCCTAGACAGTCGAGACAAGCGACAGACCCCTCCAGTCAGTCCACAGTCACGGTCACAGTCCACACCACACCTGACGCACCACCATCGTCCAGCCCTGGCGCACCTTGCCGCATTCCGCGTCCATTACCGCACCTCTACTGGTCCGTTCAGCCCACTCGTCGCTTTCCCGCGCCGCCAAACCACTTCATTCCGTCTTACAACCTTTCCAGCTTGACAGCTCGAGACAACCCCCGGCAAACAACAAAAATACCCAAAAAGCCATCACCGGCCCAGGAGCTGCTACGGACTCAGTACAAAGCAAAGCTTTCCGCATCACATCGCGCCGCCTCGCATTCTGCTTCCATTTCAAACGAACAGGGAACATCACTGCTGCATCCAGGCCCGACGTCAAACCCATCAGCCGTGAACCCAGTTGCCCGGTCTCCACACAACCTGTTGCCCAACACGGCCCGCATCAACCCTTCAGCGACCTTCCTTCACTCGCGCATTGCCGCCAGCAACTCCATCGACGATTATCTCGAGCGATAGCACCGAATCGATCTAAACTTAATTCACAATGGCGTCGAACCGCCCAGCGGCTTTCAACACCCTCCGGATGGGAGGTGAGCATATGGAGTGAGCGGTCGAGTTGAGAGGCAGGACCAATTGCTGACAAACATGTTATCCAGAAGTTATCCGTGAGAAGGTACAGGACGGCGTCACAGGAGAGACGCGGGAGATTCAGTACACCCAATGCAAGATTGTCGGCAATGGCTCGTTTGGTGTCGTCTTCCAGACCAAGCTGTCACCTTCCAACGAAGATGCCGCCATCAAGCGCGTTCTCCAGGACAAGCGCTTCAAGGTCGGTGCAGCCCGTATTGGACGTGTCTCGAGGTCTATGAAACTGACAGGCACATAGAACCGCGAACTTCAAATCATGCGGATTGTTCGCCACCCCAACATTGTCCAGCTCAAGGCCTTCTACTACTCGAATGGCGAACGTGTAAGTCCCCAACGCATTGGAGCTCGTGGTCATGCTTGATACTCATTGTCTTTGTAGAAAGATGAGGTGTACCTCAACCTGGTGCAAGAGTTTGTGCCAGAGACCGTTTACCGAGCTTCGAGGTTCTTCAACAAGATGAAGACCACTATGCCGATCCTGGAAGTCAAGCTCTACACCTACCAGCTATTCAGGGCTTTGGCATATATCCACTCTCAAGGAATCTGCCATCGCGATATCAAGCCGCAGAACCTCCTGCTTGATCCTACTACCGGTGTACTCAAGCTGTGCGACTTTGGCAGTGCAAAGATTCTGGTGGAGAACGAGCCCAATGTGTCCTATATCTGCTCGCGGTATTACCGTGCACCTGAATTGATCTTCGGTGCTACCAATTACACAACCAAGATCGGTAAGTTCTATTGGGAGCACCAGCCCCGTTGCACATGTCTCAGACATTGGCTAACCTTGTTGCGCAGATGTCTGGTCTACTGGATGCGTAATGGCCGAGCTCATGCTTGGACAGCCCCTCTTCCCTGGAGAGTCTGGCATTGACCAGCTGGTGGAGATCATCAAGGTCCTCGGAACACCTACTCGGGAGCAAATTCGAACCATGAACCCGAACTATATGGAACACAAGTTCCCTCAGATCAAGCCTCATCCGTTCAACAAGGTTTTCAAGAAGGCCGACGCTGATGCTATCGACCTCATCGCCCTCCTTCTTGAGTATACCCCCACCGAGCGTCTGGCGGCGATCGATGCCATGGTCCATCCCTTCTTCGATGAACTCCGGGACCCCAGCACCAGACTTCCTGACTCGAGGCACAACTCTGGAACCGTCAGGGATCTGCCACCGCTCTTTGACTTCACCCGTCATGGTATGTACTTTTCTCGCGTATCATCTTATGTTGAAGGAACTTTAGGAACTGACGATTTTATCTCTTTACAGAGCTATCCATCGCCCCTCAGCTCAACCACAAGCTTGTTCCTTCGCACATGAGGCCGGTTCTCGCGTCGAGAGGACTCGATATCGACAACTTCACTCCTATGAACAAGTCGGAGATGATGGCGAAGTTAGACTGAAGCTGATCTCGTTTCGATACTCAATATCGCCAATCCATTCCCGAAATATGAATGTGGACGATTTGCGCTGTGTTTTCCGAACAGCAGAGCGTTGCCTAAGATTTCGAAGCAAGCGGTTTGACTCGCCGATCCGATTATGACCCAAAACCGAAGAACAGATATTTCTGCGTCCACCTGGACGAGACGAAAGCGATTTCAGACTACGGCATTATCCGACACACAGATACCCCTCGTCACAGGTGCGCTGGAACAACCGTGCAAAAATTCGTGCCGGCCTGGAGGCCGAGAAGAGCCCGGGACAGCCAGAAACGTCTACGAGCAACTTCCCTCAGCGAAAGGGACTGGTTCACAAATTGCTTGGTTTCATGGGAGGGTACCCTCGAGAAATGTTATGGACTACACGTTTTTTAGATTTCTTATTTTTCTGCATGACCGGGATGGCTTTTGCTTATTCTTGCCTCAGACCTTTCGTTCGGCAGGAGCGCTCTTTATTCCCGTGGCAGGCGTCCACAAGATGGAAGGCGGAAGGCGGTAGGCTGGGAAAGCTTTGTTTGCTTTGTGCGACCTCGTCGGACACTGGCCACTCGCCTGGTTGTTTTGGGTTCTGATGGAAAGATGGAAGGAAAGATGGGCGGCATCAATGATGTGATGGATTATGGCATATAGGTTAACAGTGTTGGAGTGGGTGATACGCTACGGAGTGATGAATGGAGGTGGGCATCTTGATGTTGTAAGCTTTGCCTGCTATAACGAGTGTCAGCGAGGTTATGAGAAGGATGGGTGGTACCACTTTGCGTGTCTCTTGTGTGTCTCTGTGCCTGTCTCATGTGTCTGTGTCCTCGGGGTGGGCTGCTGAGGGGTCCCCAATCGGTCTTGAGAGGGTGAACGATTTACGATGAGTGTGACGGATCAGTGGTTCACATGAATGGGTGACAATGAAAGAACTGGATGGATAGATAGTTGGATGGCAACCGGCGTGTCTAGGTTTCGGCTCAGGTACATGGAGTTGTTTACCTCTAGGAAAAGGGTAGATGGTAAAAGCGGTGGAGTTCATACTCGGGTTCAACTTTCTGTTGATCACGACCTTTCTCTTCTGGGTTGTGTTGTTGTTTTGGTATTATTAGGGCGTCATATAAAATTCTAAGAGGTTTCTTATCAATTTCCTAGCTTGACGGTTTTGTTGGCTTGGAGCTGCGTCGTCCTGATCATAAGCTCTGGAAGGTCGATGTTGTTAAGTGTAACTCTGTGCGAATATAGGCACCAGTGGGCAACCTTGAGAGGTCAATTGCCCGCCAGGACGGATTCGACAACCATAGCATAACCAGCTTCAATTTCAAATGTGTAGATTACTAAATCCTTCTTATAATTAGGCATGATAATCTCCACGCTCAAGTTCCTTTCCATGCGGTCATCGCTACTCAACAGGCCCTGCAACTCAGTACCATGAAACATGAGATCATTCACACTTATAGTCCGTGCACTAAAAGCGTAGGTCTCAGAAAGCCACCAATCGCGTCGACGCGGCAGGCCCAAGTTTCAAAGCGTCCCTTCCCCGTAGCGTTCCATTCTATCAATTAATCCCAGCCTGCCAGCCGCCAACCACCAGCCCTGTCTGAACTTATTCCTCCCGTCGTCACGTAACGCCAAAACATCCACCATAACCATTGCCAGGACATTGGTGTTTGTCCTGTCCTCCTACATCTTTTTTCCTCTCACATACGTCTCAGTATTATTTGATTTACCATATTTGACACACCATGGCCGACTACGATCGCAGAGGCGGCGGTGGTTACAACCCCAAGAAGCGTCGCTATCGTGGTAAGTATTCCCGGCTGTCTTTCCTACAAGTACACAATCTTCTGTTCGTCTCAGCCTCGCGGCTTGCTAAGCTTCATGTCCAACTATTCTTATTTCATTGGCATTTCCCTGCTTGAACAGATTATAGCTAACGGCGCGTTCAAATCCAAACAGACGACGACGATGGCGACCGTCGCGGTGGCCCCCGAAGACGCTTCGATGCTCCTCCCCACGTCCGCGTCCGAAAGCAGCTGCTCGCCATCGCCGAGAACCCCATGCGCCCCTGGCACGAGGAGGTGCAATCGATTGCCACCCTGTTCACCGACAACTGGGACGACGAACTGCTCCGTACCAACTTTGTCGACCTCGTTCTCCAGCTTGCGGTCGAGCAACCCATGAAGACGCCGTTCCTCGCCGCCGTTGTGCTCGTCGCCAACACCAACAAGCCCCAGATCGTCGACATGCTTCTCGCCAAGCTTACAAGTACCCTTGAGACTAAGATTGCCGAGGGTGACTGGCGGGATGTGAAGCTGTACCTGAAGCTTGCGGGCTGCTTGCAGAGCTGTCTGGAGGGCGATGGTGTCTTCCCTGTGTTGGAGGAGCTGTTCCTCCGCGCTGTGGACTTGCAGACTGCCAGTTCCGAGGATGTGAGCTCTCTCGCTTGGTTTTGACTGGATTCCTGGGTTGATTGGATAGCTGACACGAGTGTTGTAACAGACAATTGGTACGGAGCTTGTTAAGATCATCCTCCTTACCCTACCATACGTCATGGTCACTGGCCCGACCCAGTGGCAACAGAAGGCGGCGGATTTGATGGAGAAGACCGAGATTATTGCCGGCGAGGCACACCCGCTACAGGCCTTGATCGAGCCATACCACCCCGAGGCCGGCGACCAGAGCCCTGTTGCGTCCCAGAGTTTCATCAGCTTGCTGCAAACCCAGCTCCAGAACGAGGCCAACAACGGGTGGGCCTTGACCTGCCTCCCGAGGCCTTGGGAACTCCCCGTCGAAGAAGTCGAGCAGCAAGAGAAGATTGCCAACGCCGAGAAGCACACCCTCCCGCCAATTGCCATTCCTCAGACAGTTGTTGCTGGGCCTCGGCCTCTGTTCCCAGAAATCTACTTCTCTGTATACGCCAACCAGGACGTCGAGTCGACGCCCCCTCTTACGAATATTGCGGCCTCCCTAATTCGCGATGCTCTTATCGACACTATCAATGTCCTGAACTTTAACCGCAACGTCACTGCTCGTTTCCTCATCGAACTCGACTGCTACTTCGCACCCCGAACATTTGCCGCCAGAGCCACACCTTTCGATAAAATTAGAGAGATTGAGCCTCCCAAATCCAGCTGGAAGCCAGAGGATGTCGCCGTCGACGCGGTCTTCTCGCAACTTTTCTCGTTGCCCAATCCCGAGCACAAGCTCGTTTACTACCATGCCGTCCTTACCGAGGCTTGCAAGCTGGCACCGGCTGCCATTGCTCCCAGCTTAGGTCGTGCTATTCGTTTCCTTTACAGAAATAGTCACCGCATGGACCTGGAGCTTTCCAACCGGTTTATGGATTGGTTTGCGCACCATCTGAGCAACTTCGGATTTACCTGGAAGTGGACCGAGTGGGTGGACAATGTTTATCTGTCCAACTTGCACCCGGACAAGGCGTTCATTATGGGAGCCATTGACAAGGAGATCCGCCTCAGTTTCGCTCAGCGTATCAAGAACACTCTTCCCGAGCCTTACCAGCCTTTGATCGGGCCTGAGAAGGAGAAAGATGTTCCTGATTTCAAGTTTGCGGACGATAGTAAGTTGCAGCATTATCGGATATACTTATTCACTTGATACTAACACATCACAGAAACCCCCTTTGCCGCTGAGGGCAAGGAGATCGCCGCTCTTCTCAGACGCAAGGCGCCCGAGGAAGAAATCGAGCCCGTCATCGAGCGCATCCACTCGCTCGCCCTCGACAACGGCCTCGACCCTCTCGTGGCCAGCACCGACGTCTTCGTGACCTCGGTGCTGCACGTCGGCTCCAAGTCGCTCTCGCACGTCCTCGCCGCCATCGAGCGCACCAAGGAGCGCCTCACCGACGCCGGCGCCACCTCGGAGGCCGCCCGCACCCAGATCATCTCCTCGGTCATGGAGTACTGGTCCGCGCACCCGGGCGTCGCCATCGCCATCATCGAGAAGCTGCTCAACTACAGCATCCTGACTCCACAGGCCGTCATCAACTGGGCCATTACCACGTACGCGGGCGCCACCCGCGGCGAGGCGCTCGCGAAGGGTTTCGTCTACGAAATGGTCTTCAACACCGTCGTCAAGGTCACCTCCCGTCTGAGGCAGGTGCTGCAGAAGGCTACCCAGCCCGAGGCCATGATTGACGACGAGACCATCGAGGCCGAGATCAACGGCATGCGCTCGCTGTTCCGCGCTATCGAAGATGCCCTGGTCGCTTGGGCGACGGGATCCAAGGACGAGATGATTGAGGCGAGCGATAGCCTGGGCGAGGGCGATGGCAACAGCGAAACGGAGAAGCTCGTCAAGAGGTGGGGCGAGCGCTGGCTTAGGGTGTTCAAGCGCAGAGCGGCGATTGAGGAGGCGTTCATTGTTGAGGCCAAGAAGGAGAGGGAGAGAAAGGCGGCTGCTGCTGCTGCGGAGCCGGCGCCGGCGGCGCCGGCACAGGCGGATGATATGGTTGTTGATTCGGGTGATGTGGCTGCTGAGGCGACTGCGTAGATGTTGCAATGCTAGTTTCGTATAGCATTAAGCCTCGGTAGTATCCGAGGTCATAGTAGAATTCGGTGGTTCGAAGGGTTTTTCTTTTTTTCGTGCTCGTATTAAATAAAGGGCCGGTTCGGTAGTTTGACTGGATGAGGTTTTCATAGCGTTGGCAGGGAGGAGGTACATAAAATGGAAGTTCAGTTCAAAGATCTGTTTGTGTCTTTTCTGGCGTTGGGCTGTGAAGATGGTAATCAGCTGAGAAGAGTAAATGATGCTAAACATCTGACTGAGCCTTGATACCCAAAGCTGCTGTTCACTGAATACACACAACCTTCGTCATAACCTCTTAGACGGGAGATAATGTTCTCTTTCAGTTACGTTCCATTCAATAACAGTTTCCCATAACCTAACGTAGCCTACCTAACCCGACGCAAATTTAATGGTAACTCAAAGTCATTCATTCCCCATCGATCATTCGTCTTCCCAACCTAGCTCCCCAAGTTCCCATAACCCGTTCCATATCAATAAATATACATACGTCCCGTCGTTCCACTTCATCCCAACTCATCCAATTCATAATGATAACGAAGTTAGGCCCAAATTACCAGGATGCTCCCCAGAATCATCTCCAAATCTATCCACAGAGTCCATAGGATGATGCCCTGTCCACCCACTCACTCACACAACGTTATTCACCCCTGCGCCGGACTGGAGGGGAGTTTCGTCAGACACATGTTTGCTGTGAGGGGGCTTGGCTGCTCCGTAGAGTATGTGTTTGGTAGCAATAGGTAGCGTGCGGGCTATTTCTCTGTTTGTGTGTGTGTGTATGTGTGTGCGGTGGTGATCTCGAGATGATCAGGTAACCTTTCTCCGACTTACAGGGCGAGGTTGTAAGAGTATTCGTCTTCCATGTTTTGGGAGATCCAGAGGACGACGGCGCTGTTTTGGGGGAGGGAGAGGTTGTTAGCTTATGTTCTTCACAAAAACCCATCTTTTCCCCTTGCTTATTTCCTCTTCACCCATACGTCACCACCTTCCCGTCACCCCTTCCTTCCCTTTACCACTCTCTTCACCTTCTCGCCATCCTCTTCGTCCTCTCTCTCTTTACCCTCTCTCCTCTTTTTTCTTTTCATCTCCACCCCCTCCCTTCAACATCACTCAAAGAAAAGAATCAAAAAAAAAAAAAAAAAAAACTCACCTCAACCCAACCAACCCATTAGCAACCAAATTCTCCACCCCCATCCTCAACGCCGGAAACCCGACATCCTTCACCACATACTTGAGCACAAACACGGTAACCCCACCCGCCATGCCACCAGCCAGGGACGCGAATCCCAAGAACAGCACCACCCTCGCCTTCCAGGCCACGCCGGATCCGCTATAGGAAAAGCTATCTTGCGAAAGCCGCGCCTTTTCGACGCTGTTGATGATCAACATCCCCAAGGTGGAAAAGATGAAGGGCAGCCAGTCGACGAAGCGGATGTGCACGTCTGAGGCGTTGAGGGGGGAGTGGGACCAGACGGCGGAGTCGAGGAGGGTGTAGAAGGCTAGGGAGAACTGTTTGTCCAAAAATGTTAGCGGGCTGTACGTGCTGTACGTGGATGCCTCGGAGGTGAGTGAGGAAGGATGGGCGGAAGAGGGAGGGAGGGAGGGAGCGAGAGGGAGTCCGGTTGTGATGTGATGTGATGTGGGAGAAGAGGCTGTTGTTCTGCTGGATATGTACGACAGACACATGGAGCGAGCGAGAGATCATGACATGGCAAGATCACGCCAGGTCCGGCCGGGGAGGAGGAATAGATAGAAAAGAAGAAAAGACGTACAAAAGCACCAGCAGCATAAACCCCCGCGTTCCTCGCCCACGCGCTGTTAAGCCATTCAGGCTTGGAGAATCTGAAGAGGCGTTCTTCCGACATCGTCATTTGTTTGTTGTGTTGTGTTTTCTGTGTGTCTTTCTCTCGTGTGCGCTTCAGTTCGCTCGAGTTATGGGTCTCGTCCTCGGTGCTGTCGCAAGTCTAGGTAGATGTATGTGACGATGCGATCGCGAATCGGTTGCGGCAGAGGACGGGAGTTGGTGGTAATCAGCTGAGCTGAGCTGCCTGTCGTCCGTCGGTGGTGTTGGTCGCGCGGTAGCCTTGGTTGTAGAGATGACTGCGTACGATTGCGGTCGTCGTCTATCAGTCGGTCGGTCGGTCGGTCGGTCGGTCGGTAGCGTAGTTGACGTGAAGTCAACGTTGAAGGTCGGCTAGGCTGACACAAGTCGTTGGCAGAGCTCGATCTGGAACTGGAGGATGACGACGTCCGCACGCCGTGGTGCCAGGCGGGCTGGCGGGCAGATGCTCCACTGAAAGCAGGGACCCGTTGTCCAATGGCTGTGGGTCAGCCGTCCCAAGGCTGCGGTCTAAGCGTTTGAGTCGCACGTGACGCCCTTTGTGGTGACCTCTTGGATATTGACTTTGTTATGTTGAAGTTGCACCGATATACCAACGAGGAGTCAAAGGATGTTTTTACGCTTTGTTAATTCTCTGCCTACCATGCCTATACCCATCCTATGTACATACAAAGCACTGCCTCCCAACCTCCCTCTTCGAACCCCCCACTAATAACTGTCCTAAACAAATCAACGCCTTCCGACTTCGATGAAAACACAGCCGACGGTACCAACTCAAGCATCCGAGTGTGAACTTCCCCCTCCCTCACGACTAACAACCAGCCAGCGACAACACCATGGGAAGGAAGTAACCACAGTCCCCCTCCAGAAGACAAGACAGCTCGGATGCAAAAAAAGACAGAAAGAGTTATTATGACGCTATGCGGTGTAATAGTAAACAATAGTGCAAAGCTGAAAATGTCTTCTGCGGGCGTCGCGGGCAGAGAGCAACAAGGCCCCCACCCGCCAGTCGAAGTCAAATGATCCCCTTTTAGTGTACATACAATACTCAAACTCCAGCGGCGCAATGAGATCCTCCCTCGACTATCCCTCTCCTTCGCCAAGCAAAAGAGAGATAAATGCGGGAGAACCCATGCACCATGAAAGAACCCGATTAGACAATTAGAGACTAATCATATGTTGGCGAGGAAGAAGTAATCGGAAGAGAATGATTCGTGACCTGCCCCTTCATCATGCGATGGCCCTTTTTTTCGGCCAAGAAAGGACATCTATGTGTCTCCAGGAGGCGTCAAAAGCCGACGAGTCCGTTGGGTTGCTTCGATTTGTCCCTTTTTAAATCTCGATATCCTTCATGTCCTCGCCGAGATCTTCAACTGTCGGTTGCTTGTCCTTGGACTCTGTCGCCTTTCCGTTCGCCTCGGTTTCGGGCTTCTTCTCCTTATCCTCGTTTGTCCTTTCCTTCGCGGGAGCATCCTCCTCGCCATCAACCTTGATATCCTCCCTGCTGTGCTCTCCGCTTGTCCTTGGGGTGTTTAAGTCCATCAAGTTGTCGGCCTTGGCCTCAGTGGAAGCATTGCTGGCCGTAAGAGAAGTTGTGGGGGGTGCTTCCTCAGCAACGCGCGCCAATGGGCTTGGCTTTCCATAACCTGGCCGGATGGGACTCGCCATTGGCGAAGTGCCGGTGAGACGGTGTAGCGACCGGCCACGAGGCTCGTTGTGGTCTGTTGGGCTTTGGCTTTGGTAAGGAGAGCCGGGCGTAGGGGGAGAGCGCATGCCGGAAGCCGAAGCCATGGAAGGCGCCATGGACTTGCGCTTGTTGGCTGTGCGGCCATACTTCTGATCCATCCTCCACCTCAAAATCTCGAAATAACCCGGCTCAACACGGGTCGCCTTAAACTCACGCAGCTTGAGCTCGTTGGTGTCCTCATCGACGAACCATTTCCCACTGCTGAGATCATCCGCAACCATGGCAAGGAAGTGCGCCCACGAGCGAGCCACAACATACTTTATGTCGTAGTCGCGACCGAAGAGGATGACCTGACCCCAGTGGCCCCTTGGTCCAGGTGCCAAATCGACAGCCAAGTTGTTGCCGCCCCAGTCACGGACGAGGGGAATCCAGGCAGGGTGGGCATAAGCCTTCTGAATCGCGAGTGGGGGGACGGAGTCCTGCTTGTTGAGAAGCTCTTGTCGCCAGTTTTGATTGCGGTTAGGGGCATCCTTTGACGATGAGGCCTGAGCGGCAAATGCTTGAGATTGTCGCTTGACGAGCACAGGATCCAGCATAAACTCCTGGTTCACCGTCTTCCAGTTATCCCACTCCTGAACCATCTCCTCGCAGTCGAGCAACATGGCCCCGAAGATAATGCCGGTGGGAAGACCACCGCGCTCCTGACCGTCGTGGATTTGCAGTGATTGCCTGAGATCTTGGGGAAGCGTGCAATCGAGCTGGTATTCGAGTTCATTCAGATCGTTGACGGTGCAGCCCTCGCCAAGTTGGTCGAACAACTCGGGATAGTTGTCCTCGGCCCATCTGTCAATCTTTTCCCAGGAGCTGGCAACTGGTGGAGGAGGCGGGCCGCCATTCTGGAAGTTCTGCATGGGAATCTCGCCGGTCGGACTGTGCACGTCGAAGGCATCCTGGTGGATGGATTGTCGTTGGCTCACTAACCCGGGCGAATAGGGGCCACCGTTGGCGGGACTCGGCATGGGGGATATGGCGCGTCCGCCGTACGATGTGTCGAAGCTCATGGTAGAACCACGGCCATCTCCTTGGAGATAGGGTGAGTTGATGTCGGCGCGCGAATCGGAGGCAGTAGTAACGCCCGCAAGACCGGAGTTCCGGTTCAATGGGACATGACGTCTGGTTCCGTAAGGAGAGTCGATTCCGGCATCTGTTTCCCAACCATCACATGTAAGCGATCGAACGAAGTACGGGTAGGGCGGTAAGGGGGTTACTAACGTCGATCATAACTGGTCATAGTATGCCAGATGTCCTTGAAAAAGCTGGTAGAAGAAAGCATGACGCTCGTCAGCCAGGAACTCTCTTTTCGCAAATGTACTGCTGCAAGCAGTGTCGAGCGGATTGCAACTTACGCCATTTTGGGCAATCAAGTGGGAGGTGTATGCGATCGAGGCTCGAAATCGGTAGAAGGAATTGCACTGGTCTTGCAATCCGTCGTTGTGACAGGAGAGGACAAAGGACCAGAGTCGAGAATCAAGGGGGGGATTCCCTTGATTAGTCGACGCGCCGTCGGCCGAAGCTGCTCGGCGGATTAGAACAAGCGTCGAAGGCTCCGGAAACCGCGTCGAAGATGGTGGACCCGGTAACCCGCACTTCAGCAGTTGTTGTGCTTATCGGTGGCCGAAAAGGTGTTATCGTCGTCGCCTTTCTCTCCAAGTTCGTTGCTCGGTACTCGTGTGCAGACTGTTCGTGGGATGGGTGTTAAAGGGCGGCCGTGGCGTAACGCCGAGTGGAAAAGTGTAAGGGCAGTTGGATGGCTTTGCGGTACCTTTTACTGCAGGAAGCTAGGATGTTGCAGGAGCGGCCTCCTTTTTTTTGCGGACCAAATGTTGCTGCAGCAGCGCAGGTGGTACCTGGTACGGGGCTACCCGAGCGCGCAGAGGCTTTTTTAGTGGCAGGTTTTTAGTGCAGCTGCAGTGGCAGGGGGGTGTTTGATGGAGAACAATGGCGGGACTCTTTTATTGAAGACTTTCCACTCTTCTTGTTGCCGGGTGCACAACAACGACAACAAAAACAACAACAACAACAAAACAATCGGGCGAGGGATAAACGAGAGTGAGTGTGGACGTGTGGTGGGTTGGAGAAGTGTAAAGTGGGAAAAGATCAGAACGAGCGGTGCATCCGGGCTTTGATAGAATCCAAGCAGCGATGATGTAGTGGGATGCAGTGGACGGATGCCGGGCGGGCGGTCAAGGTGCTTCACGAGTGTGAAAGTTCAAGTCTGGGCGAGACCCAAAGAAGGGAAGTGCAAGTCGCGGTGACAAAGTGACACCTCAGCAACGAAAGATGGAAATCGAAGCAAAAAAGCAGGAGTGGAGGGCCAATTTCAGACAGGGACGAGATATCATTTGTTGGCGAATGCACCCCACCCCTTTTTTCCGCCCTTTCCAATTCTCCATTCTCCCCCTTCCAATTGCATTGTCCATTTCCAACTTGTGCTTCTCCATCCCTCCCGTCTCGGCATTCCGTCTCATTGCCCATTGCCCTGATATCTCTCCAACGTGGTACTCGTCAGGTCTACAAAACAGACCGTCTGACTAGCGGCGGGCCATTGTTGAGCTGGACTATCCGGGGTTTCCACTTAGTCCCCCGTCTTCACATGGTGGGGATGGTAGTAATGCCATTCAGCGGGGGACGGGCAGAACTGAGTGCGGACTTGTCGGACACTGGCAGTGACCGCTGAGTGCTGATCGGTCATCGTTGAAGAGTACAGGGGCAGATGATGACTGATGATTGATGATTGCACATGTTTGTCTCCGATACGGCTGCCATCCGTTGTCCGCCGGGTGATCGTTGCTCGCAAGACCCCGAACATACGAGAGCAAACCGCCGTGATTGTCGACGACGATGACCTGTCCGGCCGGGCCCTCTTCCGTCAGCTCGACAAGCCTGGACTGCCGTTGCGACTGCGTGTCTCCAGCATTCAGGGACATTAAGGTGCAAGCATCATCCGTCATGCGCCAAGCGCGATGCCTCGGTACTTGAGTTGACTATCAGATTTATGCTTACACTCAGGTACCTCTCTATCGTGCGCAATCTCACCTACGGCGCACAATGCCCCTTGCCAAGACATTTTAAGCTTTGCCCTTGGCCCTTGCTCAAACGCATTTCCCACCAACACCAGGGACGTCACTTCCACTTCTCGATAATAACCACCTGCCCCAAGTCCTTAACGCCCCTTTAATTACTGACGGAATACTACAAGAAATCGTTGGGCACCGAGAAGATTCCATTGCGGGTCCTGGACCCTTTCTCTCTTTGCCCTTGCTCAATACCCTTGTTCACTTTTATCATATGCAATTCACGACAGCAACGCAACGGCAACTTTTAGAAAGAGCAGGTGATCCCTCCCAAGATCGCTCGCACTTAGTCGCCTCGCACGTCGTACCATCCATCTCCCGTCCGTCCAATGGGATGAACGGTGATCTCGTTTCATAAAGAGAGCGCAAGTCTCGGGACACGCGAAACAGAGACAGGCAGACAGACGGGCCAGCCAACCAGATATCGGTACTGCTCTCCCGCATGTTGTGCTCCCATAACTTATACCCAAGATGATCTAAATTTCTTGATCAGTACGCATCACACTGCACTTCCTACTACCCGGCGGGGTCACAACTCCCTCACCTCACCTAGGACTCCCGGCCGGAACCTAGGTCTCCATCTCCATCTGCTTCGCCATCAAGCATAAAAAGCATCAGGCTCGCGAACCGTCCAGACCTCAGACTACACCGGGATTCCCTCAGTCAATTGCCATCCCTTCACCCACACATCCATCCCTCTTTCACTATCCACTACATACGGCATCCCCGGCTCAACCGCCCAACTTTAGTCATCGGTTCAAGACATTACATAGTTTCGTCTCGCATCTAGTAGTGAACTAGACATAAATAGTACCACCTACCTCCACGTTATTTCGCTTTACCTCTCTTACCCAAAAGTTGAAAGATGGATCCCCATCCCCCTGAATTCCGGATCTTCAACACTCTCATTCCGTGCTCCCGTGGTGTTCCCGTTCTCCCCTCTCCCATCTTTTTAGTGTACTGTAGGCCCTTTTGTTGATCGGATCATGCAAGTCATCACTATTCTTTTCTGTGTGTGTACTGTATGCAATTCCCCGCAAAACATGTATGTGTGCTTGTTGTTGCCACACTGCGGCTGGCTGCTGTATAACCGTTGAGATTTGAGAGAGTTGACCGATCTAAAAGAGCAGCTTTTGAGCCCTGCCAAGTGCTGAATGATGATCAGGATGGATGCATGTAGCCGCTCATTCAGTCAGTCAGCTGTGTGGCCATCCATCTGCTGCCTCAAATCATTGGAATAGGTTGTGTGAGCCTCTCTTTACGCCGCAACATGGGTTAAGGCAAAGGGCGTAAAAGTGTTTGTGATATAACCCCCCTCCTCCTGTATAACAACAACACGCGGGACTCCCTACTACTACGAAGAAAAAGCACACCTACTGTAACTAAGCTATATCAACAACAGTCTTCTATTCGTACTTACTTCTTCCTATCTATTTAACTCCCGTCTCCAGGATGCCTGCCTGCCTAAGTACACATATCATACTTACTAGCATCGTTCGTCTTACGCAAAGCCCACGAGAAGCCCACGAGGGCAGGCAACTAACGCCCCAACGCTGCAGATCAAGTTAGAGTGAGTGGCATTTGCATGACCTGTTAATGGCACTGACCCTTCATGCAATCATGTGCAAAGTGTGCATACACGAAGGATATGCAGAGGTATGCAAGAAATAGGCTGCTGCTGATGCTGTTTTGACAACAGTACGTATGGCACAGATAAGGGTTCTCGGATCCGAGGGTTTGGCTCAGATGTTGGAGAGGGGAGAGGGGAGAGGGGAGAGGGGAGAGGGGAGAGGGGCTCGTATTGTGGGGGATGTGCATATGGACATGAGCTTGTCGTCAGTTATGGGCATTTGACTTCGGCGGGTTAACGAGTGACGAAACATGCTTGATATGTTTAAGTTAACAACACATCCAATGTCACAAAGGGAAACTCACCTATCTTGACAAGCTTCAAGTGACGGTTTGACAAGCTTCAAGTGACGGTGAGTGGTCAAATATTCACGTCAGGTTTTTGGTGAAAGGATAACAGACAGAGAGAGGTGAGAAAAAGAGGAAGAGGGATGGAAGGGCCGCGGCACAGAAGACACCCACCCAAAGCGGAAGAAAAGATCATGAAAAGAATAAAAGAAATTAAACTCATAAATTATCTATCTAACCCACCCTGCCAATAATGATGCTACTTTCTAGAACTACATGTCCGGCCACAAATCTACCTAAGACTGCCACATATACTCGCTCAAATTCAGCAACTTATCCGCCATCTGCCTCTTCGCCGCCGCCGCCACGCCGCGCTCCGGATCCGCCAGCTGCTCGCTATAGCACAGCTCCACGAGCGCTTTGAGCTCATCATAGCTAAACCGATCCTTATCGTCTCCAAAGATCTCCGCCGACTTCCGCGAGTTGGGCGTCTCCGCCCCTTCTCCCGCGTCCTCACTCTTTCTTCCCCCGCCGTCAGCAGTATCGTGGGAGCCCGAAGAGGCAACGCCCTCCCTGGCTTTCTCAAGAATGGCATCGACGCCACGCTCAAACATCTCAAAGTAGTTACTCGCCCGGACGAGATCGACTCCTTCCTCGATGTTCTTGAGGTTTTGTTGTAACACCAAAATGTTGAGCTGCATGCGCCCGCACCCCTTGGCGTTCATCGGCGCCGTCATCGGCGCGTTCTTGATCAGGAACCCGTTGATCAGCTTGCCGAGACCGTTCCTGACAAAACGGACCTCGCGCAAACGCAAACAACGGACCAGGACTTCGTCGTAGGCGACCATCTCCGAGTTGAGCGAGAGGATCTCCGGGTCGGGCTCGTTGACTTCTTGGTCGAGCAGGTAGGGAGCCGTGGTGAGTGGGGACAGGGCGGTTTGGAGGGAGTGTAGGATGCGGGTGCGGATTTCGAGGTGGAGGGTGAGCAGGGCGGTGGAGGCGAGCTCGTCGTAGGAGGCTAGGATGCTGTCGAAGTTTCTAAGGGGAATTGATTAGCAAGCGGGAACTTTTACTTTCGGGGTTGAAGAAAGGAAGTCGAGGGAAACTTACTCGACGGTATCCTGCGTCATAGGCAGGTACACGGGTCCTTCTTCTCCGGTAGCCTTGCTCGGGTCGTTCAGCAGCGTCCAGCGCTTCTTCTCCGCCTTGGTCGGGAAGCTCGACTTGGATGAGTCCGTCTCGTTACGCGTTATGTGACGCAGACCGTGGATCTTAACCGACAGCCACTTCATGCTGGTGTAGAGCAGACACAGCGACTGGATCGTGTCGCGGTCCTGGATGATGTCGCTGGCGTCCAGGTCCTGTCCGTTGGCCCACGCGATTAGCTGGTTGACCTCGCGGTAGAGCAGCTCCAGGTCGTCCAGATTTTCCGACTTCCACAGCCTCTGTATCGTCTCGCGGACTTCACTAGGCTCGATCGCGAGGATGGCAGATGCCCGAAGCTTTTCCTTGTCCCTGGACTGTTTGTCCCCTTCTTGTGTCTTGGTGACCAGGGCCCTGTACCAGGTGAAGCAGCGGTCGTAGTAACGGAGCATTTGGGTGATGATGAGGGAACTGAGCGCTTGGTCGTGGGGGATAGTGCCCAGCATCCTGCAGAATGCGGTAATAACCGTGAAGAAGGCAGTGGTTCCCTTGAACACTGGCCGCTTCGCGACTTGGGCCCACTCTGAGTCTTGCTGGAAGGCGTCTGCCTCGCCGAAGACAGTGTCGCTGAGCTTTCCAAGGGTCTCGTCGAGTTGAGGCTGGAAGACATTGACGAGGAAGTTGTCAAGGAACGATGTCAGCGTGCTCGTCGCCAAGTCGGAGCCTGGGGGCACGATGCTCTTCAACCTCTGAAGGAAGATGAGAGTGGGTGGTAGAAGTAGGCTCATATTAAACACGCTGGGCTCTACCAGGGACTTGTAAGTGCCACTGTTCTGCTGGCTGCTTCCGGAGCCGTACCCTGCACTCTTTCTTGAGGTTACTGGCTCAGATCGCGGGACAATCAAAGAAGCCTTCTTGTTGTCTCGTCTGGTGTTGTCTGTAAGTCCAGGTACGGCGGCCCGGATGATGGAGTCCAAGGCCTCATATTCTGTCACCATGTCGGCTGACTTGGCATCAACCTCGGAGAACTTGAAGAGATTCTCGCGGGCAGAATCCGCCCTGCCATTCATGCCCATACCGGGTCTGGGTGTACGGCTAAACTGATAGACATCCGCATCGGTGGTGACGTAGTTGTGCAAGAGTGCCCGAATCTCGTTTTGGTAGAGGTTCCAGAGTTCCTTGAAGCCCCCTAGCAGCACACTGTTGTTTCCAGCACCTTCACGACGAATTAAAGCCTTGATAGCTTCATGCAGCACACGATGACCCTCGGCGATGGCCTCAAACTTGCCGTAGAGCGTCGATAGCAGATCGTGAATGACATCTGCTCGCATTCGGGTTTCGCGGTGACCGTAAATGTTAAGGCCGTGAGACCCAGACGCACCTCCGCGTAGTGAGCTTGGGTGTTTCTGATCTACATCATTGATGGTCTCGTTCACAACTGCAAAGAGCTCGACGGGTAACCTCTGCTTGAGCATGTCGACCGCTGTCTCTAGCCTTCCCAGTTTGTTCAAAGCTTCAACGAGGAGGGTCACGTAGTAAAACGTGTCGGCCTCGGGATTCTTTTGCGGATCCTCAGCCACGGACTTTTCCCAGTCGACGGAGTCCAAGATTCCGTGGAAGGGGGCCACGCCCGGGGCATCTCCATAGGCCTCATGGGAAGTTCCTTGAGCCTTTGCCAAGTTCTGCCACCTTTCCTGACAGTATGGTGATTTCAGATAGAGATGCTCGTGTAGTTCTTCCACCAAGATGTCCATAAGAGCGGTCTCCTGGTTTGCTAGGTAGCTTCGCAGGTCGCTCAGGGCTCCAATATTATCCAGCTCTGGCTTCCTCAACTTCCGTAGCGCATTCTGCAGAACCTCGACAGCGGTCAGGAAACGCTTCTCGGATATCCTGGCCTCCAACTGGTCTGGAACGGTCCGCAAGTCATCCAGCTCGTTCAATGTTTGTAGGACGCCATCGTACATGCGTGACGTGGCATGTAGTTGTTTGAGTTCTGGGTTGGTGGTGCATAGTGCCGTCTTGGAGGCTGCCAGAGACTCCTTGAGGGCGCGCACCTTCTTCTGGGAGGCCTGGATGCTCCCTTGGATTTTGTGGAATGTACCGATCGAACTGTTGAATCCCTGATGGTGATCGTGTACGATGTTCTTAAGGGAATCTTGTAGGAACTGGTGTGTCTGTTGGAAGTTGCGGTATTCGTGGGCACGGCCGACGGAGCTGGTATCGAGAAGCTGTAGAGCCAGCTGGACCGGGATGCAGTCTGTCTCGACCATGGCGGGCCATTCCCTCTTGATCAGATCCAGAACGTTTCCAATTTGGCGCTCCGCGTTGGACTGCATCTGCATATCTCCGGCAGCCGTACGGCCACGCTGGGCAGACCGGGGCGGCGGCGCATTTCGGGAGGCCGTGGGCGGTCTTGAAGCCGGGTTGGGGCCGGTGCCATAACGGTCGCTGGCATATCCGTCACCGTAGGGATCGTAGTCGTCGTTACGCCGGCCAAGGTTACCGTAACTGCCGTTACCCCGATATGATTGCGGCTGCTGGCCGTATCGGTCGGCCATGATGGTGTTGTTTGACTCGGCGTCCGGGTGTCGCGAGGAAGGAGCTATCGTGTTGCGCGGTACTTCATTATCGGTTGGGAACGGGCTAATCGCCTGTGCTCCTTCGTATATCCGGCCGGTCTACAGTCGGTATGGGTTGTAGGTTTCTCTGGGTGGACGTCGCCTCGTCGTCACCAGGAGCTCGTGTCGAAGGTTGATGATGGTGATGTGGTGTTGCTCAAGGGTCTCCAAGTTCATGATCCCCTAAACGACTGTACAGTGGTTGTTGTTACAGAAGGTGCCGCCGTAGCTATAGGTACCTCTAGGGTGTGCCAAGTACAGCTTCCGTACCCGGAAATAGCCCCACCTTGTGGAAACCAGGCGTGCCCCAGGACCTCACGCAGAAGTCACGACGGATCACTGCAGCGAGGTGCACTAACAATTACAAGCTCTAGATACTTTCAACTTGTATCTTCCCTCTTCTCTACATCTGTCCTCCTTTTAAGTCTGATGGTTACTCGTCACGTCCTCCTAGTTGGGCCAGATTCTTCAAGATTTAGAATATCCCTCCACTTACACAGAGCCAGACAATCGCTCTTTTCTACGATGACCGCGGCTTTCCCAATCCAGCCTGTAGCACGGTTTGCGGGCAAGAGTGAGCTGGTCAAACGGCCAAAGGTGAGCACTTGTGTTTTGTTAGATGTTCGATAGATCAAGGAGATTAACTCTGTGAACAGGAATTCGCATGCTTCTCATACGATGCCGATCACAAGTTCCATCTTGGAGCTCAGTCATTGAAGTGGTATTACACACCAGACCTCGATGTCGACCTGTCCAAGGGCTTTGAGAGCTTCATCAAACATGACGACAGTGTAGACGAACATCTGGACAGCCTACTCACCACCATTGCCGACTATGAGCAAAAGACGTCGAAACCTATCGATGCTCACATCGTAACTTGGAGAGGCATGATGACAAAGGCGAGTATCTATTAGCTATCTCGTGTCATTCGTATATCGGACACTGACATCAGATACACCGTGATAGATTATGGCAGCCCCCTTTGATGATGACGGGTTTGAGATGAATGCTACCCTTTACAGAGTTCGTCCACACCTGCCAGTTGACCGTCTACCTTGAGAAGCCTTGTCATACTAACCTGGCTATGAAAGGGTTGCATGTAAGCGATCATATGGTTTCCGCCTCCATGCTATTTTGACTGACGGCGACAAGCTTTATCGAAGAGAATCATGCATACAAACAAGCGTCGAGAGCAAACGAGCGGCCATGGAACGGGCCAATCCCGCAAGAAGTGATGCAGTACTGGGGTAGGCTAACAGTCCATGTCCTTCACATCTGCTGAATTTATAAGCTGACATCTCGTGGCTTCCAAGGCTACAAGTTTGAGACCCTGAGCACACTGCCGAGACCTTGGGGAGAAACTTCTCGCGAATTCATTGAAAGTCGCCCCGATCATGTGGTGAACAACAAGGAGCAGTACTGCTCAGTGGTCCGCACAGGCATTGGCAAGACCATTCTCTGCATCGGTGGCGAGGTTGACGCTAGTTAGTGCTCTTGTTCCCCTTTACCAGCTTCTCTCACCACCTCCAACTAACACTCGGTCTCCCCTTACCTAGTATGGGACGACAAACCGAGGACCCAAGGCGATCCTATCAACTGGGTGGAGCTCAAGACTTCAGCGGTAATCCAAAACGACCGCCAAGCTAACAACTTTGAGCGCAAGCTCATGAAGTTTTGGATCCAGTCCTTCCTTCTCGGTGTTCCCAAGATCATTGTCGGCTTCCGGACCCAGGATGGGCTGCTGGTTGAGACCAAAGAGTTCCGAACCATGGAGATACCGCTAATGGTTAAGAAGAATGGGCGGCCAAAATGGGATGGGGATACGTGCGTCAACTTTGCTAATGGCTTCCTTGAGTGTGAGTCGTATCATTTCCTCCGCTTTCCGATGTTCAGCAGAGCATCTTATGCTTTGGGATGAATGACTAACTAGTCTCTTTTCAGGGCTTCGCCATACCATAACCGATGAGGGTGTGTGGAGGATCAAGAGAAGACCTCGGTCGGCAGAAATTGAAGTGTTTAAAGTCGAGGAGGTGGGCCACGGAGACATCATCACAGATGAGTTCATGAACTGGCGCATCAAGCTCGAGCTTCGTCAGACACAGCCGCCAACTGACGACAATGGGACAGAAGAGTAAGCTCAGTCTAGAAGGCTACGTTGGACTAAGCAGCACACGTGAGGGAAAATAGGTATGTTTGGATTGCGATGTATCCTTACATGCATCACTGTCCAATAGAAAGGAGTAAATTGGCGTTGGGCAACCACGGCCTTTCTCAGCACCTCCCCGTTCTTGCCTACCAGTTCCAACAACTTTCATGATCCAATCCTAGCTGGTAGCTGCACCTTCCGTGTGGTAAGGCACCCCGCGAGGCGGTTTTGTCAACCACCAAAAGAAGCGAAGCTCCTTCTGTCAACAAAGGAATCTCTTCCTGTCAACAACCGAAACCATCAGCTTTTCCTTGCTGCCATTTACTCGCGACTTCATTTCCACTATTCACTTTCTGATTCATTGATTCCTTTACTCTGTCAGCAATCATTGGTCATCACACATTGGCCCCAGCAAACTCGCGGTCCTTCAACAGTATCATGGCCCCAATCTACACCACGCGTCTCGACAATTCTCGAAAAGACATTCGCTTACTCGAGCTTCTACCCGCCAACAGTCTTCAGGACCCCATCCAATGCAGACTGAACACAACTCAGCTGTCAATAGAAACAGAGTACATTGCCTTATCGTACGTCTGGGGAGATCCAACAGCCACCTCTCCCATTACTGTCAACGGGTTGCCCTTCCAGGCGACTTACAACCTTTGTGCTGCTCTAAGACGCATACGATCTAAATCCAACCTACCAACAACACTTTGGGTAGATGCAATATGCATCAACCAGTCCGACAACGACGAGAAGTCTGCTCAGGTCCCGCTGATGAGAGACATCTATCACAATGCCTCGCTTGTCACAATTTGGCTGGGGGAAAGCGACAAGTTCACCGATGAGGCAATGGTTCTCGCTAGGCTTACTGCCTATCTCCTAAAATGTCCTGGAGCAAAGGGGAAAAGGCGATATCCTGCCGATTATATTTTGAGTGTCGTTACCTCTGCTGTGTTCAAGAGCGACTTGCGATTACTCGCACTTCGCAAATTCTTCTCTCGACCCTGGTGGAGTCGTGTCTGGGTTGTTCGGGAAGTTATCGTCTCCCGGCGTGCACACATTATATGCGGAACGAAAGAGATCCCCTGGAACGATATACGACTAGCCTTAAGATGCTGGATGGCCCTTCTGTCCTGGCCTGGTGGCTCTAAAGTTGTCAAAGAGAGGAAAGAAGAATTTGAATACATGGTCTACACAACAAAAGTAGGGCTATTTATGAACTTATCCTATCAACGCGACCAGGTGGATGATCATGTTGTTGAGAACAGGATAGGAAGCTTTCCAGGGCTCCATAATCGCAATGATGAGATTACTGGATTGGAAGGAACAATTCTTGCAGGCCATCAATTTGAGTCAACCGATCCAAGAGACAAAATCTATGCCTGGCTCGGTATCTATGAAAGAGATGGCTTGACCATAGTACCGGATTACAACGCAAGCACAGCACAAGTCTATGTCAGTGCGGTGAAAGCAATCACCGAGTTAACAGGGTCTTTGTCGTTGGTTGCGCTTACTGGTGGGCTGGATCATTCCCAAGATCCTCTTCCAGGTCTTCCATCTTGGGCTCCGGACTTCAGGCATGGTAACCAAAGGAAGTCTTCCTGGGGAGCTCTCATGTGTTATAACGCTTCAGCTTCAGAGATGGCAAGAGCAGCCTTTTCGCCCGACGGCAAGGTACTTAGGGCGGATACACTTCTGGTTGATCACATACAGCTTATTGATGCCGACCAGGGCGAGAATGGTGGGTGGAAAGAGGGTTTAAAGCTATGCCGGTGAATGTATCTTGTATTGCAACACCGAGCACATTCACCTATTTCAGCTGCGATGGGTGCGAAGTGGCTTTCCGGTGAATTTTTTACTGCTCTTGTTTGGCCTGCTCGATTACCATCTCTACAACCGGATGATGATCCAATAGATCGGTACTCCGAAATCAAAATTCTACAACTTATTGAAAGATTGTGGGCCGGTTTTGCGGCGTACTCCGGATACATGGACCGTCTACAGGATGTTGCACAGTGGCTTAAGGAGCATGAGCCACGTCTTCACATGATCGCAGTACGGCCAGCCAATTTGGGAACTTGCCGTCCACTTAGCTCCAACCGGTTACCGCCACAACCACATATACAGGATGAAGAGAACATAAAACGGTTTTGCAGACTATGGGGGCTTCCTGAAGACGAGAAGCCCCTATATTTTGAGTACGAGACTGAAAGAGCGGACAGCCGGCACTGCGATAAGCAAGAAACACCGTCTGACGATGCTCTCAAGTTCGCCGAACGTGTGGCTCTGTACACCACCGACAAGACATTTTTCATCACGAATAAAGGCTTTCTCGGGTCGGGAACCCATAAGATTGGACCTGGTGACAGCTTAGCCATCATTCGCGGCTGCCGTATGCCAGTTGTGATCCGGAAGCATTCAAACGGTGACGGATCTTTTGAGGTTCTCGGTCAATGCTGGGTCGGGGCGTTGATGTATGGCGAATATGTTGAGAACATGCGTAAGGCGGGAGATTTGAAGTGGGAGAGCTTGAGTTTCAGATGATAAGTCTACCTACCATGAGTCTAACTCCCGAAACTTCGAGTCACCACTATTTACGGTCCTGGTCAAGTTGCCCGAGAAAGCAGAAAGGGAAATGGGGTCTTCAGAGTCAGTACGTACAGGTTCGCCTGCTAACAAACACCAAATCATACCCTCTCACTAACAAAATGTTACAGGACGTATTACAGTCAATCTCATACTCAAATCTCACTAAGGGTTCACGTTTCAATTTCACTCTTCAACTGAGTTGTCTCGCCAGGATCAAGATGCGTCGGACAACGCTTAGACTACCTTACTCTGAACTGTTTGGATACTTGCTTCAAACCCAGCCGCATTTTTGAAATACTATCGCAAGGTCGTACAAATGTACCTGCATGAACCTCAGCTCTAACCTGCACAGGTTGCTGTTGGTATTACCAAGTGAACAGAGCACGGGTACGGGTACAATATCCAACTGATCTGGCCATGTATAATGTGGAACTTGTCATAGAACAGTCTGGGATGCTCACTTTAGTTAATCAAATTCTTGATGGATTGCTTGACTTTGCTGCATGCTTAAACTGACCATCAGCTCTGATGTGTTCGTCTCGTGGCTTTCTTGGATACACGGTTTCACTGGATAAGTAAACTTAAGGCCACGAAATGAAACAGAGCTTGCCAGTTCCGTGAGTTACCTCAGGAATGCAATATCGAAGAGTGACACCTTTGGACGCAAGCGGACTTGATGGTAAATACTCAGGTGTACAGAATCGACGCTGACTAACGGTGATAGTGATCACTAAACCTACCGGTCTCACCTTGGATGTTTACTTTCTAAGTATAAAATGATTTGTAACTATCCGACTCCAATCATCATCATCACCACTACAATCAGCGTCGATATGCATGAGGAGGGGGGTACAATTGGAGCTGGAGAGCTCATATGCACCCCTGACCCAGGGCTTATCAGCGTATCTTAGCGCCGATCTTGCCCTGGCATGAGGAGCCGGGGTTAGGGGCATCTGGGGCCGCGTTGACACCAAATGACCAAATCCGGCCTATCAGAGAGCTCATCTGATAGGATCAAGTACCTTGTAGCTGACTCCAGCTGCCCAGAACCGCCTAGCCGGAGTGATAAGCGCGTCACCTGAACGGAATGTTGGCAATCGCACCCAGACCTGCATCGCTGCGCTGTAGCTGTAGCCTGTAGCTGTAGCCTATATCCGACACCTAGTGTACACCTTTCAGTTGTAAGCTGTTCACCGACCGACCGCCTTCCTTCTGTTGCCATCTCGTGCGTGTCATCGTCTCGTCCTCTTATTTCCTCTCCATTACCTCTTTCTTCCCCTCCTTCTCCAAAACATACAAATCCATCCGAATTACCCAGATACACACAATGGTTCGCGCCACTCCCGAATATCTCGCTGCCCGTACGTCCATGATGTCTCTCCGAGCGCAAGCCCTCGAGCAGTCCATGATGGCCTCGCAAACATACTACTCTACCCCCCAGCAGCCTGTTCAGCCTGTTACTGCCAACAGGGCCAATGCAAAGGACCTCAAGCCCGAGGCCTTCACCAAGCCATACCTCGAGTTCATGACCGAGAACCCAACCGTTTTCCACGCTGTCGGTTACTTCAAGGAGAAGCTCGAGAAGGCCGGCTACAAGGAGGTAAGCCGTCACAGCTCCCCAGCCCCCCCGCAGTTGATACAACCGAGGCGCAAGAACCGTAACTGACTAAGCGAGTTGTTGTTTATAGCTTCACAGCAGAGACTCGTGGTCTGGCAAGATCCAGCCCGGCGGAAAGTACTACACGACTCGCAATGGCAGCTCCGTCATCGCCTGGGCCGTCGGCAAGGCCTATAAGCCAGGCAACGGTCTCGCTATGGTCGCCGGTCACATCGACGCCCTCACCGCCCGCCTCAAGCCCATCAGCAAAAAGCCTAGCCACGACGGCTATGTCCAGCTCGGTATTGCCCAGTATGCCGGTGCTCTTAACAGCACATGGTGGGACAGAGATTTGAGCATTGGTGGTCGTGTCATTGTTAAGGATCCCGAAACGGGCAAGACCTCTTCCAAGCTTGTCAAGCTTGACTGGCCCAGTATGTTGCCCTCCCATCCCATTGCCATCCCACAAAGCCTAACACACACATTCCAGTTGCTCGCATCCCTACTTTGGCTCCTCACTTCGGCATTGGTATGACCGGCCACAACAACCAGGAGACTGAGATGACCCCCATCATCGGCCTCGATAACAGCGACCTTGACGCCTCTTCCACCGCCTCCTCCGAGAAGCCCATTGGCGGCAAGGGCTCTTTCGCCTCTACCCAGCCCCCCAAGCTCGTTAAGCTCATTGCTTCCGAGCTCAAGATTGAGGACTACAGCAACATTCTCAACTGGGAGCTTGAGCTCTACGACTCTCAGCCCGCCCAGGTCGGCGGTATTGACAAGGAGTTCATCTTTGCCGGCCGCATCGACGACAAGCTCTGCTCGTGGGCCGCCTTCATGGCCCTCCTCCACGCCCGTGACGACGAGGACTCTGGCGTTATCAAGCTTGTAGCGCTCTTCGACGACGAGGAGATCGGCTCTCTCCTCCGCCAGGGTGCCCGCGGTAACTTCCTCCCCATTACCATCGAGCGCACTGTCGAGGCTCTTGTTGCCAACACCAACACTCTCTACCAAAACGCCTTCATCGGTGGCACCGGTCTTGGCCCTGGCCTCATGGGCCAGACGTACGCCAACTCCTTCCTCGTCTCCTCGGACGTCACCCACGCCGCCCACCCCAACTTCACGCAGACCAACCTGACCGATCACTCTCCTCGCCTCAACGTCGGTGTGGCTCTCTGCGTCGATGCTTCCGCGCACATGACCACCGACAGTGTCTCCATGGCTATCCTCGACCGCGTCGCCGAGCTTTCCGGCTGCGTCAACCAGAGGCATATGATCCGCAACGACAGCCGGTCCGGTGGTACTGTTGGTCCCATGCTCAGCAGTGCCATGGGTGTCAAGGCGGCGGATGTTGGTATTCCCCAGTTGAGCATGCACAGTATCCGTGCCACGACTGGTAGCTTGGATCCCGGTCTTGGTATCAAGTTCTACAAGGGCTTCTTGGATGAGTGGGAGAAGGTTGATGGCGAGTGGAGGGCTTAAATCTGTTTAGATGGACTGTTTGAGACTGGTTGATCTAACTTGATGTGCTTATGATGGGATTGGGCTGGCATGGGATGGCGTGGTGTTAATGATGGGTTTTTAATCTGTAATGAACTGAATGATGAGTTGGTTTTCTTGGATAAGAGAGACGAGTCGAGTCTGATATGGCATTGTGGTGCATTCAGGGATGGTGTGTTGCTTTTCAGCGTGTTGTTTGGTTCCTATCATGATAGAGGAAGACTATGCGGTATAGATGATATACTTCACAGAAGAATGTTATGATGTTCGCAACTTTGACGCCCAGTAGGCTTCTCATGCCCCCTGGTGGGAACAACTGGATGTCCAGCATCGCCGTGACTGAAACCTCCCACAACTTCTGTGGGAAAACAACGCATGTCAAATGCGAACGGTATTTTCGATGGCCTGATTTTCTTCATCCAATTTACTGAGTCCAGTGGGACAAACGGACTTGGCCGTGAAGGTTACCTTTGGGTATTACATGTATTGTTAGATGACCCTTTGGGTTTTTGTTTAGGGCTTGCTCTCAACAAAACGTTCCAAGGGAATGATTTTTTGGTAAATGGGGGTTGATACCATTATAGAGGCAGTAAAATATCAATACCGCCCATACTTATGCACAAAACGAACAATGCTGTGTTTAACCCTCCGTCTAAACGATTCCAAACAAAAGCCAACGGGTATCATCAACTTCAAGTCTTTAACCGTGCCTTCCATGCCCAGGCTCTTGGTCCATGCCTCCATAAAGGTAATATCATGGCTTCCGATGATCTAACGCCAACCCTGAACCGACAGACGCTTCATTCCCGTGAAACACGCCGAATCCTTATATCTATCATCAGAACTTCGTCGGAATGAAATGCTTCGAATCATCCTGCTGCTGCGCCCTCGTTTGTGGAAAAGCAGCAATCCCCGCAATGATGCCACAAGCCATGAATCCCAACGAGATGATAGACCAGATAACGCCCCAGCACTGCGAAGATCCTCCATATCTCTTCGCAAAGACGCTGGCATCAGAGCTGTTGACTTTGCGCAAGATCAAATCATCACACTGTTATTCATCGTCAGCAACGCTTTCCAAAACCAACCAAAAAAAACCAAGAAGAAGAAAGAGAGAGTACTCACAATATCCCAAACACTATACAACGAACTCATCACCCCAATAAACAGCACCACATACCTCAACGCCTCCGCATGCGCAATAAACCAACACCCCACCAACAGTCCCACAGCCGCCAACACCGTTGCCAAAGTCAACCAATCCCTCCTCCCCCACCACAACGTCAACAAGAAACACACACCCACCACAAAACTAGCCACCTTGCTCGCCACAATATCGAACCCGCAAAAGGTCAACAGCGCCCCAATCAACGAACTCCCCAAATACCCAGCCGGCAACGTCAACCCGCTCCGTCCACCTTGCATGTGCGTCACCCCGCCCTCGCGCGGGTCCAAGCTGATGGATAGGACTTTTCCGCCCGTAAGGACGCAGGTGATGGCGTGTCCGAACTCGTGGAAGGCAATCACCAACATCTTGAAGGGCCAGAGCAAGTAGCGGATGTAGGGCACGTTCCAGAGGATGAAAATGGCGACCATGTAGGCGAAGATTACACCCAGGGTGATTTTTTGGGTGTCGGATTTCAGGGCGAGGTCTCGCGTGCTGAGTAAAGTGGTGGTGGAGGCGAGGAAGAAGGCGCGTTTGGCTAGGGCGGGCTTCCATGGGACGGTTCCCAGGGCGTGGGAGGGGGTTGTGGGCGCCATGATCCAATGGGTGTAAGTGGTTGTCTCAGCTAGGACTAGCTGGTAGCGAGCAGACAGTGGACTTTGGGTTCCCAATATCGAGATGTTCGATGTGTCGAAGATCTGGTTCGACTGTTGACGACGATTTAAGTCGCAAAGTCGCAGAGGAGGAAGAGTCGAAAGATGGTTAAATCACCAGGCCAGCCCGATGTTGAAGGAGGAAAGAAAGAAAGAAAGACGGAAAAAAAGGGATTCGTAAACCTGAAAGGGCTGCGCAGATGACTACCGGCGCATGATTGCGCGTCCCCTTCCAAGAAACAAACCTGAACCCGAGACCCCTAGGTATGCGCCTCATCCCGGGCCGTATGGGTGAGGTGATCTTTGCGCCGCGGTTGGCGCTGGGCTGGGCATGCGCGGCCTGTGGTGGCTGTGACAGCGTCCAACTTTAACTGGACGCCCTGCCGTCCGATGATTGGTGGTCCCCTGTAAGTCACTGCCGCTGTTGGGAATGCCCCACTATCCCTATGTACGGCCCCGCCGCCCCGGCCCCGGACGGGAAGTTTCAGGACGGTGGGGTCCGGCACGGCAGTGAACAGGTGGTGGTCCACTCACTGTAAGGAGGCGCTAGGACGGGATGTAAGGTTGTGTTCGTTCACGGCTGTACCACGGTAGAGGAGGCCTTGCATTACCGTACATAACCCGCAGCTGCACTCCTGCAATATTAAGGTAGGCTCTAAAAAGTATAGTATATATACTGTGATTCACACAGTGGAGCTCAGATAGTAGATTTCAATTGGGAATAGCTTCATCAATTGTCTTTTTGCGACGGCGACCCCTATATTTATAGGGGGCTGGGTACTGTGGTGCGCTGAAGCGGCCATTTTACAGCCTTATACATAGGGTCTGGGACTGTTAAAAATGTTAAAAATCCGGCCATTTCAGTAAGGAATCTAGGCCTCTGATTGGTCAAATGCATGCCTTGCATGGATTTGGGGTAATGCAACGACTTGCATATTTTTACTGAAATCCAGCCGAATACAAAAAGTGCAGTTGTAAGATTGCACCTTACAGCCACCAAAACTGGGTTTCCCTACCGTGGTATAGCCCGGAACGAACACAACCTAAGGTACCCGGGCATCGTCATTTCTTTTTTCTTTCAACAACACCAAGGAAACATCGACGGGTAAACACTGTGATCAACAAATACCATCTCCGGCTGGAACTGATGGCATTCGTGTAATGACGACATTAGCACAAGTACTATACCTGAAGGGATAGTTGGCAATGAATGATCCCCAGAACACCAACCGGGTACAACATTGGGTCGGCAATCGAGACCATCCATGGTGCATCTTCGGATGAACATGTTTGGCCATATGTGTTTTGTCGTGAGGAGTGGAATTTCAGAAGGAGGTTGACATGTTCGAACTTCGGAGCGCCACGGAAATAATGAAATTTTCGATATCAAGAAGCTACGATCATTGGCCGGGAAGGGAAGGCCGCCATCCTATGTCACCTTGCAGCACAAGATGCGATCATGGCCTTCCTTTCCTGGTACAAATAGTACCGGAGAGATTTGTCCTCATCAATGAGAGGCCGACTTGGTCGATTTGTCCCACTCGGGATGTAAGGCTAGAGTGTTTGCAGTGTCACAACAGAACGGGAAGAAAAAGACGGAACCGAGCGATTGAGGGGTGCTTATGTCACCTATAAAAGGCTGTTGTATCCGCGAGTTCTCGATATCCTGAACCTTTTGAATATCCATTTCACGGAAAACAACTGTGGTAACAATGCGGTCCCCAGCCTGGCTCCTGTTCGGTATTATCACCAGTGTTGCTTCCCAGGATACGGGAAACCACCCGGACTGGCCAAGATGGTGTGGAAAAGTCTATAAACCAGAGTAAGTGGAAAACCATGACTGTCATGAGAAGTCAACTAACCTGGACCAGCTATCCCTCGTTTGATCCCGGTGGTCAAACACTTCCACCGACACCAGACCCTCTAGCGCCTCTCCTACACGTCCAGTTCAAGCCCCGATACAGCCTCTACCTAGAAAGCGAGAAGACGGGCGACTTCATTGTCAACGCCGAGATCTCCCAGTTCCACGGAACCCACTGGGGCAACAACACCTCCAGCAATGTGGAATTCTATATCAAAACAACCACAGATGACAAAGTCCTAGTCGGAGACTCCATCCCCGTCAACTCAACCGGTAACCTCTTCACCTTCAACCTCAGCGACCTCACCGCCAGTCTCTCGCCCATCGAAGTTACACTCACCTATTCAGCAGAAGGCCCATCAGTCAAAACCACCCTCCTCTACCTCCCCTCCAAGACCTCCGGAAGCGTCACCAGAATCGACAACCTCAACGGCGGCCTGCACCACCTTAACGCCGCCTCCAACCACACCTTCAAGCCCATCCTCCCCTACGGCTTCTACGCCTCCTACGACGCCTTCCTCGCCCTCCCCAATTATAGTGAAGCCATCCAATCCTACGCCGACCTCGGTCTGACGGGCATGGTGCCCCTAACGCACTACCCCGAGTCCGCCTCCGCTTTTGCGTACATGGACAGCATCAATTTGTATTATATGTTCGACCTGCGGGAGAACTACACCAACCAGACTTGGGTCAAGGAACAAGTCATTGCGGCGAAGGATGGCGAAGCTCTGTTTTCTTACTGGTCTGTGGATGAGTACGTTTCCCCCTCCCCCCCCCCTTTTTTTTTCCCCCCTTCCTTCTCTCCCTCACCTTTCCTAATACTAACCCCCCTCCTCTCACCACAGACCGGACGGGTGGCAGGCCCCGTTCTCCGCCCCCGCCGAGACTTACAACACAATTTTGTCGGTCGACCCCTACCACCCCGTTTCCCTAGTCCTCAACTGCCAAAACTATTTTTTTGAGCAATACTCTCAGGGAGCAGACATTCTAATGGCCGACGTCTACCCCATCGGCATCACCGACTCTTCTGCCAACCTCTCCAACTCCAAATGGGGCACACCATGCAACTCGACCTACGGTGATTGCGGCTGCGATAACTGCGCTGGTTCCGTCCTGGATGTGTCCAACCGGTTCGATGATCTGAAAAGTTACGAACAGTGGTTAGGTCTGTGGCCGAAAACAAAGATGTTTAACCCCCAGGCTTTTCACGGCGAGGGATACTGGGCGAGAGACCCGACCGCGGAGGAGAGTTGGGTGATGGTGTTGTTGGCGATTAATAGGGGCGTGAAGGGGGTTTTGGGTTGGGTGTGGCCGGCTAGTGAGATACTCTCAAAAGCGCATGGGAGGTTGGCAAGGGTTGTTAGTAGTGGGGAGGAGGAAGATGGGGTGGTGGGGTTGTTGGTGGAGGGGAAGGGGCCGGAAAAGTTGAGCACAGCCTCAGAGGTAAAGGGGGTTGATGCGGCGGGTTGGGTGGACAAGGAGGGGAGGAAGATGTTGATTAGTGTGGTGAATACGGGGGAGGAGGAGGTGGAAGGGATGGTGGAGTTGGAGGTGCCGGGGGGGAGTAGGGTTGGGAAGGTGGTTTGGGATGAGAGTGGTGGTAGTGGTGGTGATGGGGAGTGGGAGGTTAAGGAGGGTAAGTTGACGAAGAATGGGTTGAAGGGGATGGGGACCGCGTTGGTGATTTTGGAGTTGAGTGGGTGATGGTCTGTGGTTGATTCTAAGTGAGGAGATGACAAGAAAACATGACTGCAGATCTTGACACATTATCCATGTGTAGCGCTGGGCTGAGTTCAGGTCCCGAACTTGTTAAGAGAGCAGGTTTATAGCCAAATCAACCTGCGTTTCGTATACTTCTTCTTGATCTTTTGGTGATCATGGTTTTTCCAAGACCCTCTATATACCTATTATATCCAAATGCCCATCATCATTAAGTAGATAATCCGCCCATTATGTTGAACCAGCTCATAAACATCCTTCCCTTTATCATCACTCCTTTTTGTTGCTGTTCCGTTCAGCCTCATCAAACATTACCACCTTCTCCTTCTCTTCACACACTACCCCCCCTTCCCAACCCACATCATCGCCCACTGACCTTCTTCTCCACCATCCTCAACGGCACATAAAGCAGCCCACTCACAATAAACGCAAACTCAAACCCCAAATCGCCCGTCGTCCTCGCAATCGGCCCCTGATACCACACCTGATCCATACTAGGAATCACCAGCCCAAAGCTCGCCACCGCCGCCGTCAGCGCCGCCACGCCCCACGGCAACTTGCTCGCATCGTTCCAAGCCTCCAAATCATACCGCCCAAAATCTCCCTTCTTCTCCCAATAATGATCGACCATGACGACCCCCAAAAACGCAGAGCACCAGTACCCAATCAGACCCACAAAGTTCTCCAGGCTGTCGAAGAACTCGGCGCTAGCCTTGATGCCCACGGGGATCAAGATGGCAGCCAGGATGATGGCGAACAGGTAGCGGGGCACTTTGAACAAGACGGGAGCCAACATCTGGAAGTTGAGCGTGATGGAGTACGAAGTCGCCGCTAGGTTTCCCAGCAAAGTAAAGGACAAGATGACGACCAGGAACCGACCGAATCCACCCGCGGGCGCGAGCATGGCTTGCAAGACACCGCCCACCAGCGTCTGGTTGTAGGCCTCGCTCCATTCGGGAACGGAGGGGATAGCGCCTTGGATGGCGGCTCCGAGACACATCAAGAGAATAGTGGGCAGCGCGAGGCCGGTGTAGCTGTACGTGAAGATCTTCCACGACGGGGTGGAGGGCACGAGGTAAGTCGTAAAATCCGACGACAAACAGGCCCAGGGGATCATGTAACTAGCGACGAGCATGGCGAAACTCAGCACGCCCTGCGGGGTTGGGGGGTCGGCGGGAGGGTTTTGCAAGTGGAGGTATTTGCCGCCGCAGCCGACGGCGACGATGATGGCGATGAGGGCGGGGATCCACGCAAACCGCTCGTACATGTGTAGTGTCGTAAAGCCGCAGAAGGAGATGATGAGGGTCAGGATGGACATGATGACGATGCCGACGCTGACGGAGAGGTGGCCGTTGGCGACGGCGGAGAGACATTGGCCGCCGGTGATGACGATGATGACGGAGAAGCCGGTTGTGGTGGCTAGGTTGAGGAGGACGGGGAGGGAGACTATGTAGCGGCTGGGGGGTTGTTAGTTGTGGGTGGGTAAAAAAAAGGAACGGGCGGGGGAATGATGGATGGGAAGAGAGGACGGGAAACGTACCCCCAGGAATAGCGAGCTTGAATCATCTGTCTCATACCCAGCTTCGGACCCCAAGTGCAGAGGTAAGCGGGTGGGATGGTAGACAGCAGAGTAAAGAAGAGGATAACGAGGCAGCTATCCCGTAGGCTGAGGCCGTATACTGGGCCTAGCATGCCAAAGGTAATCCTGTTTTGTCCGTGTTAGTTATATTGAGTATATATTTATCGGACAATGCAACGGAAAACTTACGGGAGAATGTTGCAACTCATTGACCACCACAAGGTAAAAATGTTGAGCGTCTTGGTCACTGTCCTCTCCTTGACTGGAATGGGTGAGATTCCCTGAAGCTCAACTCGACCAGCTACAATGACCTTGTGGCCATAGTAACTGAGGCGCCCCCAGAGACCGGAGGGTGGTGCAGCAGGCTTGCTCTCGTCGGCCTCGATGGGTTGGAGGTTGGCTTCGGCATCGTGGGTGTCGGGGTAGTTAGCAACCAGCGGCGACACCCCCTTCTCTGGAGGGTTGCCGTCACTTTGGGTCACCATACTCTGCTGTTCGTCGGTGGTGATGATGATGATAGCTATTGGGAGTTGATAATGGTTGACTCAGTGTCGGTGGGGTAGAGTCTTTGGTGTTGTCCGTGAACCTTGATGGAGCGAGGAGGTTGACAAGGCCCCAAAGGTTCGAGATAACAAAATTGATAAGGCAACTCTTCAAAGTGAAAAGTCGACCATAGGAAAGTGAAGAGCTTGTCTAACAGGAAACTTTTAGGTCGAACACTTTCCAGGTTTGCGAGCTTTGTAAAGGAAATCCAATGAGAATGGGCAATTGAGAAGAAGAAGAGGGAATGACTCTTCGCTCTTGTTTTAATTCAAGGGGGTTGGATGTGTATTTTTCTGAACGGCGGAGACTGTTGACTGTTGAGTGTTGACCGTTGACAAAACAAAAAGTCAAAAAGATCGGTCCGGGGGAAGCTTCGGGTTTGGCTGGGTGGTCCACCCGGTGATAAGCGAAGCGAGAGAATTCTCGTCCTCGAGACTATTGATTTCTTGGACGATCAAGATAATTCCACGGCACTCGGTGGTACTCGGCTCCGTAACAGGTGGGTCACTTTTGCGAAAGAAAAGCCTCGACCAGTCTCTATACCACAGGTTTTATAGATATAATGTTTGGACTCGGGTCTATCGAGCTTCGAGACGTTTTGAATCTTATGTTTCAAAGGCAAAAAAGTGGCAAGTGGGACGAACTCTTTGAGATGTCGCCACTGCAGGGGAGGTCCTAGCGGAGATAAAGTGGACTGTACTGAGTCCCGAACCTCCTTTCGTCATTGTTCAAATGGTGATCCGATGGAGAAGCTCTTTATCTGTAGTGTCTGCAGTGCTGCAGAGCTGAGCTTGGAGAGCATTGAAAACCAACCAACCACATCGTCAGATTGCAAAGTGGGAGGTATAAGTGCATGCGTTACAATTAGATATGGGCTTAACCTGCGCCCGTCTTTGGACATCAATGCAGTATTCTAGGGAAACGCTAATAGGGGGGAATTGAAGAGAGAAAAAAGAGCAAGATCAACATGTAGTGCTTCACTCGACAGCTTCAGCAATCTTCTCGGCTCTCTCCTTCCTCCTCGCCTTCCTGTCGCCAATCTTCTGCAACTGCTCCCGTCTCTCCTTCTTCCTCGTCTGCTTGTCGATGCTACCAACGACAGCCTTCTCCTTTCCGCAGGGGTACTTGGCAAACGCCGCGGCCTCATCCTCCTCGGTCCACTCTCTGGGCAACACGGCAAACACCAGGTACGACGTATGGGTCTTAATCTCCGGCTCACCCTTAGTGATGAGGCGACCATCAACCCAGGGCGTCTGGAATGGCGGCTGCTCGGCCGACGTCTTGTCGTCGTCCTTCTTGGCAGCCTCATCTCCGTTCTTCATGGCAGTGTCCGCATCCTCTGCGCCATCGTCTCTCGGGCGCGCGGCCTGCTCCCTGACCCGCTCCTCGATTTCGGCGAGCCTCTCCAGAGCCTCTTCGACATCGTGCGGCGAGACGTTGACGCCGCGATCGGTCTGGTAATGGAGGCCCACGCGGTCGCGGATGGTGTGCAGCTTCCTGTTTGCGATCTCGACCATATCGATATCGACCCAGCCGAGGCGGCGCATGGCCGAGACGGTCCTGGTGACCTGCTCAATGCAGGGAGAGAAGGTGCAAATGTGTACGGCCCTCTTGGGGTTCAGGGGTGATGTCCATTCGGCGGCGCTATCTTCACCCTCCTTAGCCTGGTTCTGGGGCTTGCGCCGCGAGAGGTGCGGCAGGGCCTCCCAGGGCTTGGGAAGGTCGAGGAATATTGCGTCGGCTTCGGGGCTCTTTCCGTCGATCAAGAAGCCGCCGTTGTAGACGTCGCGGTGTGTAAGGTGGACGAGACCGTCGAGGTTATGGTCGGTAAGCTCCTTCTTCATCTTGTGATAGCGCTCTTCGTGGTATTCGAAGCTGAAAACCTTGCCCTTCCTGTCCTCGGCGCTGGAAGGGTATCCGTTGTAAACGGCGCGGACGGAGGCATGGGTGAAACTGCCACTGCCGGCGCCAGCCTCGATAATCGTGGAGCCGGGCCTAGCGCGTATCCTGTGCAGAATGTAGCTGTAGTCGGGGGTATAGACGACCTGTGTTCGGTGGGGAAGACTCTGAGTCCAGAGCTCGGGAGTGGGAGGGAGCACGTGGATGAAGCCGCTGTCGTCGGCAACGGCTTGCTTGACACCAATGGCCTCGGTGGCATTGTTGTCGGTGGTTTCGGGCTGGTTCTCTTCGGCATCGTCACGGCTGGCATCGTCCCTGGGGCCTCTTTTCCTCTTGCGACCACGGGAGCCGGTGTCAACCTTGGATGCCCTGATCTGGGAGCCCCAAGGAACATTCAACATTGTGGAGTGAGGGAAGGAGCCATAGCGGGTGTTGACTACGGCGCCCTCAGCGTAGCCATCGTGTTCGCCCGAGGGTTCTTGCAGGTAGATGGGGAGAAGGTTGTCGCGCGAGAGCTGGAGAATAGCGAGGGAGCTGGGCTTAGTGCGAAGACCCGGCTCAAGGAACGGGGACACGGTTGGTCGCGTCATGGCGGCGTCGGTCATGAACAAGGAGGGAGATTCTTTGTTGTGGCTATTTCGTTTTGGGCTGGTTCAGGGAAACGTGAAGATTGTCGATACGTGGAGGTGGCCGGCGAAGGAGCAAATGGTCTATCAGCGGCGCGGTTGGTAAATATTTATTTGGTAAAAAGACGGGTCGCGATCCAGGTCCAGGTCCAGGTCCGAGTCGCAATCCAGTCGCACTCGAGTCGCCCTTTGGGAAATTTTCTCGACAAAAATTGGACGTTTACTGCGGGGCACGCGCTGGGCGAAGTGGGGCTATAAGTTCAATTCACTGTCATAACCCTAACCCCAAAGTACACTAGCTGGTCCCTCGTGCACATCCACTGCAACACACAAATAAGGTTTGCCAAGATCTGGGGTTTTCCGTCTTGGCGTGGGGGCCAGTTGAACCCTTTGACATCAACACGCAGTCAGGAGAAAAAAAGATACTCGTCAGGGCTTGAATCGCCAGTCTTGCCCTTGGCCCAGCCTGCTGACGAGTAACCCAATCGACGTCACTCAAATAGAAGAAATGAAAGCGGAAGCGAAGGGGAAAAGATAGCAAAAAGCAAAAAGCTCAGCCGCCCAAGTCCCGAGTTGAACTCGAGACCAGCTGCAAGACCTACGAAAATACCACATATTTTCCGCCCCAGCACACTACCACGTAAGCTACTGGAGGTGTTGAAAGGTCTGGATTCAAGGCTTATATGGTCCTAGGGAAGGTCCTGCCGCTGGAAAGCTGGGGCACGTACCGTTCTGTCTGTGGGGCTCGCTTCTATCCCCTCACTCGGTGCCCCTGTGGCAGTCGTGGCCCACCACTACTGCAGATGCTGTATTCATTCCAGAGGAGGTTTTCTCCGGTTGAGGTGGTTCTTTCTCTTCCAAAATCACGAACTCGAAGACATCACGAAACGCAAAGGTTAATGCAAAAACTCACAGAAGCAATGATCATCTGAATCTTTTCTCGCAGATCTGCCCGCATTGTCTAACCTGAAACGCAAAAGGGTATCAAGTCAATCTTCAAGAAACCAAAAACTGGATGCTCCGTGGTGCTCACCACACTCTGCATTCCCAAACCGATGTTTTCTTTCACTGATTTGGTTACACATACTTCCTCACCCTATTCGCATGAACATTTGTTTGCGATGAAAAGAGGAGAAGGGGTCCAAACTGTGATGATGTGGCCTCAAAGCGAAAGAAAGTCTGTATACCCGTGTAAATGCCGGCAGAGGTGTACGCGTAACTGTCCGGGGGTTTTTTTCCCCACCCTCTGGGCTGTGCAGAGGGTGGGTATTGGATGAACTGTTTAATCCCCTCGTCTCGGAACTGTTCGGCAACTCCTACGTCAGAGCAATTCAGAAGATAAGGGTGGGGATTGGATGAACTGTTCGGCAACTCCTACGTGAGTACGAGCAATTCAGAAGAGGGGGAAGGAATCTCCTATTTATGTCTCACTACACCGTGTTCTTCACCTGATTGCTTTTTCGCAACTTCTCTTTCTTTCCGCAATTGCACAACCTTCATCTGAATTTCTGACTTATACCTCCTACTCGATAATCACCATGGGTTTCTTCGGTTTCGGTATGTGTCTCCCTGGTTGAATCAAGTCACACGCACCTACCTCTGGGCACTGACTACCGTGCTAACCTCACCCAACCCTTTTCCCTCCCAGACGAAGCCAAAGAGGCACACTCCCAACTCTACGACGACGACGACAACACCAACCCAAAGTTCTCGCATGAGCTTCTCGGCGGCGCCGCCGCCTTCGAGGCCATGCATATGTGGGAGAAAGAACAGCGGCGCGAGGGTAGACCCGTCTCCCACGGCGTGGCCAAGGAGGCGCTTGCTGCCCTGGCCGGGGCGGAAGTCGAAAAGGTGATTGAGCGGAAGGGTCTGGAGAGACATGTGGACCGCGAGGAGGCGAGGAGGCATGCCGAGGAGAATGCTCGCGAGTTGTATGATCGGCAATATGGAGAGAGGGAGATGTATGATCCGTGAGTCTCCCTCTCCTTGCATTCTCTGCTTGGCTTCATGGCAGATTCCCTTTTTGTTTGGCTTTTTTTGCTGGAAGCTTCTGAAGCTGATCTTGGAACTCACATGTGTAATACTAACACGGTGCAGAGGTTGCGAGATGCATGAGTCGATGCGGGGCTATGGCTATTGAGAACGTCAAGTGCTTGGGACGGAATCATCAAGATGAGGATATGGTTCTTCGAAATGGCATTTGTAGCTGTGTGCCTCCGGGCACGCATCAGAGAATTTGGATAATCTCGTCCAGCCCGATGGGACACTCATGTAAATGCATGCCACATCCAATGTACATCTGTTCTCCATGACCGAACGTGTTCGTTCAAAGGACTAAATAACTGGAAGCCAGGAGCAACCATACAATCGAGATTGCCATCAGGATAAGGATACGCATCGTTGCGCTCGTAACGACGGGAAAGCCCCGTGATAACTCCTCCAAGCAACAACAACAACCTAACAACAACACAACCAACCCCACCAGTACCCCCATCCCACAACCTATCCACTTAAAACGAGGAAAACCAGAATTGGTATTTTGGGGTGTCTGGGGAGAGAAAGCTAAAATACATAGCTCGTCTAACGACTCGAGTCTTATTAACATTTTGCCTAGATTTAGTACGTAATTAGAAATTGTAGGTTTTATCATACCCCCTTCCTAAAATGCTTCGCCCTGGAAGCAAAACACCAAAACTCTACCAAATTTTACCCGTTCCTTATAATAATTCGTACTTTTCTTCATAATACAATCCCCTCATCCTTTTAATATAGCCCCTATATTACTTCTAGCCTCTTCCTCATTAGTACCAAATCTACGATTCTTATAATATCTCCCTAATTCTTTATAAATCGTTTATTTCTTCTAATTTATTCAATTTAATAAATCTTTTAACGACAGCCCTTTATTCACTTCTATTATACTCTCGTTTCTTCGCTTTTTTAATTCTTCTAATAAATTTCCTACGTCTATAGTCTTCTCACTTTCTTCTAACTATCCCGTCCTCCCTCGGTATTTTTTAATATAATCGATATACAATTTTCTTCTTAATCCCGACTTATAAACATATTGTACCAAAAATAATTATAGGAATACCTTTTCGATAATACGCTATAGTCCAACCTATTTCAATTAAAACTTTAAATATATCTTTACGTTAGATTAATTTCCTACACCCATTCTCTAATACTAAATACCTCTTTAAACTCTCCAATTCTCTCTCTTTCCTCCGCTCTTATAGCGTAAATATTTTTTACCGCTTAATAGCCTTTTTTTCTTTATAATATAAAAGCTATAATTCGATCGAATTATTCTGGGTCCTCCTTAATATTTTTAATATCTAATTCTCCCAATTATTAAAATACTTTATTAATATATTCAAACCTCTTCAATTAATATTCTAATAATACTATAGCTGGAATTGCTCCGAAATTAATAATCAACCAACTATTAATATTATTAATAGTAATTAGTAATATTATCGGCTAGACTTCTAACATCTTACCTTTTCTAACTACTCCCTATTTCTTTAATTCTACCGAAATTAATCCTGTACTTTTTTTAATCAATTCCGAACTCTTTAAATTATTTATTAAGCCGATAATTATTTTAATTCTATAATTCCCGAATATTATTTATAAAACCTCATTTTTAAAATGCCGACTATCATTAAAATATATTTAGTACGGTTATCCAAATATCAGTAACTATACGTATACGAAAATATATCTTATAGAAAATACAGAGGCTTCCTATAACGCTATCGCTAGGACGAATTGAAAAGAATAATTTACCGCTACTAAAATATATTAATACCCTTCTAAAAATATTAGGTAAATTAGACCGAAAAAATTAATTCCTACTAAAATTATCAGTTTATAAATAATAATACTTCTCGGTAATTCCTATCCTTTTTTCCAAGCATATTATTAATATAATTAATAAATTCTGTAATATTTAATAATATCTATAAAACGAATTAGCTACTAATATCTTCCTTTAATTTCTTAAAAAGTTATTATAGGAAAATAATACCTATATCTATCATATACGTTCTTTAGAACGTTCGGCACTTTGCTAGGTAGAATATATTCAATATAAAATTCGGTAAACTCCAAGCGTTATAATTTACTTGATATAATAATATATTTATATACTTTTACTCTTATTTTCTTTTATTCTACTTTAAAAAGATAAAATACTCAATTTTTCCTATAAATTAAAAATATAATTAAATTACTGTATTAAATTACCTCATCTTTTTTAAAATATTTATTACCGATAAATACTTTAAAATTTAAATTAAAAGGTAATACAAGGTCGTTAGCATCTACTTCTATATCTATATCGTTATTACTTTTAAATACTCTAATTATTAATTTCCTCGCTTTGATATCGCTATATGATTTAATTTTAAACTCATTATAAAAATGTAGCAAAATACACAAAAAGCCATCCGTAATTTAAATAACCTTATTAGTATTCGGGCAATAGTAAAATTCAACGTCGAATTTAAAAATAATATTAATTTATTTCACAACCTTCGAATAAATTTTATTCTAAATCTTTATTATTCTAATAATTAACGCGTAATCTATATAAATATAAATCGGGTATTCGAATATTTCGATAATTTATTACATTTTTTTCAATACCTTTATAATTACTAATATTTTTTCTCCGGGTTAGATTATTTTATTTCGGAATTTTATAAGCCTTATAAGAAAAATAAATTTATTTTTAAATTACTTTAGTATTTTCGCTATTCGTATTCAGTAAACGGATCGTCCTCCGCAATTTGGAATATCATACTTCCTAAACCGGTAGTAGAAGCGTTAATTATTATATAAATTCCCTTTTTATAATTAATACCGTATAGAATATTCTTTTTAATTATTATAGTTAGCGCTATTAGTACCTTCTCTTAACGCTCTCCCTATTTAAATATTTTTCGGTCCACCCAAATTTTCTATACCGAAATAATCCCGGAGGACGTTATTCCTACTACTTCTTTGTAAAATACTTCTTTTAAAATTCTAATAAAATCTATTCGGCCGGGAATATATTTATATATAAAAAAGGTAAAATAAATTAATTCTTTTACTTCCTCTTAAAATTTCAAAGGCTCTTTTAATTATTTCTAAATTTAATGTCGGAATTTATAATAATATTTTTCAATTAGCAATATTCTCCCATTTTTAATATAAAAGCCTAAAGTCTCTACATTATTTATAAATAATTTTACTTTATCTCCTAATAAAAGTATTAGTTCGAATACTACCTTTACAAAATATTTTTCGGATAAAAATTATAAATAGGTTTAAAAGTCCTAACTAGTTATATAATAATCGTCTACATAAATTAATATTATATTCCCTAAATTAAAATTATAACTGAAAATAAATATTTTCATAGGGAAAAATATTACTTCTTCTCTTACTTTTTAAAAATTTTCAATCTTTATATCCATCTATTTTAGCAGTTTTACTAATAGTTAATTATACTCTCTATTAATCAAATATTTACTTATATTTCAATATCTCTCTACTAAGTTTCTATAGTATTCGTAATATTAATAATTCAGAATAGCGATTTTAAATAGCAACGCTCTAAATACTAAATTTCCGAATCGTACGTAAATTATTATTATATTCTCTATACCCTAAAGTATTTTATTATAATAATAGAAATTATAAAGAATCTAAATGCTAATTATAAATTAATATCCTAATCGTATATTAATTACTTAATACTTATTTTTAATATTAATATGTTAACGTGTGGCTAGTACTGTGCCTTGTAACTGCCTTGTACTACCTTGTAGTATAGAAGGCTAGTTGAACTATTCCTTCTACGGAATCAGTTGACTCAGTCCCCACAGAATGTACTAGAATACAAGAGGTTTTGCCACTGTATTCTAGAGTCTTATAACTTAGCTAGCATTTCTTCCAGACTGATTTGTCATCACAGGATTCAACAGAAGCTTCTAGATGCTTAGTGTCCATGTATATAGAGACCTCTCCTCTCCTTCAGTTCGTCACTCCTTAAGCAAGCAAGCACAAGTCAAGCAATACAATATAGTCTTTTCTCACAGTGCAGAGTCCACTGTAATCTTCTGTCTTGAGAGCAGAGTCCTCTCTAAGACCTCTTTTACAACATCCTTTTATTGTACTTGCAACTACGCTGCTTCCTTCAGCATTGCTGTCGTACTTCCTACCGCTTCCGCTCCGCTCTGCTACAAGTGCATAGTTCACTGTAGCAACCTTGTACTGGTGCTATCATTATAGGCCAGTCAGGGCACCGCAGCAAACATAATATTTAATATAACCGTTATTCTTCCGATTAATAAATCGTCTATTAAAACTTCTGTATTATAATAGAGATATATTAATTTAATAATATACCAATTTACGGGCCGAAAATTGTAAATTGTACGTTTATCCCTTAATATCTTTACATTAAGCTTCAAAAGATAGAAAATATTAGTAGCATAAAAGGATTTTATTTCAAATATAATCTCCGCTTTTTTTATAATTAAAAATATTTTTATTACGAAAACTTTTTAATCTTTCGAGTATTATATTAACTTAAATATTATAGGATTTAAATTGTAATATAAATTTACTAAATATTTAACGAAATCGGTTTTCGATAAATTATTTAAAATTTTATAGAAATAATTTTTCTAAGCGTAGTAAAGTCTTTTAATTAATTCGACCTTATCGTTTATATTTACCTACTTCCTAATAATAATACCTTTCGAATACTACTAAATATTAATAGTATCTATATTTTTATTCAATACCAACCTCTTTTATAAATATTTCCAAATTTCGAAGGGGTTTCTCTTACTTCGCTGTTTTACTATAGCTAACCCTAACCCTAATATTTATACCTCCGAAGGATAAAATCGTCTTAGTAAATTTAATAATAACATCGTCCTATATATATATATTAAAATAACTTCGGTCTGATATTTACCGTACTAATTCTAAATATAGAATTTTCTAAATTATTAAAATTCAATAAGGATAAATTCTTATCTAACGCTAATATTAATTAATGTTAAAATAATAATACTTTATATCCTAGGATAATGGGCCGATATTTTATAATATAGGTTTTAACTTATTAAAAAACTTCTTCCAAATATTTTGGGTCGTTTTATTCATACTTCTAAATAGCGTTAACAGTAAATATATTATTAGCCGACGTTATTTAATAGCAACGGGTAATAATATTCTTTTTTCCCTCTATATTAAATTTAGTAAAATACAACGCGAAGTCTATTAGGGAACGAACTCCTAGTAATAAATTTACTATCCTTAATTTCTTAATATTAGGAAGTTAAACGCTTTCCGGCTTTTCTTTATTCTAAATCGCTTCGAATATTTTAATAAAGTAAGCTTTAATCGTTTTCGAAGTCTTAATAAGGGATTTTGAATAATAAGGAGTAAAATTATAAAGTAATAACGTTTTACTACCCGATTATTTTACGGGATTAATTATTAGATTTTTATGTTTTATTTATACATTAAAATTTATTATACTAGATTTAACCTAATCCTTTTTTTCGGGCTATTATAATGAGTGTACTTAAGAATTCTTCAATAATTTTAATATTAATTTACTTCTTTATAATATTATTAATACTATTTTATTAACGATTATTTGGAAATTCCAATTCCAAAAGGGGTTGCGTAGCGACGTTAAAATTTAATAGGATAATAAAGCTATAAAGGATAATAAAACTAATGAAATTTCTATTAGTATAGTATTCTTTATTTATTTTCTTTACTAAGCCTTTTTAAACCCTATAAATATTAACGAATTATTAGGATTACAAAGGAAGGAAGATAAAATTTTCGAATTCTATTTAAAGAAAATTAAAAGGTTATTTTAAAAGGTCGGTTTATTAAGTGTAAAATTACGTAGTATTTGCAGTAAATGTATTATTAGAGGATTAATATATATTGCGACTAAGTATAAGAAGTTGGATAAATTATTTCGTTTGAAAATAAAGGATTTCTTATTGAATATAAATATTTTAATGTTTATAAATAAAGGTAAAAATATTTTAACCGCCACTTTTACCTAAATTAAGTAAATACTTTATTGGAAATTATTCCGGCATTTCTTATTCGGTTTATAATATAATTTTTTAATAAAGGTAAGGTATGAATTAATATAGTATTTGTAGAATAAGATTATTAAAGAATTTAAGAAAACCTTTTCCTAAATTTGTATTTAGTAGCTTCCTATATAAAATAATAATAACTTGTTTATAATATAATCTCCTATTAGCTTTATTATAATTTAACTTAGTATTTAATTTAAATAAATAATATAATTATCTTCCCTTAAAATATAATACTGTTCCCTAGCGCTCTATAAACCCTCCCTAATAGTATTCTCTAGATTATAAATTACCCGAACGCCGCCCCTTTATAAATTTTGAATTATTAAGGAGGTAATTAGAATAATAATCGGCCAAAAATTTTTTATAAAATTATATTAATTGTTAGTATTTTTACGATAATTATAATGTTATTTATAATTATTATAATTAATAATATTTTTATTAGAGAGTTCCGGATTACGTAAGGTATAATAATTATAATTGCCGCGAGGCTGTATTGAACGGATAGCTGTTAAATAGAAATCGTTTTTAAGGGGCGCCCGGTTTTGTAAATAATTAATATAGTTAGGGAAGTAGATAGTAATCCTATTAGCCCGGCCCCGGAATAGTTCCGTTGAATAATTAGTAGAATTAAGGTTAATAGTAATAGGGATAAATTTAAAATTAATCTTTTAATAGTTAAATTATTAATAAATAGAATTTCAATAATTAAAACCCGAACGGTTAGTAGTAGAATAGTATTTCGGGCTAAAGTTTTAGAAATATTATTTAGTATACTATATAAATATTATTCTTTTAGAAGACGATTAGCAATTCCGTCAATAAAATTATAAGAGAAATTTATAAATTTAAAATCGAAGTTAAGAAGAAGATTAATACTATTATTAAGGAAGTTAATATAGAAGTTTATATTTTAAATAACCTATAAGATTATAATTTAGATAAAGAATATAAGCTTTACGTATTCGAGGCTATTTGTATTAAAGAGACTGTACGCGCTGTTAAATAATTTTTATAGGAAAGAAAGAAGTTTATATCCGATTTAGAGGGAGTTTATACCCTATAGGATTTTAATATTAAAATGAATAAATCCCTTAAGGAGGCTTTATTCTAAAATATTTATAACGTTTTTAATATTATCCTTCCGGTTATTTACGAAAGTAATAATTCAATAATTAATATAATTTCCGAAATTATTAATAGAAATAAGGTGCTTACTATTCCCAGTACCTTATATATTATTAAATTAGCGAAGAAATTTATTTTGCTGCCGCCCTATTATAAGAAAAAGGAAGTTAATATTAAAATTGGTACCGAATTTTCAATTAGAGCGAATAGGGAGTCGGAGAAAAATAAGTAGAATATTAATAATCTTAAAAATCCCTCCTTTATTTAAATCCGAATTATTAGTAAAAAGACGGTTGCGCTATTCGATATGATTAAATAGATTTTCGTAAAGCGTTATTCTAAGAATTATATTAATACTATAAAATAATTAAATATTGAACCTTTTAATATAATTAAAGCGTTAGCGGAATTATTCTACTAATAAATATTTTATAAATTTTTAACATAGTTTTATGCGTTTATATTAAATTTATTAAAGTTATTACAGTTAGAGATTATAATAATAGGAGTAAAAAGAAGTCAGCGAAGGAAATCATTTTTAATAAGTAAATAAATAAAATTTAATTAGAAGAAATTAGTCCGAAAAAGGGATAGAAAAAGGAAATGTAGGATATTACAATAGATATTAAGAGATTGGGAAGAATTTATATAAGTTTTATCGAAGGGTATATTAATAATTATTATTTAGCGTTTTTAATATTAAATTTTAGTATTACTATAGAGTATATTAATCCCACTATAATTAAAAAATTCGGCCTTACTCTACATAAATTTAATAAATTATAAACTATATTATTAGCCAATAATTTAATTAATATTATTAATTTCTTGGTTATTATCAAAGTAGTAATTAGAAATATTATAATAAATTAATTTACGGTAGTATATAATAATAGATCTTCGTATAACATAATATTAAATTAGAATTAAATATTTTGTGTAAAGGCGGTTTAAGATTAAGAGTAGAAGAAGATTACTATTTAGGATCGTAATAGCGTTAATAGCTCTATCCCTTTCGAAATAGAGGAAAAATTAGAATATTATATTATCTTTCCTCCCGGCTCTTATTATAAGGATTTAAAATTTATATTATTCGGCTTCGGCGACTTAAGTAATAATAAGGAGGAGGAAATATTCTTCGACTACGTAGAGGAAATTATTAAAAAAACGTTAGACGAAAATTATAAAGAATTTTAATTAATTAATATAAAGGTAAATTCGGGCGGGATTACTATTCTTATATAAAGGGGGGATTACTTTTCCAATTTTTGAATAATATTATCTTCTTCTCTTTATATAGAAGATAATACTAAAAAGAATTAGCTTTCGCTCTCTTCCTAACTAAAATTTTATAAGTACTCTAATTTAATTAAAAGCGCCAGCAGAATAAGATAGAAAAGAATAATATAGAAAAGACTACGGTAGTGTAATGAATGAACGTAGAGAGAAGAAAAAGAAAAAAAGGAAAATGTAATAAAGAAAGGAGAAAGTAATATAACGAAGCCGAAAGGGTAAATAGTAAGCGACGCAGGGTAATTTAATACGTTATTATTATTATTATAATATAATTAAGAAAGAATAAAAAGATTGAGTAAAAAGATTTTAATTGCGTACTATAAAAATTTATTTAAGTCTCTTCGTAAGGAAGGAGCGAAGATTTTTAGTAAAAAAGAAAAAAAAATTCTATTAGAATATTGAAATAATTTTAGGAACGAAGGAAATATATTCTCGGAGTGCTAAGAACCTTATATAATAATCCGTACTACTTTATAATTATATTATAATCATAGTAGTTACAAGCCTTATAATTAATATTATTAGATAGGTTTAATTTATTAAAGGAAAAAAAGTTTGAAAACTGCTAAGTATTAAAATATAGAATATATATTAGTTTATTTCGTATTGAGGGCGGTTCCGAAACGAATTAAAAAACCCTCAAAACTAGAAAGGTACTTTTATTCTAAAATTAGAGATTGTATTACTTTTAATGGAATTAAGATAATACGGGAATATGGGATGGGCCGGGTTCTATCCGATTTATTTTTACTAGCGAAGTAATTATTAGCGTTAACTAAACTTTTACTACATATTAACTTTAGTAGTTATTAGGATATTCATAAAATAATTAGTAATATTGTAAGTATATTTGGAAAATATCATTTGGTGCTGCAATTCTATATTGCTGAAATGAAATTGAGGAATTTACCGAACTTCTAGGAATTTGGGAATTTAAATAGAATATCGCCTACGTTACTTTGGACGAAAAAGAGTCTCGAAATAGAATGAAATAAACATAAAGAAATGCCGGTAGTAGAGGTTGGGACTCTTGCTAAGATCCAGATGATTGTCCACTATAAAACGAGGAAAACTAGAATTGGTATTTTGGGGTGTCTGGGGAGAGAAAGCTAAAATATATAGCTCGTTTGACGACTCGAATCTTATTGGCATTTTGCCTGGATTCAGCACGTGACTAGAAATTGTGGGTCTCACACTCCTACGGTCCCACCCTCCTTACTCCTACCTCCCAAACCAGGGGCAGTCAGTCAGTCAAGTCACCCACCCACCCACCCTCACTCCTTCAACGCATCATGCCCCCAATTCTTCAAACTCCTATAACTCCTACTCTCCGTATCCTGCTTCGCCTTCTCCTCCTCCTGCGCCAGATGTCGCTTGCAGTAACTGACCACCTTCCGCATATGCACCAAATCCCCCTCCTCAAATCCTTCCGGGTCTTTATCCGGGTTTCTTCTCAGGATATCCACAATCTTCCGGCCGCTTTCGTGACCGACTGATTCGTTGGAGTCGTCGTCTTTGGTCCAGCCCGAGGAGGTGGAGGCGGAGGTTTGGAGCCAGTCCTCGAGCTCGGAGGGGGTCATGTTTACGAGCTCGTTGAACTCGCTGTGATGGATGGATGTGAGGTTAGCGTGAGATATGATGTGTTGAGAGGGGGTGGGTAGATGAATAGGTAGGCATGGGTCGGATGTTGATGTCGATGTCGATGGTGGACGGGGAGTTGGGAGTTGGGGGGGGGTGGTTAACTTGGGCGTACATACCGGATGACGGTCTCAGTGTCTTTGACCATTTTGTTTATTGCTTGTGTGAATAGCTGCTACTGCTGCTACTGCTGCCGCCGCCCCTGAAGCCGATGTTGGTGTTGTTCTTGTCACAGTTGTTGGAGGATGAACAAGGTATCTAAATCGCGACATTGTTATAGAACCTGCGCCTACGTATGAGTGATGATTTCAGAATGAATGAGGAGGAGGAGGCATGATCCTCTTTGTTTGTCGACGTTGATGTGTAAGAAAGAGGGCACGGTCACCGACACTGTGAACTTGCGTCATCGAACTGAACTGAAAGATCGGAAGCCCTGCCGGTCGGCTGTTCTCCAAGTTGTCACCAAGGAGTACAATAAGGAACGAGTGATTGCCGAACTTGTGCAGCCACATACATCAGCATCATATGTCTCAGAGCTGGACCCTGAGATCGACAGCGCAGGAAAACAGCATCGATCTGAGATCTGGAGGTGATCGTGTAGACAATCAGTTAATCACACGGAGAAAAGGGTGCCGTTTGATAATCACCAGAATCACATCGTTTCGTTATGTGTCGCTTAAACTTCGAATTCGTCGCCCATTTGTGGGTTCTATCAGATCAGGCCATTTATGCCCATAATACCATGCCACGATGCTTTTTCTCGAACTCCCCCCATCTGGGCATTTTGCCGGGAAGATATGCCCAACCACCAACCAGATTGCAAAGAATGTATGTCGCAAACGCATATAAAGACATCCCACTCAAACATGGCAGTACCCATCTCCTTCTGAGCCTGTCCGCCTGCTACAGTGGCCAAGTACATTGACTGCCCGCCAACCGTGAGGTTCCCTTTGCTGATTTACCATCTTCCTTTTCCCTTCTTCATATATCATGTTCGCCTTTTGATCTCCTTTGCCCTCCTTGATGAGACCATGAGAATGCGATGCTTTCCCCCCTTGAATACACGTACGTCCAACTTGTACAAAAATGCTTAGGTATATACTCCCACAATTACTCAATCCACATGAACTCCATCACCTTTAGTATGTAGGGAAAGATTGCTACTCCTTCCACTTCCAACCACTCTTTCCTTGCTTCTCAGTCATGGACTCAAACGAAGCCTTAATCTGCGCCCGGACCATATCCGGGTGCTGAGAAGCAAAAACCTCGATGATACCCAACTTGCTAACCATGGGCATCTGGTGCATGAGCGCCTTGAGCTGTTCCTGCGCAGCGGCCGGCAGGGGTTGGTCCGACATCTTCTGTCGACCGGGAGGTCGACGACCACCACCAGCAACGCCACCTGCTGCTGTCGCTGAGGGAGCAGCAGTAGCGGCAACAACAATAGTTGAGGCGCCTGCTGTAGTAATAGCCTTGTTAGGAGGAGAGTTACCTGCTGTAGTACCCTTTGTAAGTGCCTGGAACGCATTGGTTGGTGCTTGAGAGCCAGCGGCCTTGGCAGATTTCGCACTCATGGTGGTAGCGGCAGAGGATGGATGGAGGAGTGAGGATGAGGATGATGAAGCGGTCTGGGCAGTGACGGATACGGATGTGATCACACTAGATTTTTCGTTACCTGATGAGCTGGTCTTCGACTTCGAAGCCCAATAATCAGTCGAAAAGGGATCAATGCTGGTTTCTTCGTCCAGGGAGTCTGCAACACGAGTAAGAGGTCAGCATAGTTCACACAAGAACGATATATCCGAAGGGACTTACCCAGTATGATCTCCATCCGGCAATGATACAGCTCCGGCTTCACTGTGCACCGCTTCTCATTCTCCCAGCATATGCCAGTACTCTCTGGCTCCATGCCGCCGGAAAAGACGAGACGCTGAGGACCGACATCTTCGGAGTCATCCAAGAAGTCATCCATATCCTCATCCATCTCCAAGTCTTCCTCTTCATCATCCAGATCCTCCACATCTTCGCCTTCCTCGTCTTGCCACTCGGCCTCCGAATCATAGTCGTAGTCCAAGGGAAGGAGGTTTCTTGAAGTCGGGTTTCTTGCGAGTCTGTAGAGACTCTTGACGCCCGGAGGAAGACCACTGATTGTGCCGACATACGGTGGTCGCACATCTTGGCCGAATTTTATGCACTTGACTGGTACAGCCTTCAATGCCTCTCGCGCATCTCTGAACTGAGTGTTCTCTGTGGTGAGGTCCATGGCCCTGCTTGATGACTCTCCATAGATCTCCGTCATGATCTTGCGCACACTCGGATAAGGGCATCCGCGCCTTTGGGTCTTGAAAGGTAGTTGTAAGGCCTCCAAGGGGTCGAACTTCTCCGGTATCGGGAACTCCGCCCGCTTTCCCTCGGCGTACTCGTCCAGTATCCTCGACTTGGCCTCCCTGGCCTCCTCGTCTGCCTCGAAGGGGTTCTTGGCTAGCGTGACAAACTCCTTCACGTAAAAGGGCTTGAATAACCTCCGGTAGGCTTCATCCTCCTTGGTGAGACTCGGTGCATCCGTCATTTCGACATCTTTGCTTTCGACCTTGACTGCGACTGGCTTCTCTTTCGGTGTGGCTGGGTTGATTTTGAAGAGCGATGTGAGCTTCATCTGTCGGCCTTTCTTTTTGGCCTCCTCTTCCTCCTTCTCGCGTTTCTTGCGCTCCTTCTCCTCTTTCTCCTCCTGCTTTCGCTTTTTCTCCTCCTCCTTGCGCTTCAGCTCCTCTTCCTTCTCGCGCTTCTTTCTCTCCTTTTCCTCGGCCTTCTGTTGCTTCTCTGCCTCCAGTTTCGCCTGTTCCGCTGCCTTCTTGGCCTTGGCCTCCTCTTTCTCCTTCTTCTTGGCAGCGTCAGCCTCGGCCTTGGCCGCCTTCTCCTCGGGGGTCAGCTTCTTCCTCTTGACGGCCGGTTCGCCTGTTGTCGACTTTGTAGTTGTCGACGCAGCCTTGGCGCTGGATGTCTGCTTCTGGGTGGAGGTCGCATTGTTCGTAGAGATCGTGAGAGGTGCGAGTCGTGGGGGCGAGAGACTCGGGGATCGAGATAGACGATCCAATGGGCTGCTGGCGTCGCTCAAGGCAGGACTGGCTTTTCTGGCTCTGGGGGTTGCGGGTCCCGAAGACGGGGGCGGTGATGACCTAACATTCTCCTCTGTAGATGTTGGTGGTTAGCCTCACTCGCGTTTGGGCGCGGGCTGATCTCAGAACGCGGTACTTACTGTCATCGAAAGAGCTTGGAGGTGGGACCTCTTCCCGGAATTGGTCGTGTGACCTCTTGAGACTGGAGGAGTCCTCCTGTCCACTTGTGGAAGTTGTGAACAGAGGCATAGTGTTGTTGACTTCCCCTGTTCTACTTGGTTGTTGGGTTGACGCGTACTATTCACGGTCCAGACTAACGCGGTCTGGTCTGAAAAAGGTCGATTGAAGTTGAGGGGTTGAAAGTTTAGAACAGACAAGGTCTAGGTCCCACAATTAGGCAGGTCGTACATGCGCTGGGCGGTGTAAAGGAATGGACCGCTGCCGGGCGGTTACTCCCAGGCGTCGTAGAAGAGACTGTATGGTAAGGTGAATGGGAACGAAACCTGCTGCAGAGAAGGCCGGGAAGGTCGAGATGTCGCCGTTGGTGGTGTAGTTGGTTGTTGTGGGGAGTGAAAGGCCTGAACCGATTGGTGATTCTTGGTTTCTGCAGTGGTCCGCGGTTGCTGCCGCCTGAGCGGGACGCGTTTGGTGACACCAAGGTCGCGCCTTTCAATTTAGCCCAAGTGGATCCCTACCGCGCCTAACGTGCCCCACTTCTAATCTACGGGAAGCGGAGCGTGATTTCGCGTCAGTTCGAGAGGGGTGTGGCTTTCTTCTCTCTTTCAATTAAACTTGCTGTGGCTGGAAGTGTGGCAGTATGACTTCACTGGTATTGCCGGTTTAGTGGTGAGTGCGAGTTATCTTTCTGTTGTTCAAGTTCTGAAAGGAAAAGGATTGGTTGACCATCGATACACCTCTTAAATATCGTGAACCTCTACGATCTGGTGACCAACGCTGTTGACACTGAAAGGACGCACCTGTTGCTCATGTACGACTTGGAAGCTTCTGTGAGTAACCTCATGAGTTTCATCCAAACCGACTTCGATGAATTGTTTACCTTCAGCATGGCTGCCTGTCTTCAATCCTTCCAGGCAATAGTCGTCGTCAACTTTCAAGGGAATAGTGGCATCACTAACACCCCATCCCTAACCCTGGAACATTCGCGCCCATTCAGGTTCAGACTTCATGGACTTCGCTACCACCATCCTCATCCCCAAAGGCCATGGGAAAGTGAATGTGACAAGGTTTCACTTAGATAGCCTCGTGGTATGTGGCTTGACTCTAGGCGTGGTGAATGAAGGCTGCCATGGCTTCCTACATCTTGCCCTTTCGTCGTCCTCTTCCCAGCTTCCAGTTTCTCCTATAACAAACCGTGTTATGGAACCAAGTTCTCCAAGGGGTGAGATCACAGCTCTGCCTACATCCGGCCTTATTATATACCTGTAACGGACGCAACTATGATCCTTGCTCCATCTGAAAACTTGGATGAGGGTACTCAAGAACCAAGGAAATAGCAAACAGTTCCATTATGCCGCGACTTATGAGTTGTTAAGAGTTAGGCGCTCCAAACAGGATCGGCCGTGTAGACGCCGCAACGATGACAACTTGACCTCTATGCACGGTTGGCACATGTCGAATGATTGTTGCCTTGTGTATGTATGTCATCTCAAAAAACAGATCGCGTTCAAGTGGTATCTCAAGGATCTCTGTGTGTGTGTGTGTGTGTGTCCCAAGGCGAGGTATTATTTTTTCGAATAACCCTATCCAAACAACAGTTGACTACCATCGAACCTGTTGTGCTGTGCTGTGCGGTGCAGGCGAGACAGTGACCTGTGTCCGTGCCTGACAAGATTTTCCCAGATAAAAAGAAAAATAAGAAAACCAAAACGCAAACACCCATGCGCCTAGCTATGCATGTAGTTTCAGGTACAAATTCCCATGCTGTAGATCACAGGTTCCGGCTGTTTGGCAAGTCCGGAACCCGGTGTGTAGTAGTAAAATCCCCCACTTCAATCCGCTCCCGTATCTGCTTGCTCTAATCGGGGTTGGCGATGAACAAGCGGCCCGACGAGTTGAGCGTCATTGTCCTCTCGTATGTCCTTTCGTCCACGCTTCCCCTCCTCCTGAGCTCCTCGGGGTTCTTGACGCTCTTCTCACGCGTCAAGGCGGCGTTGAGTAAGCTGTTGGTAGCCAGCTGTCGTTGTGGGTGGGCCTGGAGGTCAGGGACGGCATCTAGACGCTCGCCACTGCTCCCGCTGGCGAAGCTCAGGGCCTTTCCGCTAGCCGCATCATTGCCAGCAGAGGCCTGCTCGCTGGTTTGTGCTAGGGAGCCCCGTCGCTCTGGTGTGTCGCCCGGGGTCCACCTTCTAGACCCGGAGCCTTGTGAATTCGATGGTCCGAGTTGTCCGGAGGCGCGATAGCCCAATCCCTTCCTTCCGCTGGCGGTGCTGCTTCGACTGGAGCTACCGGTTCTCCGGTGATTGTTGTATCGGTTCATAGCGTCGTTATCGTCGTCGCTGTCTTCACCTTCCACCTCGGTCGCGCTAAGTCTGAGAGGGATGCCTCCCACGCCGACGTGGTGGCCATCTGGTATGTATCCGACGACTGTCGGCTTGCCGTGGTGTCGGATCTTTGCGGCGACCTTTCCTCCTGCCGACAGACCGGTTGTCGCGCGGCCGCTGGTCATTCCCGCACCGGTTACCGCGCCCGAAACTTCCCTAGCCGCCCGCGTCTTAGCAGCACGCTGCTGTGCTAGCAATCTGGGATCCTCATATTGTGCACGGTCGCACCATACCGTCGCCTTTTGCTTTCGTAAAAGTGCAACATAACTGGTTGGTTGGTCGACGGTGCCGCCGGAGCGACTCGAGGTAGATCTCCTGATGTCGCTGGTGGGCGACGTTCGGTAGGCGGCTGGCGGGGGCGGCATCCCTCCTCCGCTTGAGACGGTGCTGAAAGTGTTCACGCTGGGCGATCGTCGTTGGTGGTTCGATTGAGATTGGACGAGATGCATCGGCATCGGCATTTGCATTTGGTAGTTGGCAGTCACTGGTGGCGATGCTAGAGGAGAGGCGAAGCCATTGGAGCCGGTCCGCGACCGAGAATGCGAGTGATGTGAGTAACCAGCGTGGAATGAGGGATCCATGGGAGCTCGCCGGCGAGCGTATTGGGGATCCGCCATAGTCTCCAGTCTCCACCCACTGGCGCCGGATGGGGAGATGAGGATACGAGAGGGCCGCTACCTCTAGGGAATGATACGTTGCGCGATCGTCGGGAATTTGTTTCTGAAGGAAATTGGCAGAGGGCCGGGGGTGGATGTTGTAGTTTTGTTTGTTGGTTGGACTTGGTACGATTCGGATGCGCTATCTCTACGGAACAGGCAACCGGAGCGATGGTGTCGAGCTAGGGAGGAGGACCGCGGACGCCCGCGGCGCTGCGTTATGACAGCTGGCGGCGGCTAGATACCCCGGGTGCAACGTGAGGCGACGGTGATGGATGCCGACAGCCGCTGCGCTGCGATGTGCTGTTGCTGTGCTGGTGCTGTGCTGTTGCGCAAGTCGCTGCACAAATTGATGTGCGGTAGTGGAGGGATCTGCTGCTGCTGCTGCGGCGGCGGCGGCGGTCTACGTTAGTAGGTACCTAGCGAGGTAAACCGTGACCGTGGCGGGACCGAAAGCGCGAATGGACTTGAAGAGAAAAAGAGTTGCAAGACTTATTGCACCTGATACCGAGTCAAAGCATTGGGAGGGGAAAGAGCGAGAAGACAGAAAAAAGAAGAGGACGGAAGAAGCAGGCGGGATGGGATACAAAAGGGCAAAAAAAGGCAAGTGCAAGAATGCAAACCTGGGTCGGGAAGGAAAAGACTGGCGAGCACAGAGTGGACGATGTCGGGTTCAAACTTGGCCGGGCGCTCCCACGTTGCATGCGCGCTGGCCCTTGTTCGATGATGCTATGCCTGTGGCGCCCGGTGGGCTTGGTGGGCTTTGGTGGGTTTTGATCTGTCTGGCCCCGGTGAACACATCCCATCCCAGCTCCCGGTCCACCAACGAGCGCCAACAAGCACGGGCATCCACAAAGACGGCCGGTTGTTCACACATGCGGCCTCTTCGCCGTCCTTGGCCTCGCTCGATTTACTACCGTGGCCGTTGGTCTTGCTGGGCCATAGCAGGCCTGCTTGGTGTAGGGCCGTCCGAAGGGGTACTTTGGTTGGGATCCCCTCTTTCCTTTCTAGTGTACATGCCGCTGGGTTTGTTTTTGATACTATCTCATGCCGTTGAAAGACTTTTTGAGATTGTGGTGTTGTACCATTCTTTGGCTGTCCGTGCGTGACGGGAGGTTGTAATATCTTTTCGAGATGCGTGGATGTGTTGTTGGTGCAAGATCTTCCCAACCCGCAAAGATACGTTACACAGATGTCCTGCACGTAAAAGATGCCTTTCATCGATGGCGCAGCCTTGAGAGCTTCAAAGGCTATGGAACTACGGAAGGCTGGCTGAGTGAGAGCGTGAGCAGCAAAGTCGTGCTCCCGTCCGTCTGGACTGTCGTGTCCCGTCTTCCCAGGGCACCGGTGACACTGGCGTTCTTTGCTTATTAGCGGATTCGCTAGAGACACCATTCAGATCGCGGGAATCCCTTCACGCCGGGAGAAAAAGACCGAAACTCGCCGCCACGCCATCAATAATATCTGGAGAAAAAAAAAAGAAAAAATAAAGACTGGATAAAATATGGAATGGCCATGATCCCCTTCAGACGCCGACGTAGTTCACCATGCCAAAAAAAACCCCCATCCCACTGGTCATCTCAGCTGAAGAGAGCGCTGGCCAAGGCGCCAATGGTGGAGGAGAAATACGGCGGAGGGTTATCGAGGGCCTTGACGGCAGCCTCCTGGCCCAATCACGCTTCCACGAGGGCTGCCCGTCTCCGGAACTTGTGCGAACAGGCCGGCACCTTGTCCTGTCTCCCAGGGCCTGATGGGCGGAACCGGGGATGGCCATGGACAGGCCAGGACTGGGGCAGCACGCAGTGAGATCGCTAGAGCCTTCTCGGCTGCTGAATGCAACCTCTTTTTTTCTCCTCCCGGACGGGCGGCCAGGTGGAAGTGGGGTTGATGAGACTGTTTCTTTTTCCTTCGGTCGGGTCGTTCAGGAGGGTAGCTCGCTGGGTCGGGCAAGTAATCGGCGGAGATCGAGATCTTTTTCGCATAACCTTTGTTATCAAAGTGCAAGAAGATGCAGAAGACCCGTGATGCCTGGCCTTGATTTGCTCCTTCTCCCGTCTTCTGGTTCCAGGATTTTGGCCGTTCCGGGTCCGTGATTGATAGATTGGCATTGGCATTTGGCATTGGCATTCAATTGGCATTGTGCACAAGCGGCTCTTGTCAGCCGAGCGCGAGAAAACCCCAGGTCTTTGGGAAGACCCCAGTTTGCGGCACAGATTGCAACTAACGGCTATAAAGTACAACGACGTATCATCAGGATAGATCCATGTTACCACGACCACAACGACCCAAGGAATAAGAAATCCCTATATGAAAAACCCCGCCTTCCGAAACGAAAACACTGACGAGGGCGGTACGGTGATGTCAACGGTGGTTAACTCTCTCACACGGCCTTCGCGACTGGCATGGACAAGCCGGGTTGACAATGCCAAACTAGTGGACTCGGTGGACAATCACATCCCCGGTGATCATTCCGACTTCCGGCTTGGTTTTGCTCTGATTTCCCTGTTTAGACAGGATGGATAACATCTGCGACTGCAACCGCTCTGCACAGCGGGCACCGTAGGTACTGTTAGTGACACCCGTGCATAACCTCAGTTGATAGCGTCGGTCGCAGGAATCAATAGTGCCGTTGGGGGTTGCTGGCAGCCTGGCTCAAGCCAGGCCCGTCCCGACCCCGGAGTCCTGAAAACTTGGAATTCTGGTGTTGAATTGTTGGTTGGGCCGAACGGGTACCTGATGCTCAGAGGGTGTGGTGTTGAGTTCGGAGCAAACCACTGGTCAGTTCGTCCAGCGCCAACACCGGTACCTGAACTAGTTTTTTTTCCTCGCTGGAAATGTGAGTCGAATTGGAGTTCTCTATCGAGTACCTCTATCGCAGTTCATCCCGTCTTAGCGCTCACTGAGAAGTATCTTGTTGGCGGCTGACCAGTCACTCCAGTTTCTCACCCTACCATCGGGACGATTTTGCAGTGACTAACTGAGCTAGCTAGCAAGTTTTGCACGAGGCTGGGGTCCCAGTCAAAGATTGCGCGGGCCGCAACGAGATTTTCTTGAAGCTATCGCGACGAGACCGGCTGCATGTCTCATGTGAACCGGAAGCTGGCTGCAGTGACCGGGACGTGGACTTTACCGTGAGGGGTGATGGGGGTTCTGTTAGCGCGGGGTATCAGTGCGCCCGTGTCGACAACGGGAGCACCAACACTCAACTAGTGGTCCTTCAGAAATTTCTAAACGTAATAAATTTCGAAAATTTCTAAAAATTTACCAAAAAATGAGATAAATTTCCATTCTTTCACATTATATAACTAAAATCAAGGGTTTTTTAGGGTCTCAAACTAGCTACATAGAATTGAAAAAAATTGCTAATTTCATTAATTTATCGAATCTTTATTATAAAATACAAATCGAGTATAAATCTATATATTTAATAATTAGTATATTAGTTAGCGCCTCTTACTTAGTAATACCCTCATTTTAATTTCTATTTACTTCGGTTCATTACGTTAATTCTAATCGTCTACTTCTATATACTTATACAACTAGTCCTCAATTTCTAATAGGATTCGTCCCTTTATATAGGAATTAAGCTCGCAAACGATTAGTATAAGTTTCTAAACTTCCTACCGTTCATAAAATAAATATAATTATATCCATTTTATAACTAGTAAATCAGTTACGGCGAGGATTTTCAAATTAATTTATAATAGAAAAGGGTCTTTTATAAAGTACGCTATTAGTTAATATATTAAATATTTGTATAGCTTGCGGTATAATGAACGAGCCGTTATTGTAAGCTATAATCTATTATAATTTAGGGTCGAAATTTATATATTAAAAGAGACTACTATCTAGCCTATACCTATCTTTACACTTTTTAAATATAAAAAAGTCCGCGATAGCTTACTCCTCGATTATATTATTAAAAGTAAAAATATATTAACGTAGGTAAATTAAAACGATACCGCTAGTATTCTAAATAGGGGGTTAAATTTATTCGAATTCTTATTATATAATCACTAGGTATAAAAAGAAGCTTAGCTAGTTGATAGGAATTAATTATTTAATCCGTTTTAATATATATAGCCTCTCGAACTCCTACTAATCTTTAATAACGAGAAAATAACGTAATTACTACTACTTCTCCTAAATATAGACCTAGCTGGAGATAATATAACTAATAGACGCTTTATTTACTTCTAATATTAATTAGGCTTTATATAGTAGCGTTAGAAAGCGTTTAAGAACGTCAAAAGTATATTAGAATTATATATTCTCAATAATCTCTATTACTTATATAACTCGTATAAGGGTAGTAACTTTATTATTATCGCTAATAATAGCAGCAGCGGCGGCGACGTAGGGTATATCTTAGTACTAACTAAAGAAGTTAGCGTCCTTTACGAAAGTTTATAGTATAATTTATACGCGTTTAAATAAAAGGATAAATTAATATTGTAACCCCTATCTAACAATTATACTAATTTAATTAATTAACAATACAAAAGAAATATTAAGAAGGTAAATGTAATTTACTTTGCTAAGAGGGTAATAACCTTACTATAGTATATAAATATTAACCCGCGCAACTATAAGAATTGTAATTTAGAAGTACGAAAGTAATTAATAATGAAATTAATTTACTAACTTGGTATTTTAAATAGTGGTAAACTAATTAAATCTTTTACTAATAATTAGAAGGAATATAAATTATATAAGACAATAAAAGAAAGTTTAAAACAGTTATTTAATAATTCCTATATTACGCGCCGGGTAAAATTACATATATCAGTAACAAACGCATTAATTTTAACTAATTAATTAACCATTTTATTACAAATATTTAAAATGATACCAGCGAAATTTATAAATATATACTCGGTTAAACCAATATCTTTATTATATTAGAACTAAGCGTATTCCTCTAGCGGAGAAAAGGAGATATTAATAATACGTTTACTCAAGTAATCGTTTGACTCGTTAAAAAGTGAATTAATATATACGTATTTATTAATATAATATTAAATAATCTACTACTTTATTTAACTATAAATAAGAGGGAGCTAATATTTAATTAATTTAGCCGTATTGGGAGGGGTATAGATGTCATGGGGCTAGCGCTTAGGGTATTGGTTTGGTTTTATTAAGCTGGATTCCTATGGGCTCGATAAGCTGATAAGCTGATGCGAGCCTTTTAATTAGCTAGACCCGTATAATTACTTAGCTTGTACGCTCTTGGCTCTGTATACCTTAAAACCTTATTTCGATTGCACCCTTCTAGTATAGTCTTCCTTCTTATTCTCTTTGTTAAATATAGTATTTCAACCTTATACGACTACTCGCTGTGCCTTACTCTTGTAGACCCGTTACAATAGATAAATACTAGCGTATAGAGAAATACCCTTATAAGGGATAATTTAAAGAGGGTAAAAGCTCTACTATCAAAAAGGATAGCTTTAACCGCATATTAGTCAATCTATTACTTTTAAGTACTATTAAAGGTAATAACGTATTATCGAATATTATTATAGTCTTAAAATTATTAATTAACGCGAACAATTTATTACCCCGCATACCTATTAAAATATTTTCGTATTCGAATAACGTTAAATATATTACAGTAGTTATAATAATAGCAAATAATTTATTGAGTCGCTCGTCCTTCTATATTCTCGATGTTGAATTTTCTAATAAGGGCCTCATTTCGAAGATTACGTATTGGGGGTATAGCTACAAAAAAGAGGGTACGATGGGGGTGCTAGGAAGGTTGTCGATATGTGTAAAGGTATAAAGATGGGTGAAAAAGAGAGGAAGAGTTTGGGGGGTACGGACTCGTGTACGGGCCCAGAAATTTGAAAATTTCAGAAAAAATGTCATTTTTTCAGAATCTATCGATCACTACACTCAACACAACACTCTCAATACTTCACTTGAGTCATCAGAATGCCCGTTCTTGTTCCTTAGATTTCGGGCCGTGTCTGATGAGGAGCCCTGGCTGAGTCTCAGTCCTTTGAACACCTCCATTTTGACGGGAATATCGGCAGCTTTCCTGTCTTGGCGATGTGGCTCTTTTCGGCGAAAGATATCGTATCCAAAGAGTGAAAATTTCTCTTATCTTGGCCTCCAAGTCAATCAATCGATCAAGAGCCGGATTGATCTCCGAAGACGATCAATGATGAGAAATGCGCTGATATGGAATAGTTGCGCGATGGCAAGAACATGTTAGAATCATCGACCGTGAACGCGGAGAGTCGTGCGATCCTCGATACCTACCTATGGTGCGCATCCACCAATGAGAAGCCGCTCCAAGGCCGGCCATGAACTCCCGGCATGCAGCCGAACGGAACCGCTACCCCGTCCTGCCCCGCTCCGCTCCGGGGAGGGAGACCCGCTCCAAGTCTTTACATATCGCGGTAGCGAGGTATCCTCGTATCGGACCAGATGCCGGCGGCCTCTCAAAACATCAACATACGACATAAAGCTCGATATCTTTCTTGCAAATTCTTTTCTTCCTTGATTCTCAGACCGGAAATCCCGTGATAAGGTAAGTTGTCCTACTAACCTGCAAGCGGCCCGTTGGACGAGCTGGGCAAGGTTTCAGTTACAAAGATGGGTGCGAGGTGCAGAAGGTTTAGGAAACCTCTGGCACATTATCGAGATCGCCGGCGTCGTACGGTAGCTCTCACTTATATCTGCCCACGAAGTTCACGACATGACAATGGCCATGGTACGATAGACCTGGCAACCTCAACACTTGACTCTGTACCACGTTGTCCTCATGTCACGTCTTTTGCGGCACTGAACACCACATTGTCAGACCTCAGACCGCTCATTCAACCCCCTACCGGAAACAGATGTTAGTGCTTTCAAAGCTGCGCCATCCGCCATCCCCGTGGCATGAAGCGCCGCACGACAGGTAGCTTCCCGCAGACATGCATGCTAAGCGACGTGCGGCGGTGGAAGTTACCGGCCTCACGGGTGGCTTGTTCAGACGAATTTCAGTCCGTTGGTCCGGCCGGATTGAGACAATGGACTCAGTCGTCGTCGGGCCGGACGAAGTCCGGGACCGTCGTGTCGTGAAGTGAGTGGTTTTAAAGGACAGCGAGTCGGAGCCGAAATGGTGAATCAAGAGCTGAGCTGGTGAGCATGTTATCTCTCGACGCTAACAAAGGTGAAACAGCCATGCGACGGTCAGCTATAAACATGGATACACCGCACATCGCGCTGTGTTCCCGTCATTCTAGAAGCCATGGTATTTCCGTTTTTAGCGAGTGGGAAATTACATTCCGTCATGCAACAACAGATTCAGCGCTCGCCAGCGAACAATGGAACGTTCACTTTTACCCATTGAGTGACGGAAAGGCAACCCTTTGATAAGAATTCCACCGATGATCTCGGGACCAAAAGTGAAGGGACTCGGACGGAGTCGTACAAAGGATATTCTAGGCACTCAGTACGGATAAGAAGGCAATCAAGAGACGAAAAAGGTAGAAACCCCTGAAGATGTTTGCTTTGAAGTCAAGCGTGAAAATAGGGACTCCATAAAACATAGTTTGGATCTGCGCTGATCCCGTCATTCTAATCACGATATTCCCTGCCATGTGAATCCTCCGCACAGCCAAGGCCTCTGTTCGTCCAAAGACGTGTCTTGGCCATCGAGTCTCATGATGCCAGTAAGAGGAATGGGGTTCCCGATTGTGCAACCATCACCAAGTTGTTTGACTGTTTTGGCGTCGACGTTTGTAGGCCGGTAACATACAGGTCAGAAATTGAAAACAACAGCGGGATTGGCTCCGTTGGGCAGCAGCGGCCAGGCCTGTCAGGGACGTAAACCCATTTCCCGTTTTGGCGAGCAGTTCCACAAATTCAGGGCTGCACGAGGTGAAGCGACTGGTGAAAAACTTGAAAGGTTCGCTTGTACCGGAGAACCTCGACGGCGCTGTTAATGGTCTACACTAGCCGGTCTCGCTATGGTCACATTGAGGTTGTTTGACCCCCTTTTGTCACTTTTTGATTCACTCGGCATCTCCAGGGCATCTGATTTTCATGCTTGCCCCCTTTCAACTACGAAAAAAAGACTCTCCCGTCTCCATTCAATCAACCCGATTCCCAGACCGCGCTGCCTGAGATGCGACAAACTGACTCGTCGACAACCTCGTCTTCGTTCTTTTCGTGTTAGTGAGCGCTTCTTTCTGTTCTGCGGAGGAATGCTGCCACTGGGCTTGACGTCATGAAGTAAGGATGTCCACTCTTCCCCATGTGATACCTTATCCTCCTCCCGCCGCAGAGGTTCGAGGGTCGCGTCACTATTATGCTCACCTTCCGTTTCGAAGATGCTAACAAACATGTGCGCACGACAGGTTTGCCAAAGAACTCGAGCAGGAAGCGGTGCCAGGTAAGCGGGAAAAAAAAGCAGAGCAAAAAGCAGAAAACACCAGATGCCAAGCACGAACGAAGCAATGTCTTTGTTGACTGCGATGGCGACGCATGCAAATTTGCACCACCGCTCCAAGTCTCAGACAGCAACCAAATGCCAACGAAACAAATGTCCGTAATTCTAACCATACTTCCAACTTCTAGAATGGCGTGTCAAGTACCTGAACTACAAGCTCGGGAAGAAGCTCATCAAGAACGTTACGAGGGCCATCCAGCGCGCAAACACCACACCGACTCTTGCTAGGCGACCCGATTCACAGCATCCATTGCATGCCACACCTGCCGCTCTCTTCCACCACCTAAGCCACAAACGAACATCAACCCACAATCGATGGTCTGATGACACTCCAGGTCCCCATGAGGATTCTCCCGGTACCGATTATTTCCCGGGCGGCGGCCCAGAGCTCGGCCTCGCGCCGGCCAAGAACAACAGAAGCAGCAGAAGCAGCATCGGCTTACGAGGGGAGCGCTCTAGTTTGACGAGGTCACCTGACAGCGAAATTCGATATGGAAGCATTCTCCCCCCTTCGCGTTCGAGCGATCGAACCGAGTTCGAACTCCCCGCTCCGGCTATGAAGATAGCCTCGAGGACAGGCGGTCGCCGTGACTCGATCCCGACTACCCCGACTTCCCCGGTCCAAAACCGTTTCGGACCACGACGCAGCCAGTCCATGGTGATAGATGCCGCTGGCCAGTCTACTGCAACAGAGTCCTCCGTCGATGTGCCACCAAGCGCAACCATTGCAAAACGTCCTACCCATCGTCTTTCCCGGGTTCTCTCCAATACCTCTCGTCTTTCTCGCACAATGTCAAACAAGGACGATATAGGATTGCAGAATCTGGACTCCGTCCGTACTGCCGAGGCCGAGTTTTTTTCTTTCCTCGACAATGAATTAGACAAGATCGAGACCTTCTACAAGCAAAAGGAAGACCAAGCCACCAAGCGCCTAACTGCTTTGCGCGAGCAACTTCACGAAATGCGCAACAGGCGAACCACTGAGATTTCGGATGCCAAGCAGAGGAAGGAGATGGAACGACGTAGTGGCAGTAGGAGCCACTCAGACGATGATGGAGGAAACAATGGCAAGGACAACGGTATCGACTGGATAGGGCCCATCCGCACCAAGTTCATGAAGCCTGGGCCAAACTCGAAAGCGCTGCAAAAGATGACCGAGACGCCAGTCATGGCCCCGCAAAAGCCAGAAGAAGGCCGTGACTATGTCAGGAGACCGCCAAACAAAGACGATGTGCCATATCGTGTAGCTAAGCGGAAGCTCAAGCTCGCCCTGCAGGAGTTCTACCGCGGCCTCGAACTTCTCAAGTCCTATGCCCTCCTGAACAGAACTGCGTTCCGGAAGCTTAACAAGAAGTACGACAAGGCGGTTAATGCCCGCCCGACTTACCGCTACATGAACGAGAAAGTCAACAAGACTTGGTTTGTCAACAGCGACGTTCTCGACGGTCACATTCGCACCGTCGAAGACTTATACGCCAGATACTTCGAAAAAGGCAATCACAAAGTGGCTGCAGGAAAACTTCGGAATATTCTCAGACGCCCCGTAGACGCTTCGGACAGTGCTTTCCGCTGCGGACTGCTTATCGGTTTTGGCGCCGTCTTTGCCGTTCAGGGTCTGATTTATGGCTCGGAGCTACTGTTCCAGGACGACCACACCCTCAAAGAAAACACAAGCTACTTGCTGCAGCTGTACGGAGGCTACTTCTTGATGATCATGCTCTTCACGCTGTTCACATTGGCTTGTCGAATATGGACCAAGAACAAGGTTAACTACCCGTTCATCTTCGAGTTTGACACGAGGCACAACCTGGAGTGGAAGCAGCTGGCCGAGTTCCCCAGCTTCTTCTTTGCGCTTCTTGGCGTCTTCATATGGCTCAACTTTTCGAGGTTTGGCGAAAACTGGGAGGAGATGTATCTGTACTATCCTGTCGTTTTGATAGGCGTGTCGCTGCTGATATTGTTCTTCCCGGCACCGATATTTTACCACCGAGCTAGAAGATGGTTCTTGTATTCGCATGTAAGTAACCTCACGATTTCGTCGCCTTTGAAACTTTCATCACACTGACACTTGAGTAGTATCGCTTGTTGTTGGCAGGTTTGTATCCTGTCGAGTTCCGAGACTTCTTCCTCGGCGATATCTGGTGCTCTTTGACCTACGCTTCAAGTGTAAGTGATGACTTTCAATAAGCTCGGTGATTCACTCAGTCTGCTAATCCTATCTAGAACATTCCTCTGTTCTTCTGTCTGTACGCCAACGAATGGGATCAGCCGAGCATGTGTAACTCTAGCCACTCCCGGCTTCTCGGCTTCTTCAATGCCTTGCCCCCCATTTGGCGTGCTCTGCAGTGTATCAGGCGTTACTACGATACGAAGAACGTGTTTCCGCATCTTGTCAACTGCGGAAAGTACTTCATGACCATCACCACCGCTGTTTTGCTCAGCTTGTATCGCTTCAATGGATCGAAACCGAACCTGGCTCTTTACATCACATTCGCGACCATCAACGCGTGTTATACTAGTGAGTATCCATTCCTTTTCATTTGTGTGATATCAGACTGACATCCAATGAACAGCATTTTGGGATTTATTCATGGATTTCTCACTACTCCAGAAAAACGCCCGCCACCCCTTCCTCCGAGACATCACCGCGCTCAAGTCCAAATGGATCTACTACGCCATCATGATTGTCGACCCGATTCTCCGCTTCAACTGGATCTTCTACGCCATCTTCACCCACGACACTCAGCACAGCACGATTGTCTCCTTCTTCGTCGCCTTTGCCGAAGTCATCCGCCGTGGCATTTGGCTCATCCTCCGTGTCGAAAACGAGCACTGCGCCAACGTATCCCAGTACAAGGCCTCGCGCGATACTCCTCTCCCCTACCAGCTCGATCAGTTCATCGAGCGTCCCAGCCAGGAGACGTCCGCCGAAGAGTTGGAGGTCGAAACCGGCACCACTACAGGCGCTGTCCAACAGGAACGCAGAGGCACCATCTCCTCCATGGCCGCCAGTATCCGCGAGCGCATTCGCGGCTCCATCGTCGCTGGAGCCACCGCTCCCTGGACAGCTTCCACGCCCACCGGCGCCGCCCACCCAGAAGAGGAAGGACCCACCAGTCCCCACCCCGACTCGGGTGCCACTCCTGGGGACGGGGCGACAGGTACCGGCACCGGCTTCAACCTCAGCGGCGGAGGCACCTTCCGCCGCCGTCACAACGAGTCGATGGGCAAGAAGTCTATTCTCCAGGCCATGGCCGAAGCGCACAAGCAAGATTTCGAAAAGAGACGACCACCCGAGGCACTCAGGGAGGAAGGATTGGGACGACGGGGAAGCAGTAGTCTTGTCGATGAAGACGATGAGGAGGAAGATGATGATGATCCGGATTTGCGGAGTGAGATGGAGGATGATGAGGATGATGATTCCGATCGGAGAAGCGTGCAGGAGGATCGGATGGAGGCTAGGGAGGCTGAGACCTTGGTGAGGAGGGGGAGGGGGGAACCGGATGATTCGGTGAGCGAGTAATGTAGTTAAGGATTAGGAGGGGAGGAGGGAAGAGGAGGTTTGGAGAAGTCATTTGATACCCAACTTGGTCGGAGTAAAGCAACAAACAACAGAATTAAGCGAAGGGAGGACCTTATGGGAGCATATAGACGGGGGACAAACATCATTTGGGATTTCTGCTTGTGGGAACTTAGCGCATGGCTGTTATTTCTTGGGGCTGACTGAAAGATTACACGAGGGCGCATCCGATATATGGCTTACTTACTTACTTGCTGGGATGCGGGATAGCGGTTATTCTTTGCTCTTAACCGGGACATTATTTACTCATCGATGTTGACACCTTATTGCCAGCGGGCGGCGCATACCAGTTTGACTTTCTTGTAATTAATTCTTGATTCTGACTATTATTTTCGCTTCGGTGTGTTTTGGTGCGATTCGGTCGGTGGTGGGGACATCAAAAGTACTGGCCACCGACAAATCCCCAAGTAATAAAAGAAAAGAGAAGGAAGGCAACGAAGGGAACAAAAAGACATGACAAAAAGCCATAAGCAACCATAATCGACGTACTGTAGGCAAAGAAAGGAAAAAGCCGCAAGGAAAAAAAAAAAGAAAAAAAGAAGTTGTAAATGGTCAATCGTGCGACGTGGGCCTGATTCGAACAGACGCTCCCGAAGGAACAAGATTTCTAGTCTTGCGCATTAGACCACTCTGCCACCACGCCGAATGGGTTATGTATTGTTTGATGAAAGATCTGCGCCGAGTTGGTGCTTATATGGGGACCTAGGAGGGTGGGGTGGTGGGGTGGTGGGGGCGAGCTGACAGGAACACTGCACTCGCACTCGGGGGACTTTGAGCTTGTGGCGGGTCTTTTGACATCCAGTTCGGTTTTGTTCGATATTACGCAAATCGTCAAGTATGTAGGTGTTTGATTACAGAACCCGGTTGCTGTGAGATAGAGATTCGCTAGTATGCAATTGTTGCACTCTGGAAAATAAAGATGGACTTCTTTTGCAGTTGCAGATATCGGCGGGAGGGGCAAGAGAGGGGAGGCACTCGGCGATAGATGGCCTGGACGGGCGGATAAGATCTCGCAGTAGATAGGATGCTCCAAAGACAGGCACAAGCGCAAGGAGTGCAAAGTTAGAACGGGTAGAACAAGTCGTCAACCCGTCCACCCACTAAGACGTTCCAGGCCCATCGTTGGGGTTGTTTTAGTCTCAAATCTGAGATCCAACCGCAGATGATCTATGGAGACCGTGACAGATTGACAGGCTGGACTTGCCACTTGCATACGTCAAGTGAAATCGAGTTGCGATGAACCACTCACTCTACCCGCCCACCGCCATATTTCGCGGCTTAGGTTGTCGGTTGTCAAAGCTTCTCGCGGCAGCTTGGACAACATCACTGACTGCTCTGCAGGTAGGGCGTCATGTCAAGCTTAACCCATTAATCGTTGCATTTTACATATCATTGCCATTGCCATGGCAACAGCAAACACTCACAATCACCAACGAGGACCAGGCAGTTTTTTTTGGAAATTATTTCTTATTATTTCATCACCAGGTTCTCTATATCCCTCCTTATGTACCGGAAAAAGACATGATACCCTTAGATATACCGTTACTTGAGATTAAGCAAGCAACGGGGAGGCTGTCAGGCTTTCTTGTAAGCAAACGCTTACTCGAAAACCCAGGCAGCGGAGTGGTGGTTCCACTGGGTGAGCTCCTCGGGCTTGAACCAGAGGGCAATCTCCTTCTTGGCGTTCTCGACGGAGTCGGAGCCGTGGCAGACGTTGCGGCCCATGTCCTGTTGGTAATTAGTTAGCCGCTGTCCCTGTTTGAGAGCAAGAGAGGCAAAACGTACGAGAGCAAAGTCACCACGGATGGTGCCAGGAGCGGAGGCGAGGGGGTTGGTGGCACCGAGGATGGTGCGGCCGGTCTTGACGGCGTCCTTGCCCTCCCAAACCATGGCGCAGACGGGGCCGGAGTTCATGTACTTGATGAGGCCGGCGAAGAAGGGCTTGGTGTTGAGGTCCTCGTAGTGCTTCTCGAGGTGGGCCTGGCCGGGCTGGGTGAGCTTCATGGCGACGAGCTTGAAGCCGCGGTTCTCGAAGCGAGAGATGATGTTGCCAACGAGGCCACGCTGGACGCCATCGGGCTTGACGGCAATGAAGCTGTTTGGGGGGTTGTGTGTTAGCGCATTGTGTCTTGTGGTGGTGATGGTAGATCGCAACAGGCGGTAATCAAGATGGACAAGATGGCGGGGTAGAACCGAGGGGTTTGAATTCTCGCGTGTTTTGTTTGCTGCTGGTTGAAGGGTATAACTTACGTCTGCTCCTGGTTGGACATTTTGATTATGGGTGGTTCCGGTGAGGGAGTATAGATTTGATTGGGGATGGTGATGGATGATGGAGGAGGAGAGGTCGAGAAGAAGGCGAGGCGGCTGAGATAGAAAAGGAGGACGGCCAGGAGGAGTCCACACGCGGCCGGAAAAAAAACCGGTGGGCCCGTTCCCCTGGACGACCTGGCTCGCCTGTCTCTGGAGGGACTGGAGCTCCCCTTCCCCCTCGATGGGGACGATTGGCGAGATTGGGCACCACTAGAACCAGCACCCGCAGCCATTGCGCCTCCCGATTCGGGCTGCTTCTGTTGCAGTTGCGGCGGTCTGCGTTGTCCGTCTTGTTCTCGTCGCAGATGTTCCGAGCTGTCAGTGTCCGACATGGTCTTATTGGATGCAGCAACTGGTGAGTTGAAGAAGCTAAGCTCTGCAAGCTTGAAGAATGTTGGTCCAGACTCAGCAGTATCACAGCTAGACACCTCTACGCGATGGTTATGAAGAAATTAGGGGCAATGTTTTGATGGAGCAGAGAACAGCAAGCGACCATGCAACCCGTTGTCAATTGGTCTTATGGGTCTCGGTTTAAGTGGTTGCGCAAAGCTCGGAAACGAGGCCGGAAGACATGAAGCCACGATGGATGCCAGCAAAGCTCGCAGAGCTCCCCAATTGGATCTGTAGGGTCCGTGCATCTTTTTCTTCCCGAGATAACCCCCAATTCTCTTCAGTATTTGACGGAGGTCATTCTCTTGAATGCCATCTCATCTACTAATAACCAGGTCAACCCAAAAGAACTGGTGTTCTTCCCAGTCAGCTGTTCAGACCCTGAACTGAGACGGTGAGCTTAGGTCGACATGCAGATATTCAAAACTTACCCCGCGGTTTATCATCTAGAGCCACTATGCATCTAACGAATCCCGCCGTGCCAAGCGGTGCGCTAGCTGGCAGGGGACAGCTTGGCCTGCTTGGCTTTCACGGGGCGAATTGGGGCCACTCGACGACATCAACCACTGAGATGCGGACTTGTCAACCGCCTGGCATTGCTGCCAACTAACAACTGCCATCTGAAGCCAGCAGGCATTGATTGACATTGACAGCAAAGTCAAGCCAACTTTTGATTTACATACACAGCTGCAACAAGGCTATACTGCAGTTGACGACAGCTTCAAGGACTCTGCGACACAGCAAAGCCGGAAGTGCTGTTCTTGATGATCCAAACGAGCCTCTAACCTCTCCCCTTTGTTTGCTTGTCTGTCTGCTTGGTGCTTCTTTGACTTTCATAGCGTGTTCTACTTCCGTTCCGCCAGAGATGCTGGGCTCGGGCCAGCTGTCCATGTCGGGAGGCTGGACGGCATACCTCTGTCTTGCATCTGCCTTGACCGGCCTGTTTGTTCCAGCAGGTGCGTTGCTTTGTTCCCTATACTGATTCGTAGCCTATCACTAACACCATCTCCTCCAGTTGCCGTCAAGGAGCACGACTTCAAGAAATGCGACCAGGCCGGCTTCTGTAGGCGCAACCGGGCCTTTGCCGACCACGCCCTCAGCTATACCGGATGGGAATCGCCCTACAACATCCTCGCCGAGTCGACTTCCTTCAAGGACGGCCAGCTGCAGGCTACCATCCTCAAGACCATCAACGATAACGGCGAGACCGTCCGCCTTCCCATCACCGTTTCCTTCCTCGAGTCCGGGACCGCACGTGTCACTGTCGACGAAGAGAAGAGACAAAAGGGCGAGATCGAACTGCGCCATGACAGCAAAGCCAGGAAGGAACGCTACAATGAGGCAGAGCAATGGGTTATCGTCGGTGGCCTGACCCTCGACAAGGAGGCCAAGGTTGGCTACGAGGACAAGACCCAGATCACCGTTCAGTACGGCCCCGAGTCCAAGTACGAGGCCACCATCAAGTTCGCTCCCTTCTCTATCGACTTCAAGCGCGATGGAAACACACATATCAAGTTGAACAACAAGGGTTTGTTGAACATGGAACACTGGAGGCCCAAGATTGAGCCGCCTCCTGCGCCGGAGAAGAAGGAGGGCGAGGAGAACAGCAGCGAGGCCGAAAATGCCGAGACTACTGCCGCCCAGGTTCCTGAGCCATACCCTGGTGAGGACACAAGCACTTGGTGGGACGAGAGCTTCGGTGGAAACACCGACTCCAAGCCCCGGGGTCCCGAAAGCGTTGCCCTGGATATCTCCTTCGTTGGCTACGATCACATCTACGGTATTCCTTCGCATACTGGCCCCTTGTCTCTCAGGCAGACTCGTGGCGGCGAAGGTAACTACAACGAGCCGTACCGTATGTACAACGCCGATGTGTTCGAGTACATCCTCGATAGCCCTATGACCCTGTACGGATCCATCCCGTTCCTACAGGCCCATCGCAAGGACTCGAGCGTTGGTATCTTTTGGCTGAACGCTGCCGAGACTTGGGTCGATATTACCAAGGAGAAGGAGTCCAAGAACCCCCTGGCCTTGGGTATTGGTTCCAAGACGAGCACCAATACTCACTGGATCTCCGAAACCGGTCTCTTGGATGTGTTTGTCTTCCTGGGTCCTACTCCTCAGGACCTTATTCGCAAGTATTCCGAGCTCACCGGCACCACCGCCATGCCTCAAGAGTTCTCGCTCGGCTACCACCAGTGCCGCTGGAATTATGTGTCCGACGAAGATGTCAAGGATGTTGACCGCAAGATGGACAAGTATCACATTCCCTACGATGTTATCTGGCTCGATATCGAGTATACCGATGACAAGAAGTATTTCACCTGGGATGCCCATAGCTTCGCTGACCCTATTGGCATGGGCAAGCAGCTTGAGAGTCATGGACGCCAGCTGGTTACCATTATCGATCCCCACATCAAGAACGTTGACGGCTACAAGGTTTCTGAGGAGCTCAAGTCTCAGAAATTTGCTGTGAACAACAAGGATGGCGAAATCTTTGAGGGTTGGTGCTGGCCCGGCTCGTCCAACTGGATCGATGGCTTCAATACCGCCGCCCGGAAGTGGTGGGCTACGCTTTTTAAGTACGCCAGGTTTGAGGGTTCCATGAGGAACACCTGGATTTGGAACGACATGAACGAGCCCTCGGTGTTCAACGGCCCCGAGACCACGATGCCCAAGGACAACCTTCACTATGGTAACTGGGAGCACCGTGACCTCCACAACTTGTACGGGTTAACTATCCATAACGCTACTTTCGAAGGCCTCAAGTCCCGCGAGACGGGCGAGTTCCGTCGTCCCTTCGTGCTTACCCGCTCCTTCTTTGCTGGTTCTCAACGCCTTGGCGCTATGTGGACCGGTGACAACCAGGCCGCATGGGACCATCTGGAAGGCTCCATTCCCATGGTTCTCAGCCAGAACATTGCCGGTTTCCCCTTCTCTGGCGCTGATGTTGGTGGTTTTTTCGGCAACCCTGAGAAGGAGCTGTTGACGCGCTGGTATCAGGCCGGTGCTTTCTACCCCTTCTTCCGTGCCCATGCCCACATTGACTCCCGCCGCCGCGAGCCTTACCTTGCCGGCGAGCCCTACACTACCATCATTGCTGCGGCTCTCCGTCTTCGCTATAGCCTTCTCCCGTCTTGGTATACCGCTTTCCGTCAGTCATACCTTACCAATGAGCCCATTGTTAAGCCCATGTTCTACACCCACCCCAGCGAGGAGGCTGGCTTTGCTATCGACGACCAATTTTTTGTCGGTAACACTGGTCTGCTCGCCAAGCCGGTCACCCACAAGGAGAAGGAGACCGTAGATATCTGGATTCCTGATAACGAGGTCTACTATGATTACTTCACTTACGACATCATCCCCTCTAGCAAGGGTAAGACCGTGACTCTCGATGCTCCCCTCAACAAGATCCCTCTGCTCATGCAGGGGGGCCACATCTTCGCCCGCCGTGACCGGCCCCGTCGGTCCAGCACTCTCATGAAGTGGGATGACTACACCCTTGTCGTGACCGTCGGCAAGGACGGAAAGACCGCCGAGGGCGATCTTTATGTCGACGACGGCGACTCCTACGATTTCGAGAAGGGCCAGTACATCTACCGCAAGTTCACCCTTGACGGCGATGCCAAGACCGTTTCGTCCGTTGACGGCGAGGATCGCAAGAAGGTCAAGGAGGGCGACTGGATGAAGAAGATGCACCAGGTTACTGTCGACAAGATCATCATCGTTGGAGCCCCTGCCTCTTGGGACAAGAAGGAGGTCACGGTGGAGTCGGAGGGCAAGACCTGGACTGCTACGCTCGAGTACACCCCCGCCGGAAAGGGCCGAGCCGCATTTGCAGTCGTCAAGAAGGTTGGCGCGAGGATCGGTGCCGATTGGAAGGTTTCCTTCGCCTAGATGGGGCCCAGCTGCAGGTGAGCTCAGGAGGAGGCGTGGGGAGGACAGGAGAGGAGAGGAGGCTTTGAATGATCGAGGCGTTGCGCGTGTCTCATGTACACTACACCGCTCGCTGGACGTTGTGTTCCGTATCGGTCTGAATGCAGAGTTTATTATCAAAGCCAGGTTTATACAGATACAATCTATATCTGCACATCAGAAAGAAGCGCGTACTTACCGGGGAAAAAAATTGACGTGGCTATGCTTGTTGTTTTCTAGTGCTCTTGTTTATTTTTAGTTTTCCGTGTATGTACAAAGCAGCAGCGTAGCATGTGCCTGCCTGCCTGCCTGTCTGCCTGTAGTCTTCTTCCAAACAGCCTTTCCGAACGATCATGTGAAGTCCCGTTACACACGCACAGTTCAGTTCCATAAATGGGGCTCCTCATTATTCAAGTGTCACGCCTAAACGAATCGGGTGCTCACAGGCCCTGGATCTTGAATACGAATGCCACAATGCTTCGGTGCATGAAAGGTACGATACCTATGTATGTTCCCTCCCTTCTTTGGTGTTTGGTGGTTGCGTTGGCTGTCAAGCTGTGTCCCTGACAGATGGATGTTGGGAGCCGTCACGGGCAGAACTTGGTAAGTGGTTCCGCCAATGGTAACCTCGAAGTTGTTTTTCGCCTGTCAAAAGTTGTTGATGATTTGAATTTTCACTGGTTCGTTGAGCGATGCAGATCGGTGGCGTGAAGTTTGGGTGTGAATGGTGGTGGTGGAATCCTACCCTCTCGTGCTCTCTGATGCCTCTGGTGCCTTGCCCCTGCATTTAATTCCGAGCCTCTGTGATGATCACCATTTCTACCATTCTATAGGCAACTACTGGTGGGCATAGGCTGGCGGCCCTTTCGAATTCTTCCTGAACCCTTCTCGTGCCCCTCCATCTGGACGAGCCATTCAAGCTCAAAGGTCTCTCTCTCTCTCTGTGTTTCATGTTTCACAATGTACCACGATCCAAAAGGCCCTTCTACACTACCCAAACCGGCGCCGGGCAACGGGTAAACAGAGGTGGTACCGTGATATGTGCCAAACACCGCTTTCCCCTAGTGACCTAGTGATACGAAGTGTGGTGGAATGATGACGATGATTCGCACTGACTTGTTTGCTTTTGGATTCCTCGGGGGTCTTGACTAAGGCCGCCGTCAAGACGGACGGAAAGGTACATACGACCACACGAGGAGGGGGTGACAAGCTTGTGGCACACAGTACGATATACTCCGTCAGCGTTTAGTTCACCCAAGGAAGGACATCAAACTGGGGACAGACGGATGGGACAACAACGACGACAAGGGAGCTATTCTCTCCCCGTGGGGCGGGCGGCCGTATCTACGATTGTCGTCCCCTGTCTTGCAGGGTTAACCAAATCAATGGGATTGATGAACTGATGAACATGGAACATTGTTCACCATTGGACGACGGCTTTGTTGTGGGTCGTGAGGATGTGAGGCCTGCTGGTTGCTATTTACATATAATGCTCAGAGGTTGCTTGCACCTTCCAAAACCTCGTAACCTTTTCTGTTTGTTACAACTTTCTTTCTTCCTTCCTTCCCCACGTGCCGTATGAATGGTATGGCAAGAGTTTGAGACTGGTTGTTTTATCTGATTATTCTCTCTACTTGCCACTTCCTACTTCCTTGGGATTGTTGAGTACGAGTTTTCAAAGGAGTTCCTTCTTATAACAACTTTGAGGAAAGAGCAATCGTCGACTTCGTGTCAGCCCTGGTGGTCGAAATATCAAGGGATCTACACTCGCCTGCCCCCCCCTTGTTCAAGTTGCACTTGCATAAGGTCTTGAAATCGATTTAACCAGAGGGCTTTCTTCCCTTTTGTTGTCGGCCACTCACTCACCCACTCTCCCTCAACCTCATCTCATCAACTCAACACCAACTGTCCTTCGTTTCCACAACCATCCACACAACACTACGACACAACAACCAACATGAAACCATCAACCCTCCTCACCCTAACGGCCACAGCCGCCTCTACCACCTCCGCCTTCACCCTTCCCTTCAAGTTCCGGCGGGACACCGTCTCAACCGATGCCTCCAACAACCCCAACCGCCGGCTCCTCCACAGCCCACCCACCAACACAGTTGGCATCGCCGGCGGCCACATCAAGGCCACCTCCGGCATTAATAACAGACCGCCATCTCTCCGCGCAGGCGCCTATCTCCCCTACCACCCGCCGGCCTCGACCCCCGACCAACCAACCCAGAACCAAGACATGATCCAATCCGTCACCGGCACCGTCGTGATCCCCTCCATCAACATGCCCGTATCGGGTCCTACAGCCGGCAACAGCGCAGGGGAGTACTCGGCTTCGATATGGGTTGGCATCGACGGGGCTTCGGCCACGGATAACTTCATTACCAGTATCCCGAACTGCAACCCTTTGAGTCAATCCCTTCGGGCGGGGGTCGACATCTTCTGGGATGGCACCCTAGGCGGTCAACAAACCCCGTACGTCTGGACGCAGTGGTATCCTGCCGAGCACGCCAAGGGGTTTCTGGATTTCAAGGCTTCTCCCGGTGACGAGCTGCGGTTTACCGTTTCCACGGGACCGCACGGGAACTCCGGCGGCTCGGTGATGGTAGAGAACTTCGGACCCCCGCAGAGCCCAAAGGGCGTGGATGGCAAAGTGAAAATCCCCATCGCCACGGGTAGTTTGATCTGGAAGGATATGCCCGGTCTGTGCAGCGCGCAGGGAAGTTGGATTATTGAAGATTTTCCGCTGCAGGAGAGGCCGGAGCTGCCGAGTGCTCTGGGGAATTTCACGGATGTGAGGTTTGGGGAGATGGGTGTTGCGACGTGGTTGGGAGGGAATTTCACGGGGGAGGAGGTGTTGGGGAAGGACAAGTTGAAGATGTTGGAGATTTATGATCAGGGACAGGGAGGGACGCTGGCGAAGTGTAAGACGGAGGGGGGGGGAGAGAAGGGGGGCGTGGTTTGTAGGAGGGTTGTTGAGGCTTGAGTGCTTGAAGGTCTACCTATTCTTGAGCAAGGCGTGGTTAAACGGAGGTAATGAATGGATTTGATAGAGAGGACGGGAGTTAGAGGGTTCTGTGCTGGGGATGGATCAATGGCATAATGAGGAGGATAACTTAATGTTAATGAGTAGCAGACGTATTAGTAAGAGAGCCGAAACTGGTTTAATCGATCGAAAAGTCCTCTAAGTAGAATGGTTCCCGCTCGCCAGCTTTGCGTTCCTGTCTCATCGCCATCCTCCCACCGAGCTAGAAACCATCATGTCCCTGAACCACGTCCAACATCTTATATGTACCCTGGTTTACTTCCTCAACCCACCACCAAAAACCCTCCTCACCCTCCCCAACACGCCCGCAAACCACGGCGTAGCCTGCACGCTCACAATGATCCTCAATGGCAACAACGCCTTGGTAATCGCATACGCCAGCGCAGCGTCCACCAAGACTCTATACTTTTCATCCCCACTCTGCCACTTTTTCATCAAAACCTGCTCCTTTCCTTCTTCTTCTCCTCCTCCTCCTCCAGCACTCACACCCTCACTCTTCGTCCCATCCTCTCCCCCCACCACCACCGCACTCAACCCCTCCCCCTCCCCCTCGTTCCCACCAAACCCAAAATACTTTTTTCTTTTAAACCACCTCTCAAACCCCTCCATCTTTCCCATCATCACCTCCGAGTATCCATGCTCCACCATCCACCCCATCACCCAATCCGTCACCCTTTTTCCATACGACGACGACGACGATGGTTTGTCAGTGTCGTCGTCGTCAGTGTCAGTGTCAGTGTCGGTGTCAGTGTCGTAATAGTGAAAAAAGTAAAAGAAGCCCAAACCGGGAATGACGGCGGTGATTTCGTGTAGGATTAGGAAGGCTACTATGAAGGAAGAGGGGGAGGAGCGTAGGGAGGAGAGGTAGGGGTGGAGGAAGCGGGGGAGGCGGGTGAGGAGGCGGTCTATTCTTTCGGTGTTTTTGTTGGGGTTGGAGTTGGGGTTGGGGTTTTGGTGGGAGTTGGGATTGGTGCTGTTGTGGCGGGTTTGTTGATGTTGTTGTTGTTGTTTTTGCCAGGAGCGGTTGCTGTAGTTGTGTGACCGTGATCGTGGGCCGCAGTGGTGGTGTTGATGCTGATACTGGTGAGAGCAACGACGGGGGCCGCCGGGAGATAGAGGTGTTGAGGTTGTTGATAAGCGCGACTTTGTTGTGAATGAGGACTGGATAGTAGTTGTTGTTGGTATCATTGATGTGAGCTGTGAGAAGAGGAGCTCGTTTGTCCGACTCCGAGGCGGCCCGAAACGCGGACGGCCGACTCCGAGGTTGAGGAATCGTGGGCGTGGGCGGAATGACATGTTTCTTGTTGTTGGTTGGATTTCGGAGAGTTGATGATTGATTGCTGGCTAAAATGAAGGTGGTGATGGGAGCACTTGTGAGGCGTAAATGCGGCGGCAAGGGGAGTGGGCACGGTAGACCAGGATTATCTCTATGGGTGGTAAATAATGGGGAAATATGGTTGTTGTATTTTGTTCGGAAGTTGCAAAGTTGCAACTGTGATTGACAGGTGAGCAAGATGAACAAGGTGAGTTTGTTCACCGAACGGGTAAATCGCCAAGGTGAACGACAATCCTACGACGGTTCAGTTCGGGGGGAAATTCGGAGATGCTCATATAGGCTTAGCGTTTGTCTATAGTGGGTACCAATGTCCCAATTTGGCTCAGTGGCTGAGTTGCTCCTACCATGGGTTCTCAACCGCAAGGTCACGCATTCGATTCAGGTCGAGGGCAACTTTTCGGGGTTCTCTCTATGGGAGAGCTGTCTGGGCAAGTCCTGGGCACTCTCCCATGGTGAGTTCACCTTAGCGTACCTATCCCCAGCGAATACACTTATCCCCAGCGAACATCCTTATCCTCAGCGAACATTAGCGAGAATACTAACCCACAGCGAGCATACTAACACCTAGCGAGCATATCTATCCCAAGCGGGCATCTGGGTTTTCACCAAGCAGTTTCCCAGCGTAGTAAATATTTTTTTTCTTTTTGTTTTTGATTTGTTTTTTTTTCGGGTTTGTATGGGCATCATGCTGCAGCCAATGTTGTACGAGTGTTACGGACCACCATATCTACTGCTTTTGTTGGCGACATCATGGGAAAACCCTCCGCCCAAGAACACGGGAGTCTAGCCATATAAAATGTGCCTCTATAACTCGGTGATTGGAGAATCCTCGCCGTTTGTATACTTCGTAACCAAAATAATCGTTTTCCCCTACAGTCCACCTCAAGAATTGCGTAATCGGTGATGATGGCACCTTTCGATTTTCCAATGCTTTCAACATCATCATTCAAAAATTGTGTATCTAAAACTGGCCAAGTGCAAAGAAGGTATCAAACACCCAGGACCCAAATCCCCCTTTGGCCCTCTCGTTGGCGTCGGTCTAACTCTAGACTCTAATGTTATGTGCAGGTAGGTAGGTAGGTAGGTAGTCATCCATATCCAACTGATAACCTCACACCATATCAACACACCAACCTCATCCTCACCCACATCCTCACCCACATCCACATCCATTATGATCCCCATCAACATCCCCTTCCCGGCGCATAGTCATAGACTGTTTAGTTCGGTTCTTGTAAACCGATCATTCACTCATCACTCATCACTTCATAACATCATCCCACTCAAACCTAAACCTGATTCCCTCCCGGTGGCTGACTATTCGCCACCACCGACCTTGACCTCCCCCTCCCAAACATATTACCCATCGTCACCCTCCCCCTCCTCACCGACGCCGTCATGCTCATACTTCCATCACCACTCGGTCTGCCAGCGGGGCTAATATCCCCCCTAGTGCCCCTACTCGACATCTTTTCCAGCCTCTGATCCAATTCCGAATCATTATTGTGGTGGTGATGATGATGATGGCTCTTCTTCTCATCGTGCTCATCCTCCTCATCTTCCTCCTCGTCACGCTGCCTAATCGACGCCAGACGATGGATTCCATGCCCCCCTAACGGTTCGGGCCGTCGGTTCATGTACACGTCTTGGAAGTCGACGCCTGATTCGACTACCGTTGCTCGGCTGTCGGCGCGGCGGCGTCTGCGTAGGAAATCGGAGGGGGAAGGGGAGGGGCCTGGTGGTGGTGGGACTTGTTGTAGTGGTGGTTGTTGGAATTGTTGTGGCCCGTTTTGACCGGGCTGGGAGTCACCACCAGGAACCTGAGACCAATACATAGGCATATTCTGCCTTCCACCAGGTGCCATGAGGCGGGGGCCCTGGATGCCCATGTCGTCCATCTGGTGCATCAGTTCGACGGCGAACTTGTTGTGCCTCGTAAGCCTCAACAGCTCGTTTTGGAAGTTGCTCTTGTGGAAGAAGATGATGTTCATGTTGATACTATAAACCTCGTCGATGGTCTTTACTTCCGAGATGATTCGCGGAGCGTAGTCGCGCTGGTTCTTGATGCAGAAGTCGAGCATGCGGGCTTTTAGTTCCTCGATTTGGGTTTCGGTGGTGCCGAAGCGGAGCGTCAGGTTGACGGGGTCGGCCAAACCTTGGCTGCGACGCTGGTTGAGGATGAAGAGCGTGTTGAGGATTGAGTTGGGCGCTTGCACGACGTGGCCTTCCATTTTCTTGAATTCGGTGTAGAGGAGCGAGACCTCGAGGACGTAGTAGTCGTCGCCGCGCATCAGGGAGCCGGTGTTACCGTAGATGGTGACGCGGTCGCCGACGTCGAAGGGATGTTTGACGAAGACGAAGAGAATGGACTGTTTAGATTAGCAACCTGAGCTCTTTTAGCGGCCTTGGACTGACATACCTGAAGGAACTCCTGGGCTGTTGCCTGAAGCAACCAAGACAGACCCAGAATAACGGTACCCGTCGAGGTCAGCGCAGCAGCAGCCGAGTTGGAGATGACGCTGATAAACACAATGATAACAATCACGATAATGATAAACATAAAGACCTTGTCAAGCTTCTTTATAACCGAATCAAGATCCTTCAACGACGCAGCAATGGCCTTCTTCTCCAGGTGGATCTCGCTGCAGACCATTTCCAGTTCTTCCATGGAGATATCGCCGTTGAAGTCCTTGTCGAAGATAGCAAAGCAAGCCTCGGCTTCCTCCTGATTAGGAAAGGCGGGCAGGATGTCTTCCAAAGTGATAGTATCTCTGCCAGGTTGGACAAAGGTACGGTAGAAGACACGAGCTAGGGTATAACTCGAGTTGGTCGAACGAAGCAGCTCCATGACGACCTTGCGGGGATGGTTTCCTTTCAGAATGCGCCTACCCGTGATGTCGCCAGCAAACCGATGGGCGGCGTTTCCAACCTTGCTCCAAGCTTGCCGAGCATTCGTCTTCATGTACTTCATCGGGGTACGCAGCCCGGATGAGTCGCCTCCAACCGAGTTGGAGTTCCAGACCGGGTCCTGCGCCTCGAGACAAATTTTGGCGTATGTGTACAGAGCGACGAGACACTCGATCTGCATGACGTTTTCTTGAATGCGGAGGGAATAAGTTCGGCGGTGGAACGAGGAGGCAATCCACTGGATCAAGATCTTCTCGGCGAAATTCAGTGCCGCGAGGATGAAGAAGGCAAGAATGATCTTGTACACGATGGAGATCCAGGCAGAATCCTTGTCGCGCGCATCTTCACCGTTATCGATTCGGTGGTCCTTCAGGATGGGATTGTAGGTCACCAAAACAACCAGCATCCAGATGAACATGGCGGTAGACAACTCGAGCTGACGACCAATATCCCTCCACTTCTTGTGGTTGCTGGACCCAAAGGTGTCGGCAATCCACGCTATCACAAAGGGCATGACGCAAGTAATGACTCTTGTTGCCCACAGACTGAGCCAGACAACTTCCAACCAGATGCCGAACCAGAGGAGCCTAACACCTCGGCCTTCACCGACATCTTGGTGGCTGTCGTAGGCGAAAAGATCCAAGAAGATAGGGATGAGGATGAGAATGGCCGGAGGAATCGAGTAGACGATATAGCGCAATACTCGTGGAAACTTTCTCAGTCGAGCCCAAGTTCGGGTAAGCCATGTCGTCTTTGCTACGGTAGTAACGGCCGGGGTTGGCGTGGCACCGGCACCGGCAACTGTATCAAAGACGTCCTCGAGGTTCTCGGTACTCCTGTTCTTGGATCTGGACCGTCTCGATTCGTCTTCTCGTACTTGTCTGGAGACCATGCGCTCAGCACGCATAAGTTCGAGGTCGTCGTTTAATCTGTTGGCCATCTCCCTGTCGCCCATCTCCCTGTCGCCCATCTCCCTGTCGCCCATCTCCCTGTCGCCATGGCCAGAAGAGGCAGGGCTGAGGGCGCCGGAATCGGGAACGGCCAGGTGGGTGTGGTCGATGCCGTTGGCGTGTTTATAGTAGTCTCCATCGGGGTCCATGGGAGTCGGAACTTCGGACGGCATCCGGACGTGCAAGGTCGGTGGAGGATTCGCTTGTGACATCCTACGGGGCGATGGACAGTCTTCAGACGGGGGCATTGTCAAACATGGATGGGGGGACGGGGCTCGGGCGTAGATATCAAACAGACGGGAGGAAGAGAGGAGCTACCCGTGACAGGAAAGCCGCAAAAGAGAGATGGAAGAAACTCCCAAAGGGGCATCCGTGTAAGATGGAAACCGACGAGATCCAAGACGCTACTGTCAAAATTCAAGAAGTCTTTGAAATCGATTTCGTGTGCCACTTTGACACGTGTGGGGGTTGGTGTTGCATAGGGGGCCACTGAGCCTTGGGATCGGGACCGGGGACCCGCGACTCCATCGCCAAGAAGAGGAGGTTGACTTGCTTCGGTGTTTACGAAAACGTTCAGAATCCCGGGGTGTGGAGATGGATCAGCGGGTTGGCACAGAAGCGCGACCCACCGGTCAAGCGCGGGCAACAAGTGAAGATGGAGAAGTCAGGGAAGAGCGATAAGAAGGCGTGGGAGAGATTGCATATCGGAAAGCGTGTTTCGCGTTGCCGGGTGCGACAGGTTGGACGGCAGGGACGGCATGGACGGCAGCCCGTGGCTACCGTGGACGGTTGCAGACGAAACAGTCAGTTAGCAGCGGGGGGCCGGACGGCTTGACGGCCTTTCACAAGAGCCCGGCCGTTGTTAGTAAGCCGGTAAGGCGGGGGGTGGAGGGATCGTATCAGGGACTCTGGGGGATGATCGGTGGTTGCTTGTTCCCATTTTCGGCGGTGAGATGCGTGTTGTTGTCTTGCTTGCAGTTGTCCATTGTAGGTAATCACAAGCGAGACAGCGTTGTGTTGTAATGCATCCCGTCTCGGTATCCTATCCCAACTCGATCTTGTTGAGAGTGAAGGAGCAACTTGTGAAGATGCTGAATCTCACAGTGTCCCTCACCGTTCCTTCTCCCCGTCCTAATGTTAACAATTGACCGAGTGTCTCCTGCGTGTTAAATGAAGCCAAGAGCCATGACTGATCATCCTGTTCGTTCCTGATACCAAAACATTCATTTTACTCGCCCCGGAAACCGCCAAATCCCACCGAGCTCAACGTCGAACCCGATAAAGAAAAAGCCACGCAAGCTCATGTCCAGTTCCGATGCAGACACACACCCACCAGAGAAGGATTAATGCAATTTGATTTTTCGAGTTATCGATTCGGGAGTGGCATTCAGTCGTTGATCAGTCGTCGTTGGTTGGCGAGACAAGACCAACACAATGTGCTGTGACGTCACCCATCCCTGTAAGGCACCCACTAGCCCCGTAAAAGGCCCCTGTAAAGCCCACTGAGGTTCCATCGTCCCTTGCCGATCCTCCGCCCCCGCCGTTTGCCCACGCCCCCCGGGCCCCCGAGGCATCCCGAACGGAACCCAAACCCTGGAAGCCTGGACCCTTGGTTTTGGCGGACCCCTATGTCTGGCCGCATGGGGAATGGGAATTGCTTCGGAGACTTTTGGGCTTAGCGGACGGGAACCGTCGCCGGCGACGATGGGTGGACGGTACGGGACGGTAGACGGGATGAAAGGGGCGTGCCGATGTCAGATGTTAGTAGAAGCATGCAGGAACAGATGTCGAACACCACGCTCGGTTCGTCTCATCTGCTGCAAGACAGACAAGGAGCTCATCGGCATTGGCATTATCAAGTTCATACCCAAAGGGCTGACCGAAGAATCATCTTCTACTCAAAATCACCCCAACCCGATCCATCATATTTACCACCACCACCGCCTCCAGATACGCTCCCCCATCTACTCGGGCCAGGCCCGTTCCCGTTGCGGCGGTTGAAGCTAGGCGGCGGAGTGACCTCACTGTTCCTGCCAATGGTGCTGACACTGGCGAGACTGGCAGCGCCCTCGCTTCCAGGACGAGTGTGATGACTGCTAATTATCGACACTCTGGAACTGTCTGCGATGGATACTGTGTCCGCGTTGCTGGGGACTGGTGAAGGTGACGAAGTGCCGGTCAGGTTGGACACTTCGCTCTCCCTTCTGCTGTCCAACTGCTGTTGCTGTTGCTGTTGCTGCTGCAGTTGATGGTGATACCACTGCTGCTGGGCTGACATCGGCTGATTCTGATAGGCAAACTCAGGCTCGTGTTGAGGTCCTCCGAGCTGGACTGTCGGCGTGAAAGCACGCGGATCGTGGCCATACGCTGACCATGCGTCCAGTGTATTCGCAGGCCATTGATAGCCTTGTGGTTGTGTTTGATCAGGATGCGATGAGGGACCCTGGAATTGTACCTGGGAGTTTTGTGGTGGACCTTGCTGTGATGGATAAGACACAGGAGGTTGTGACTGCGGAATGTTATTGCTCGCTGTGGGATAGCTATTCCCGACCGACTTTTGAAGCTTGTTCGAGGAGCTGGCCGTGTTGCCAGTTCTCCTAAACTTCGAAAGTAGCCCTCGCTTTTCCTTCACAACAGGTGTTGAAGCTTCATTAGATAATCCACGAGCCTGGGTCATGGTTTCAGGTACGGGAGGAAGCGGTTTTGACGCCAAATCATCCATTTGGCCCGCAAAGGGAGCTGTTGATTCTTGTTTCGGCCATGTGGATGCCTGTGCCTGCGGCTGTGGGTTGGCGAATTGTTGTGGTGGTGGAAAGGCTTGTGGAAGGCCCATGTTCCTTATATCTGGCTGTGGCAGGGCTTCAACACTACGCGATGGAAGTTGTTGGTTGTGGGGAGGAGGCGGTACGTAATGTTCTGGGGTTCCTTGTTGAGCTAAGTGACCCAATGGAGCGAAGGAGCCACGTTGTTGCTCAATCCCCATACTCGAGGTTGAGGTTTCGTAAGGACCTTGGGACTCGGCCACAGGCTTTCGGCGGAAGGTTTGTTCCCCTACAGGAGGACGGTATGGAGTGAACACGGGCTGAGAATTGTCAGGTGGGATCTTGTCAGGCCGCGGAGGCTCTGAACCAGAATTTCCAGAGTGTGGGAGATTATGCGAACCATCTTCAGGAACAGAAGATTTCCGGGCAGCAGTGATAGGCAAAGTTTCAGCGGCCAGTTCGCTTGGAATATGGCGTAACTGCATCCTTTCCTGACACCAAAGTACTGTTATGCCACCGTTTTCAGACATGACAATCTCAGTAGCGCGATTTGGTTCATATCCAGAAATAGAGAAGTCCGCAATTGCTTGTGACAATTCCTGCGCCAGCATCGGAGCCGTCTGTTCCATACCGTCTTTCACTGCCAAAGACGACTGATCTACTCCTTGAACTTCAGTTGGGGAAGGTTTTCGGCTGATGTTTAGAGGCTTCACTGACTGCCCGATATCAGGAAGAACTGGGTTCGCGTAGTCACTTAAGCTTCCCCTATGTGGTCTACTTGTCGACGCAAAGTTGGACCCCATCTGTGGTACCTCCTCGCTTGGAGCTGGCGGTGACGGAGACTGCTGGTCTTGCGGTTTTGGGGCCGGTGAAGACATCTCGGTTTTTGTGGAAAAACCGTTTCCCATGAAAGGCAGTGAAGGCAGGTCTGCGGGTAGAGTATTTGTCCTCGTAAACGCAGGTGGAGGGTCCAATATATCCTTTTTGTTGAGCAGAATCATGGATTGATGGCCGTGTAGAGGTTTCACTGTCTGATGGTCTAACTCTGGGAGGTCGTACAGCGGTCTCTGAACAAAGCGGTTTGTAGTTAAGGAGGCTTGCTGGCCACCAGAAGGACTCTGTAAAGGTTTTGGGCGTCCGCGGGCGGGCTGGAGAATGGACGGTACCCGTTGGGTCCCAAACTTTTTCGCCTTTTCGTTGGCTTTTGAGCTATTCTCAAGCTCTGTTCCGGACTCTGATTTGCCTGGTTGTGCAACTGACACTATCTGTCCCGGTGTCTCTTTAGCTGACGACACAGCTGGTACCTCAACCCGAGACGGCACTTGTCCTTGTATGGAATACCTGTCTGCGTGTGCAGGCCGAGGATTCGAAGGAGGGGAGGCAAAATTGGCGCCAAATATGCAGGGACTTGACTCCTTCTTCCGATCGAGATTCGGTCTTGATCCTGGATCTACCTTTTGAGAGTTGGGGTCTTTCTGTGATTGTTCGCCCGAAGTGGCCTTCACGCTAGCGTTTTCAGAGGATAACTCGACAGGCGCATGCTGATCTGCGTTCGCCAACTGTAGATTGCGGATGGGCGCCTCATGACCTGGTAGTTCCGCTGCGGCAGGATGTTCTTCGCGAGTCCTCGCGGTCGACTCGCCGTATAACTCGGCCACAAAGCCGATAGGAAACACTTGGTTTATCGGACGACCATCCAACATAGGGACCCCCGGAGACAGGATATAATCCCCTTCAGCCGGGGTACCGTCAACTTTCGCTGGCGTAGTCTGTTCCTGGGTCGTCACAACGGTAGGTCGGCTATTGACAACCAGAGGAGTGGTTTCTGTACTCGTTACAGGCGATATCAATGGTCTGTTTGGCGGCTTAGTAACCTTGGACTCGGGTGTCCTCGGGTCAGTCGCCGGTAACCCAGCCTCGTCTTCGTCTTGCTCCGGACTTGTGTCGTTGTACGCCCCAGGACCCATGTACATGAACCCGTCTGGCTGGAACCATGGTGGTGGATCATTGTAACTTGGCCCAGAGAAGTTCGCTGACGTCGCAGTTGTGCTGATGTTTAATGGGGGAGAACTTGGGGCCGTCTCGCTTGAACCCCCCTTCTTGAGTTTCTGGCTCAAGAATTTGTCCTCGGGTGGCATAGGTCCGCCAAAATCGCCAACAAACTCGGGGAACTCGTCGCCCGGCTTAGGAAAGGTGTACTGAATGAGCCCTGTAGGCTTGAATCGGTAAATCCAGCGACTGATGGCTCCATCATAGTCCATCTCCCAGTTCTCCGGAAGCGCCGCCATCTTGATTTGGACCGAAGGCAAAGAGTGTCGGCGGATTGAATGACCCCAGCCCAACCGGGCTTTTCGTTAACACAAAGGCAAGTTGAACAGCTGGCGCTTGCCTTCGCGATAGGCATACGGAATCAATGGGCGCGTAGTTTTGATAACATGGTCGCGCGCGGCAGACGCGCCGGGTAGGAGAACCGGTGGTATCAATGTCGTCGCGATTGAGTTGAGTCAAGAGGTAAGCTGGAGGTCACATCGGGCTGGCGCAACGCTCGTCAGTCAACAGTTCGGTCGGGGAGTGTATGCACTAACTGAGGCGCGGCTGAGGCCTCTCCGTCCGTCCAATTGAGGACGCGCGGGGTCGACGCAATTTTTCCCCCTCCCACGACCGGCCCCTGGCGGTCACGATCCTTGCCCTTGCGATCCTCCTGCGATGTCGTCTTCGCGCCGAGTAAAAGGATCTTCGGACGGCATAATTGCGACAGGGGACGGCGAAAACAAACATTGATGTGAACCTCGCCGCAGTCGGAAATTAGTGTCGAGGAAGTGGTTTCCGTTTGACCGGCAACATCGAAATACGAAGGATGACGTTAGCGCGCAGGATTCAAACTCGTCGTGGCGATTATTGTGTAGGGTTGAAATTTTGAGCCATCGAGGTGCGAGGATTGAAGTCAAGGAAAGAACGACTTGTTGGTTCGAAAGGAAAGAAGGAAAAATGTCCCGCGGTCCGGTTTCGCTCCGAAACCATCTCGTACATCTCGTACACTGCAGCCGACGTCATCACAACTTTGACCCAAACACACGAGATGAGTGCAATCTTCTTCCATTTCTACATACTCACACGACTTTGACATCCTCAAATCAAAACTAACTTGTAACTTTCCTGATCCTTCTTCATTGTCCTGAAGTCCCAGGCCCCCACCTAATGATATCAATCAGGGTTTATTGACCAGAAAACGACGAAACCAATTCCAATAACTCCAAGAACCAAATTATTCCCAAGCAATAATCCATCAAGTTCAAACCCAACAATGAGTCTTTACTACCCAGAACCACCTACACCCAGTCAACCATCCATTCTCCATTCCCATATCGAACATCACGCTCCTCTCTTCCTTCTTCAGATCCGAAGCTGAAAGCAACAAGAGACAACATGCCACAAAGTTCGCTAGGCCAACTCTCGCTCCGCTTTTCGAAGAGGACATCTCACAAACTTCCCATTCTTTCGCAAGTCGACCAAAGCCATCATCAGGTAGGGATCTCGAGCGATCAACGATTCTGACTGACAAAGATTGTCGCGGTTGAAATACTGGTGCTTCATCTCGTCGTACGATATCTTCGTCCTCTCATCAACCCAAGCAGGCTGGCTTAAAATCCTCAAGCTTGAAGAAGACGTCGGGTTCGCCTAAATCTAAGTGAAACTGTTAGCATCTGTCATGAGAAATCTGCTATAAGAACGAAAAAAAAAACAATGAGACCGAGCCCTCAAGAACATACACTTGTACGAACCGGCGGCACCAACATCCTCACCCTCACCGCTGCTCTCAATCTTTACCTTGCGATCCTCCCCGGGGGCACCTTCGCCTCCATCCTCAGCATTCCCGAAACACTCTTTCTCCATCATGATTTTCAACAACCTCTCAATACCCTTCTCTACAGCCATTAGCCTGTTGCCCCTCCTCTTATGATTCACCAAAACCCGACCCTTCTGCTCAAAGATAACGAGGTAAATCTCCTCTTTATCGCGCAGTCTGCTCAGACCCTCGACAATGGAGTGGTAGAGGGCGGATGCTTCGTCATCGATGTAGTCTTTGTTTTGGTTTTGGTAGTCTGACTTCCACTTGGGAGATTGCAGGAGAAAGTGCTCCGCTACCTGGCTGGCCTGGTTCATGTTGTCAAATGTCCTGATGTTTCTGGGCAGGAGCTTGGTGAGACGGTCGAGAGCGTCGGCGCTGTAGGGGATGTCGGTGGCCTGGTCTTTTGAGTGTCAGGGTTAGCTCAGCTTGCTTTCACCTTTTACGTTTCCTTGGGATGTGATGAGTGAGTGATACGATACCTTCGATGATGATGGACAGAGTCCTGCGAGCGGAGTCCAGCGCAACGACACCGGTAGACGCGGGGTCCGAGAAAGGTGAGGCCATGGTGATGAGGCGAGATGTATTACGTGACGATTTGATATAGCTCACACGAGTAGTTGGCGATGGAGTCTGGGGGTTTGATATTGTCTAGCACGTAGAGTAACGGACCAAAACGGAAATCAAGAATGATGAGTGAGGAGGGAAGAGATTCACGAACTGCAAAATTTCAGAAGAAAGTGGAAAGAGGAAGATCGGAGACGAGCACCAAGACGAGTACCTTAGGTAGTTAAATACTCGCCGACAGAAGCCTTCAAGGTTCTCTCGAGTATGAACTATGAACTGGTTCACACTATAAGTCCTCGAAGAAAGAGAGATGAGATGAAACACACAAAACCGATAAGAAGATAGGAACCAGCATGAACTATTCCGCCTCAAATGCAATGCTTATCAGTATGCCGACGAGAGGAAGCAGCACAAACACAATAACAACAGAAGAGAAAACCTACCCATACATAAGTACACTCATTCACACAGACACATATACTTCCATATTCTTGTGAGACTTTCCACCACAACACACGGCAGTTTTGACCGCCAAAATGAATCAATATCCAATCTCCAGGTCATTCCTCTTCAGGTTCCCCCAGCACTTTTACGTTTTTCTTTTTTTTTTTTTCACCTCGTTCGTGAGCCGTTTTTGACAGTGCTTTTCAGGGTCAATTGCAAATGCGGCTGCTACAAATGCAACTAGGCCACTCGAAAATCAGGCAGGGGCACCAACTTCCGTTAAAAGTAGGTATCTTATTCGTTTAGTAGAGGATACCAATACCAATACCAAATCTTAAAAAAAACCAGGAAGGCTGCCGTGTGGTAGATAATTCATTGCCCCATAAAGTGGTGGAATGTATGTGCCTGCCTGTAGGAAGAGGTATATGTGTGTAGTGTAGGTTATGTTGTATCCAACAGAAGCACACTCCATGCCCACCAGATAAGATGGGAGTCAAAATCTGGGTTGTCGTCATTCACGGGGTAGTGTGGATGTTGACAACTAACTGCTCAAGTCTAAAAATTTTAGACTAAGGGGTTTGAGAGATGAGATGGGCCGGGAAAACAAAGACATAATGAGGATATTGTCGCTATGACCAACCAAAGAGAAAGGGTGATCGAATGAGGACGGGAGACAATAACTTAACTTTGTATAGTAGGGCCAAGTAAGTATGGGAAGCATCGATCTTGATTTGTTCAAAATAGCGGGCGGAATATCAAGCTTTTTTGAACACACCCCGGTTGAGCAAGCGTACGAGGCCAGCTCGCTCGCCCATCATATAGTCTAGGTCTTGAGACCTTTTACCGCAGTTCTCGGCGGGCAATCACAACAATCTCGTCAGTTTTGTTGTAGACGAGGCTCCACCTATATACAAGGGTTTATTTAGAGCATCAGGATCGTGGATTTCATGACCACTGACTGGACACTCGGGCAAAAGAAAAGAGAAAGTCGCCCGGAATCGCTTTAACTCTTTTCCCGGATAAACTTTTGGCTTCTAGGATAGTGGTTTGGATTGATGGCGACTGGCAAGGAACTTGGTATTTTATGTCCAAGGTACTTGGTTTCGGTAGAGAGAGGAGAGGTAGCGGTGTTGATGATGATGATGTGTGGGAAATGGTTGATGGTGTCTTTTATTTCTCACAGTGGTGCTTCGGTAGATGTAGCCAAACACTTATGATCCAGATTCTTCTGTGAAGAGAGGACATGCTTAGTAGCTGTTCTCCTGATGATCAAGCAAGCAGATACCTACTCAAGTCTGGTTTTGTCGAAGAGCTATTGAATCAGAGCAAATGCCTTCAATGACCGTTGCACCGTCACAAGAATTCTATATACTAGCCGGGAACGTCATAATTCTTTACTCCCCAACCAAGATCACACAAGAAAGACTCAGTAGCAAGTGGAGTCATCAAACTTTCATTCTTCTCATCCACATCATCATACTTCATATCTCATACCCACTCGCTAAAGCCAAAAGTCAAAAGCCAAAAGCCAAAACAAACTTCATAATGCTCCAAACTCCTAGGGATCAAGGCTCAAACAGGCCTGCAAAACCCCCAACGACAAATATCCAGCCTCCCACCATTTACTTTTGCCTTTCCATATTTGTATCTCAAAACCCACGTATGCAACCAGTCCCCCAGCCAAACGTACGTATTCTTACATAACCTTTCATCCATCCATCAATCCATCAATCCATCAATCGTCTTATGTCATCCCATGTCATTCCCAGTGTTAGATGAGGGCACCGTAGTGAAGGAGGTGTCAAGGAGATGTCAAGGAGGTGTTAAGGAGGCGTCAAGGAAAATAAAGTGAAGATCCCAAAGAGCAAGTCCGTGCCGCCTATTTGCATGCCATCCACATGGAAGCGGAACGGTAGCGAGAAGTGTCAGTCAGTTCAGAAGAGTAGAGAGATCACCACTGGTCTCGATCCCCTCTTCCTCAAATTCCGTTTTTCCGGTACGGGCCCGGCTCGGTGTTGTGTTGTCGAGGAAAGGGGTGTGTAGTCGTTGTGTTTGTAGGCAAGGGGGTGGATGCGTGTGTAATGGAACCCTACGGACAGCTGATGTGATGAATACCCGCGACTTTTGCTCCTGTTGCTTTTGTTGCTTGATGTGGGCGGGTGAACCGGTGTTACTCTCTTGACTGCTGCTCTCGCTGAGAGGGTTGGAATAAGGTTGCAGCCAGAGCCAGAATCAGGGGGCCAGCGGCACGGCGGGGTCGGGGCTGAAAGGTTCGTGTTCGGTAGTGACCACTCGTCACTCCCACCAGCTAGCCAATCCAAGCCAGCTATCGCGCAACATGCTCAGGTATGAGAACAACCTGATTGTCGCTTTGGTTACCGATGTTTAAGCAATAGCTTAGACATAGCTGTGCTTGCTCTTGTTGGCGAGTCGTTGTAGTGTCGGAGCATTGAAATAGTGATCGCTCAGTACCTTGTTAACTGCTCTCCTCTTGCTACTCATTCCTTGGTAGAGGCAGTGTCGGTTATACCCGGCGGCACCAAACTACCCCCGCCGCTCCCAGCAGACAGGGCAGATAGGCAAGCAAGTACCTTGATAGTGCTCGTGGGTGACATTTGTCGTGATGTGCCGCAATACCACCCCCATCCAATCCGATCTGCAAGCAAATCTATACCGGAACCAGTTATCACAGCGACCGTGACACGAGAGCCTTCCCGATCTTCGACCGGGATGATACTCCGTGGGACCGAACGTGGTGAAGGGCAGAGGGGGTATGCTCCTGTCTGTGACCATGATACGCCACCACGAGAAAAGCAAGAATGCGCTGAGACAACTGAGCTTCTGGACTTCCTCCCTCTTGGTGGGTAGTCCTGACATCAACTGATGGGTGGACTTTCGGATGTGTGTGGATGTGTGTTCTGCTTGTATGTCCTCGTTCGGCCAGCCCCGCAGCAGTGGGCGACAATGTGTTCGGTGCGCGGTTAAATCACCGGGAGCTCCCGACCACGGATTCGTTCCTTCGTCTTTCGTTTGGTGCTACCCCAATATCTTCCCTCCTCTTCGCTTCCTACAATCACTCTTGGCTCCAATACCATGGTCATGTGAGATACGCCCAAACAAGCCATCAGAGTGGGATGGATGTATGAGTATGATATAGGCATATGCCCTTGGGCTGTCTTCACATATGATATCCACCGTTGGTGCTCAACTCAGGGTACGCGTACAAGTCCAGATCAAAGCCAGTGCTGCTCATTGCCGTACTTGTTGTTGGCAGCGGCGGATGCTGGTAAGCCAGGTTGCTGGTGGTTGTGTAACCAATATCCTTGAACTGAGAAGCTTTGAGCGCCTCATATTCTGCCTCGAGCGCAGCGTAGGCCTGGCCAAGGGTATTGTTGTGTTGTTTGGCCTCATTGAGCATCTGCTCGAGGTCCTTTATCCGTTGGTCCTTGCGTTCCCGATAAGCTCTCTGGGAAGCGCGGTTTTGGGCTCTTCGACGCTGTTGATAGACATTGGGTTAGTTTTGTCCTTACAGCCATTGTTCGTTCATACAGATATGAGCGGGAAAGACACAAGATCTATCACATACCGATAGGACAGACGGAGGGGCATTCTTATACCGGTTTTCTCGTTTCCTTTTAGGCTTCTGCTCTTGGGTCGGTTGCTGCGAGGACTCATCTTCCGACTCCAGGCCTTGATAGACGCCAGAATACATGTTGGGGTCCATTAGGGAAGCCATATTGTACTGCCACGCTATTGTTAGTCTCCCAAAAGCACACACGGGCGTCGTCAATACTCACTGGTGAGTTAACTGAGCTTTGAGATCCCGAAGAGTGTGCGTCCAGATATTGATCTGATTCCGCATACATGTACCGAATGGAGCTCTCAGAGGTCGGCATATCGACGAAGTGGTTGAAGTCATCCATAACAAGATGTTGTTGACTTGTAGGAGGGTATCGTTGAGAAGATGTTGACATATATGGAACGATAGAGGATGCTTGAGATACGCTTCCGCAACTGGTTGAGCAGATAGAAGTAGGCTCAAGTATCGAGCTGTTACTGCAGATGAGGAGGATATCGATGCCTGATGTGTGAGGATCTCAAGGCTCGTTCGCCATTCGAAAGTCGCAAGGGCCCCGTTATTATATAACCGTCCGGAGGGACGAGGCTTATCTGACTCCCCCTAGCTGTGCCGGGCAGCCAATTACCCATGCAGATGGCCCCGTTGAAAGCAGTGACAGCAAGGCAAGACAATGCGCCCAGCCATCTCGCCTTACAAGGTCCTCAGGAAACCCATATGTCTGTCTTTTGAGCAGATTTTGTTGAAGAAGTCCACAATACAATTTATCCCAAGTTGAAAGCCTCAACTGGGTATTTTGGTCCAAGATGGAGATCATTCGGTGTGCACATCTGCATGCCAATATGCGGGTGGGTAGCTTTTCCGTGTAACGCGAATATGTAAGACGGCTGACAGGGGTAAACGGAGGGAACTCGCATGTACACCACTGCGGTAGACGCTTCTGGTGTACAAAGACCTCTCAAGTGCCATAAAAATGTGCATTTGGTACAGAAAGAGCTTCAATTTTGACAGTAGGCAGTGTACACACGAGTCATGGGTATCCACGTGCTAGCTTCTAAGAGGGCACGGTACGGACTTCTGAATGGCTCGATGCCACAATATCGTGCACCACAGCCACTTGCCGATTGCTTAACACCGCGTGAGTTTTGGATTCTCTACCGCCCTTGTTTTGTCCAGAACTGTCCTAGTTCTCTGGGGAAGTAGTAGACCTGTGGTGAATGCAACAGCAAGACTCCGATCATGCGCCGGTGGTCTGAGTTCGTCTTGTCTCGCCGACCAAAAAGGTAACCCGGGGTGTCGATAACCTGTTGAGAATTTGCCAATGCTTTGTGGGAACCGTCCGTTCCATATAACTTGTCAAGACTGGTACTGTGTAGTCTCGAGGATGTGAGATGAGCAACTGTAGATGTGCGGTAGTCGTTCGTGACATAGCCCTATGGATCTCAACGCTACGGCCTCCTTGCAGGGTACAAGCCCGTGCCGGACTAGGACATGGCCTCCATGCCCCTGAGCTTTTTGAGCCAAGAAGCTTCGGTAGCAGGATCGTGCTGAGATGTATCTCTGTCGGTCCTAGCCGTCGTCCGACTTGGGGTGGCCAGCTCGCCCAACCCAAGAACTCCAAGAAGAGGTGCAAGGTACCCTAAGCGAGATCTGGCAAGTGTTAAGCCTCCCCTTTTCCCTATCAGGAAGCTAAAGCATGACGTCGAGAGGTAGCCTCGAGAATAAAACGGTTGTCTTTAGTCATCCCGGGTCAATATTAACACTGGATGGATGTTCAACATCACCAAACCTGATATGTGCCCCGCTGCCGTACGGCCCTGCCGAAGACGGCCGGTTTGAGCCTCTCTGCTGTACCACACGCCCACATCGCTATATGGGTACGGGAGCCTAGGCAACTGAATTCTTCCTTCAACCAAGGACCTCCAATTTGACTGGGATGAGGTAAGGCCGGGACTTCAACGGTGAAGGCGCAAAGGGTGCGATTAGTGAACCATTCAATGGGCTTTATGGCACCCCACTGAGCCTGTCCCTGAACTACCCTCGGCTTCTTTAAACAGTGCCAAGCCCACACACTATAGGTGGCTCAGGTTGCACCTAATGAGGCAAATGCGGACACTGTGTAGAATGGTGTGAGACCATTGGGTAACTCCTCTAGGGGAGGCATGGTGGTGCTCTTTGGCGATTGACCTCACTGCAGTTCGCTGTAGATACGATTTCCGGATATCACACGTGTATCGACGGGAGTTCTCGCCTCGAACACGAGGCGTCTTCTCGGTTTCATTGCCTCCATGATCTAGCACCAAATAGCCGGGCTTCTCGCTACTTCCATGCTCAGAAAGGAAGACCGTCAACGTCCGTATGATAAGCCGACCTTATAACTTGGGTATAACTGTGACAAAGCCGGTTTGTCATGGGTCTGGGCCGATGCAGATGTGTCTTGGTGATGGTAGACATGTCCGGTCGAGGAAAATTTGCTCAGGATATCGTCGTGGTACCAGCTGCCCCACAACTTCAGCCCTACAGCGGCGACACCTCCCGGATGTGTTGAAAACAGAGCAAGGAGATCATGCTATGGAAAAGCGGTAACGTTTCCTGTGCCTCTCTGCGTGATGAATGTGTGTGATCTCATATTACCAGTGCGTCAAATGGCAATTCCGTACCGTCTTCTCATCCCGGAGTGATCCAATGATAAGTGAGAATCTTCGGTACCTCCCGGTTGCGGTGCAGCATCATGCGGTAGTACGTAGCAATAGTATTACCGGATGGTCGTTTGGGCGAGAATGAGCCGTCGGTTGTCATTGCCCAGTCCAGGGTAGCTGGTCACGTCCTTTGCTGACCAAGACCATTTCTAGAAATAAATCTGCTTAGTTGTCAAACAGTCCCGTATTCTCGCCTCTCCAAAGGATCCAGATGCAGATGCAGTCGGCTTGATAACCTAAACTCACCTAGATCCAACACTACGGGATACTGGAGGGTGTCATTTCGTTTCTGGCGGCATGCATAATCCGTGGGCGATGGGCTTCGAGACACCCACAGCTTGGCCATAGATTTCAGCTTTAGGTCCTTGCTTGGGTCAGAACCAGGAGCAGCCCCTCCATAGCAGACAAGGCCGGAACACCAGAGACTATCCAGAAGAAAGCCTCGAGTTACCGAGAACACCACGTGAATTTTCCCAACAACGGCAAACCGCTGCGGTAATCTATTCAGCGTTAGACATCCCTACCCTGGAAAGTGGTGTGGAATGGAAGTTTTGTGGAAAAAACACAGGTCGAAGGTCTGTGTAGAGTCCGTAACTGAATGTCTTTGGGCCCCTGTGGTCTAGCGGCATCCGCGGCGGGAAACCCTAGCCCCGGACACGCCAAGAACATGGGGTGTGGGCGCCCCCAACTCCCAAGAGCCACCGATGACCCCGTCTCAGGCAGCCTCGTTCTCTGTAATTCTATTCGCCAATTCTATTGATTCTCCATCTCACCCCTCCACTTAAAGGACGACACTGCGGCAGAGGTGGGCGGCCATGTGTTGTCCGCATGTCTGCGGCGGCAGCCGAGCAGCGGATCTTAGGCCGTCGTGGCCGTGTGGTTGCAGGTAAATGATTCTTTGATGTACCTTTGCTGCGTTGTTTCTGAGCCGAACTACCAAAAGCTACCAGTCCTCTCTCGGGATGCCCGAGGGGTGAGTTGAAGACCGGGCTTCAAGGGGGGAAAAGTGAGTGTGGCCTCGGAGACTCCCAGAAGCATTGGAGAAACCATTTTGCCCTCAATGACTGGAGAGGGGCCGTTCTCATTCTTGAATGGCTGGTTGCTCATGTATCCAGCATGATATTGGGTGAGGTCAGACTGTGTCTAACCGACTCCTTTGGCCGAGTGAAAGCCGACAATGGACGATGCTAGATAGGCCATCTGAAAGGCCGATCTGGCTACTGCTTCCAGACAGATTGACAGAAATGCTGCTGCCTAACTAGCTAGCATTTTCATGCACCATTGAGCCTCCGCCCCATCCATAAAGCGGGGTGAGCTTGTCCGCGATCATGGGAGATTGGTGGTCCGTGTAACGTAGGTAGCACAATGCTCTTTGTGAGTGGTGAGTTACCGAGAGGATGTCTCCGGGTTTTGTTTAACATTCGGAAAAAAGAGTAAGTTCAGAGATGAGAGAAAGCAATGACATCCAGGTCTGAGGCCAACGAGATTGACATACAGGGTTGGACCAGCCATGGAGTTGCTTGCTCTTCCGCCCAAGTACGGTGTGATTGGATGTTGGCCCGGTTGAAGCGTATTGAAAGAGGAGTGTTGTGAGTGTCAGAGTAGCTTATTTCTTTGTCCAAGTGCGCTTCTCGGGTATCGTGGCGCGTTTGAGCTATGGCGTTGGATCCAAGTAGAATGTTGCACAGCGCACAATGTTGGATGTAAGCGAGGTGACAATTGGATATGACGATGGCTGTTAAGCGAGGAACGTTTTGATGGAAGAGGAACGGTGATGTCTGTACACCTAGTGCAAGGTACATGGTCTGTTCGATGAGGAAGCTCCGCGTCTGAGAGCCCTGTTGAACCACTTGACCAGGAAGAAAACCGGCTGCCTAGACTTCATCCGTCGTATTTGAGATCTGATGCTTGACGATGAGAAAGGGTCGCTTCAGCCTGCTGGATGATTGGCGCGGCAACATGTGGCTTAAAGAGGAGAAGGACTCTTGACGTACGGCCCTCATGATAGATCACAATAGGGTTCAATGCTGATAAGGGCCGGGAAACGCCAGACTTGCAGCTAGAGGACCAACTGAGAGTCTTAATTTTAAGCTTAAGTGAAAGACGAGCATGCCGTGATCCAACTGCATGGAACAATACCCAGCCTGCCGAGTATCTTGATATGGATTATGGCTCTTTACCTGGCCGTGTGCCACAAAATTCCTTTCTGGAAGCATGGCTGCCGGAGGGCTGGGGATATCCTTTATGAAGACTCCGGTCAAAAGAGGTGCCGAAATTCGATTGGCAAACTTTGCAAGCTCTTGGTTGTAGGATATGGAAGGATGGTCCGTACATTGACCCACTACTCCGGTCCTGTTGGGCTAAGGATACTCTAACGGCGCAAGCCAACGGGGAGTCAACGCGGCGTTGGTGCGATGGGAAGAAGCACCTCTTTCAAACTGTTCGTGACCACCGCCAGACGCAGAGAATCCCATACGTATCCGAGTTCCGGCCATGTTGCGTAATTCGAGCTCGATGATGTGCGAGTGATAGCAACCTATCTTCTCAGGCACTTCACATGACTGTAATTCTTCAAAAAGGTTGTCCCTGTTGGGCCGGGGTGACACACTCGTCGCATTGGAGGGGATGTGACCAGCACTTCGGGAGAAGTCTAGATGTCCGTCCAATGGAGGGAACGAAAAGAGAACCACCGGCAAGCGGATATTCGGGAGTGAATCCTCGGGGGTTGGAGAGGCTGCCGATGTCACACATATCCATATCATGCGGGCTGCTCTAGGCACCTTGAAAGGCCAAATGCGATCAGAGCTTGTGACGATGCTGCCCTGGACGTAAACGGCTCGGTAAAAGCAAGCCACAGCCAGGAATTCAAAGTCGAGATGGCGCTGAAATATCATGGCGAATGTTCTGAGGCATCCATCACTTTCACGATTCGTCTTGCAAATGTCCGATCACCGAATAACTCCGATGTATAGACACGAAATGGGTGAGTTTGATGATTTGCCTTTCCGAGTTCGTCAACTGGTACATAGTGAGTGATACTGGGGTCAGACGCTCGGCACGCACACCCTATGTGTGCTAGTTTGTATTCCATTGAGTTTCCCACCATTGGAGGGCTGCATCCGGAGGACGCCACTGATCCTACCCTACTCACAACCCAACATGTGAACTGGCTCATGCCTTGGGAACATAGCGGTGAAGCTAACAATTGTCGAGGAATGGCGCATCGAAAAAAAATTGGATTTTCGGCTGGCGATAGCGGGTAACTTGCCAGACAACTTCACCATGTACAGTTTTGAGATGTAGATCCGACGCGCCTACTCCAGCACCACGGAAACCTGGTCCTTGATGAAATGAAGGTTTTGAACTCGGCATAACGGATATGCCATGATCGCATATCTCAAAAACTTCTTCCGATCCGATTATCCTAGCCAAAAGGTAGGTGCAGGTGCCATGGGAATGAGATGTGATGGGTATCTCCGTGGGATATCAGTGCGGCAACGTTTGCGACGTAAGTTCCCTGACATCAACCAGCTGGTAAAGACGCTGATCCTCTTTTGCAGTTGAACAGAGGCACACTGAATCAATGGCTCCGCTACGACGAGTTCGACAGCGCCCGCAAGCCCTCCTCGGCTTGGGTCACGCCCTCTTCGAACTCGAGGCTTCTGCTCCTCTCAATGGCCTTTTCGAACAAACGACGAGCCTCAGCGACATTGCCGGTCAGACGAGCAATGCTGGCAAGGTTGCACAGTGAGGTAGCGCAAGCTTGATCGCATTCAGGGGTCCGCTCATCACCCTTTGGCTCCTTGGCGTGTTGTCGAGCATTATTTGCCCAGCGCTTTGCTGCCTCGAGATACGCGGTTCTTTTCTGGGCTGGTGTCGCGGAAGCCACTTCTTCACCCATCAGCGTATCGACTTCGCTTTGACCAGCGGGCAGGACAGGGTGCTGCGCAAAGCAAATGGCAATGTTGTTCACTGAAAGAAGTTGTCAGCTTGGTTGTTCGCGAATATCCGCCAACGAGGATAATGCGTGGTGGAAACTTACTGAGAGTGGCGCTGTGGCATTGGTGTTGAGACAACCGAAGAGCCTGAAAAAAGAGCGGCAGAGCCAGATGGAATTGCGACTTGGCCTCGTAGCTATGTCCCAGAGCTACAATGTTCAACGTTAGCGGATTGTGGGCCGATTGAGACTGTGAGACTAGGCGGAAAACTGGGAACACTCACCTTCTAAGGCACCGCCAATTTCCTCCGAACTCATCCATTTGCCTTCTCCCTCCTTGAGGCCCTCAACGGTCCGTCTACGGAGCTCGTTGAGAGCAGTTTCGACGGCCCAAATCAGGCGTTCGTGGGCCTCCTCGGGCCTAGCAAGATAGAAGGAGTAGAGGTTGGCAAGCTTGACATTGATTCCAATAGCCTTGCCAAGAATGCGAGTCCGTCTGCCCCAGATGGTCTCGGGAGTTTCCTCCTGCTCGGGCTTTTTAGCGGCGGCAGACTGGCCAGCTGGTTCCTGGGGTACCACAGGAGGTAATAGTGATGGCGGGATCTTTCCTCCTTCTTTGACGCTCTTCTCCATGAGGTCGACCCAGCGCTTGCAGTCGTTCGAAAGATTCTCCAGCACCTTGACCGCGTTGTCGTAGCTCCCAATTTTCTCGAGCCAAGCCGCAAGCTCGATCTTGATGCCCATGACTTCATCAGAGAAGGTGTCGAGGTGGAGTTCATCACACAGCTCAAGAGCCTGCTTCCAGTACTTGAGGGCCATCTGCTGATCGGGATTGTAGTTGCTGTAGTACAATGCCCGGCGCAGAGCTTTGGCAATGGGAGGAGGGTATTTGGTGAACTGCTCTGAGTAGAAGTAGGTGAAGTAAAGCCGAACGATATACACCATGACAACAGCAAGTGCAGCAAGCCTGGATGACTGTTAGCATCTTGACGAGTACAGGAAATGGCTCATGTATATACGTACAAGACAAGAGCAAAGATTAGCTCTTCGGGGTTCTGACGAAGCATAGTCTTGAAGGTACCATTTCGAAAATTCCTCTTGAGACCACGGAGGTTTTCCATAGCAGCCCCAAGTATGAGACGAGGGATCTGCGAAAGGGGAACGGGTTGGGGCTGAGGCGAGAACTTCTTGTTGGTGTTGTTCTTGTCTACCAACGTCCTCGATGTTGTTTGAAGGGACCGACATTGTGGAGAAGTCACGGAGCGATGGGCGACGAGAGGGCGAACATTGTGTATTTGGCCGCGCCTGATGAGCTCAAGACGAAGGAGAAGAGGGGATCCAGATGGTGTACCGCGAAGGGATCCAGAAGCGGAAAGACGTGCGAGGGACATGGCCGCGGTTCTTCAAAGGTAGAGGTAGATAAAGGGCAGTGGGAGTCCTCGAGTTCCTTGGGCGCTGACTGAAGCAGCGAAATTCAAATGCGAGATGAGGAGCTCAATGGAGCTATGAAAATGACAATTGAAGCATCAACCAAAGTACAAGATGGCGACCAGAGAAATTTGAAGTCGCTTGGAGCAATCCAAAATCCTCATGCGCAGATTGGTCGAGATGTTGGACGTCGTCTTTTTCGAGGTGACGTTGAAAAAGATGGATGTCGTTTGAAGCTCTGGGGAGCTAATCCCAGCCAGTCCAAGCTCGAGCTTGGCGACTTGGCGCGGACGTGGACTTTCCCCCGCAGTGCGGTAATGGGGGGGGGGGGCTCAGGGGTGTCCACCCTCTCCAACAGCCGTCGCCAACTGCAAGTCATTCTCCAACCCCTGTCCCTGCCTGCTCGTTCCTGCCGTTCCGAGGTTCACGAACCCCCCCGGTCCGCCCGCGGCGTTCCAGGCTTGGCGCTTGTGGCCGAGTTCAGTTGACGCCGTCACCAAGAACCGGACCTAATTGCGTGCAAGTGAGATTCAGATTGCTCTTTCCAAGATTCAACACCAGCGTCACACACAATCGTTAATTTCTTGCCATTTCTTCATACTCTGCATCTACGTTTTCACAGGTATGGTCCACTTGAAATTTCCGGATGGCATGAGCAGCTCAGGGCAATGATCGCAATTGCCTGTTCCTGTGCACGGGATTATCATGCCTTCCGGTTGACTCCTGCCTTGTTGTGAATGATTACAAGATGGGCTATGGGGCTTTTAGAGACATGACGCTGACGAAGAGATCCAGTAATAAAGATTTTACATTTACATCCTCACAATGTCCGGAAAGTTTGAGCCCAAGGTTCCTGTTCAGTTGAACCCTCCCAAGGACGACCCCATTTCCGTTGAGGAGTTGGCCAAGGCGAACGGTAAGACTTCACTCATCAACCCGGCCGTAGAGGTTCTCTTCAACTTTTTTTTCTCAGACAATCCATGGCACTAACAACACTCTTCACCTCAGGTGCTGATGACGGAAAGTGCTATGTTGCCATCAAGGGTATCGTCTACGACGTAACAGGCAACAAGGTGTACCAGCCTGGAGGTTCCTACCACGGCAAGTTTTGACGTCTTCTTTCGTCCCCCTTTGAGGTTTCGGTGCCACCTCATCACGACATATCTCTCTGTGCCTAAGGCAAACAACATCATTGCTGGCTCATCGCTAAACCCTGTCGTGCTCCAGTGTTCGCTGGCAAGGACGCCTCGCGCGCTCTCGCCAAGACTTCGACCAAGGCCGAGGATATCAGCCCAGACTGGCAAGATCTCGACGACAAGGAAAAGTCGACTCTTAACGACTGGATCACCTTCTTCTCCAAGCGCTACAATGTAGTAGGCAAGGTCGAGGGGGCTACCAACATGGAGTAAGGATTATGTCTGGATGCGTTAACACATGTTTCGGCTTTGCTCAAGTCATCCTTCTCTCAAAGTGTCATATTCTTACCGGCCAGCAATATTAGCTCGATACCCTCTTCAGGCTGTCCTGATTCAAAACTGTGAACTACCTCCAGTTACACGTAAAGACTCGGCTTTTTCAATTTATTACTCACACTAGGTCAATCGGCAACCACCCCAAGACGCAGGACAAAGACTCTGGCGCTTTTCACCTTCCAACTTTCGCTATTCGCAGTCTTCGCCCGCGGCCTACCTCCTATCAAAAAGAATCGCGGGGACCGCCGCCATCCGTTCCGCACAGCCTACAACTCTCCCATGGACGCCATCACAACACTGGACACAAAAATTCACATGTTTGATACCATGATGGGTCGCTCAGTTCAGTTTGTGCTACCATTTGTTTATTCAATCCTATCCAGTCAAACTCCCACACCGCATCCCAAGTTGCTTCTTTCTGCTACAGTCGCTGATCAACGTTGAGTCCCATCTCCCGCGCGCGTCCTTGCATGAACAAATTAGTTTCCCGTCTCGTGGTGCCACGCCGAGCCGGGAACTAGTGGTGGACGCAAAAATTTCCCGCTGTCAAAATCCTGGTGCAGGCCACAGGTGTGCCCTTCCGGCGTTTCGTGTGTCACCAGCTTTTGCTTTTCCCATGGCTTTGCGGTAGCAGGCGGTTCCATTTTGCTTTCACACCTCACACACACCGCATTCTTTTGTGGAAATATTCTCCGGTCGTGGTTCGAGTCTTCTAAGGCGGACGGATAAAGCCAGTCTGACCTGTCTTCCGTTTCCTAACATACCTTCAACATTTCCTATGCTTCATTGGTGCAGCGTCGGTCCCTCTGATAAAGGAAGCGAAAAGGGACTCTAATGTCTTGCAACTTCAAAACACCACATATCATGAATTGAACACGGCCTCCTGTCGAGCAAGCAGTCGTATGACCGACCAACGGCCGGGGTGTTCAATGCACCCACCCAGAGCATGGCGCTGTAATGTACTGTACTTCCAACACCACAAGACTGATCCTGTGTAGCAAGAAATTCTTCGACACAGACTAAATATCATCAAGATTGACTTCATTTCCACCCCAACTACATGGACATATCACTCCCCATTTTTAACCTAGACAAGCGTAGTGTTTCTCTCTTCTCCCTTCTCCCTTCTCTCTCGCATCATCAATGGCCTTAACAAGGAAATTATCCGGTTCAAGGTAGCAGATACGGGAAACTCTTTTCATATATACAATCACGTCACACAAAGCCGCAACTCCTGGCCTGGTCGCACAGGACAGACCGGAGCTGTAATATCAACATTCTGGGGGCTTCCATTTCTTCTGACGTCCTCTCAACGCCTTAAAAAGATTTCGGAAAATCTTATTTCCCTCACGTTCTCCCCTGGCTTATTTTTCCTGACAAGACATCTAATTAACGGATTTTACGTCGCTGCCGCATAACCCTGAACTTCGCTGAGTCAACAAAGTTCTGCTCGTTCCATTCCCCTAATCCTAGAACCCTTATTGTAAAGTGTCTGGTAGGGCTCTGATATCTGCGTCCCTCTATTTCCTGGATGTTAGTCCATCATGATTAGCCCATTCGTATCGATCACACGCACTGGACATGCCGGATTCTTTCTTTCTCTTGTGCCACCCAATTTTATTCTTCTATGACTACAAATTGTTCATAAATCCCCTTCTATCAGTGATCCTCCATTGACAGCCCAAAACGGTGTATCTCATGTCAACGATCATCGCAATGGCATTCCTCATAACTAAACATCTCTCATGTCCCCTTCCCCTTTCCCCCTTCAACGTTTTTACCACTCACAATACTTAGCCACCCCAACCAACCTAATACTGCTGCTGATATTGCCCCTGATACCCCTGCTGCCCTTGTCCTTGCTGCCCATGTCCCTGCTCTTGTCCCATGTGCATACCTTGTGCCGCTGCCGCCGCTGCCGCCTGAGCCCTGTTCACACACTCGCTGCACGGATACGTCTGGTCCCACACGTCCCGGAGCTTCTTGACGTAGTGGCACTCTTTGTATGGGTCGTTGCGGGCGCGGTGGCAGTAGGCTTTGAGGCGGAAGGTGGAGTGTCCGCAGGTGAAGACGAATTCGTCGAAATCGCACATTTTTGTTTGGGGGTGGGGTTGAGCGGTTGTGGTGATGGAGGTAGCGGTGGTAGTGGTGGTAGAGTGGTTTGCCTGGCTGGGGGCAATGATTAGCTTTAGTCTGTTGTGAAGTGTCTAGCTGGCTTTTTTTTTGGGGGGGGGGGGGGGGGGGGGGGGCGCGTTGTTTGAGTTACCTGTTGTATGTAATGCCTGCGCCTGTGAAGTATCGTCGTTGGTTGTGGGGGTTATGTTGATCTTGAGGTTAGGATTCGAATAGCTTGGGAACTGAAAGTATTCAGGTGATAGGAGTGTTTCGAGTTTATGGGGCGTCTGGAATCCTAGCAGGAATCATTGATCTGGAGGTTTAATGTGTGCTGATAGAACTGATCAGAATTTTCAAAGGTGAACACCACGGGGGACCTTTATACTCAGATTCGGCAGGCCTTCTCTACAGACCTGGGAACAATCTGGCAAGCCGCCAGAATTGAGGTAATCATGGCCTTGTGCACAACGTGCGCAGTGTATATCGAACGTGGAGACAAACATCTCTGTGCGCACATTCTCCTTGGTCACAGAACAATTGTTGCTCATGCCAGGTCATGAGCAGCCAGGCAGCGTGGATCTGTGATGTTGGTGGTTGAATAGAGAAAAGAAGAAAGGAGGATTTATCGAGTATGGCCAGCCCGTGGGTGATAGATCATATCTTTGCCTTGTTGTTGTCAAGCTGGATGTCATGACAACACGGCATAGCCCTTGGTGTGGCTTGTCGACAATGGCGCTTGTTCAATGATAGTGCGTTGCAAGACGACAGCCCGGGCGGCATAGCATTATTCTCTGCAAGCGAGAAGCAAATCGCGTCTTACAAAACAGTAGTCAACGCCTGCAGCTGTACAAGACAAACAATTGTTTGGTACGTGGGGGTTGAAACAGCTTCCCGAAATGTCAAGATACGTTCTCAGATTCGAGTGTCCAGTTGAGATTGGTGCATGTCGTTGGTTCTTTGAGCGATCTGAGGCCATGACATGCGAGACATGACCACAAATACGAACGAATTTTTGCCATTAGCGGAAGATCGAGCGTTCATAGCAAAGGATACGGTCGGTTAGTCGTACTTCAGCCCCTTCGGCCCTGGTATCAACCAGTAAGAGAATAACCACGTCGCCCAAGTTGTCCCGTATCTCTTACGACTGCCCGTTTATGTGCTCAAAGACCGACCACCACGTCTGCCAACTGCTTTGGTACATAAGGCTCGCACTCGGAACCATCGTATAGCATACCCGGTGACAGCCCTGTCCGCCGGCCCGTTGCGGTTGGCGTTTGGGAAGATCGTGGACAAGCCACCGGGACCGAGAACCATGGTGTGGATGCCAGGATGCCCTAAGATGAGCAAACAAGCCTGTTGCAGCCAATCCTTGAAGGGTAAATTGGGTGCACTCGAGTGACTACGCTTCTGATTTGTACGTCACTTGCGTGAAGCTGTGTGCTGAGACCTCCGGGGGTCTTCCGAGAATGCTCGAGCTGACGGCGTTTCCACAGACCGGGCAGCTGGTGTCCCCGTTGACCGGCGGCAGGGTGGTAGCAAACATTGTCTGAGAGTAGTTTGGTGATGAGTCCCCTTCTGGAAGAGGAAGTCTGGGACTTACGGGTTGTGGTTTGGGGTCTGGTGTGCAGTAGGTCTGACAGCTGGTCCAGGTTGCACAGCAGTAGCTTGGTGAATATCGTCCAATTCGAGGTCGGAGACGAAGAAGCCAATGCAAGTATCCGTCTCGAAGAAAGAAATCCGACGTGCCCTGTTCCCAGCACCTGCATAGATAGCTTGTGATGCCAGAGCTGTCCGTCACGAAAGTGGCTTGCTGGCTCGCGTGAACTTGTGGCCTGGTTCTTGATCCTTGGTTGAAGAGGCTGAACAAGGACAATATCATAACCTGATGGGCGTTCTCATCATCTCTGGCGTCGTTTGCCAAGGAAATCAACTTTCCTGATGACAGGCAGGGAAACAAGTCGTGGTTCGTAGCGGTCGAGAAGAAAACAATCATCGAATTCTCAGTTCGCATAGCGTAAGCAGCATGTCGCGGGGGTAACGGATGGTACGAGCGTGCATGAGATGACGCCAAGATAGGATGCGCCGTAGATGCGCAGAGCGGAGTCGAGATCGTCGCTTTGCTGTGAACTGTGGTGAAATAAGTAAGGTTCGACAAGCAGATGAAGAAGGAACTGCGAGGATCGAGCTTTCGTAAATATTCGTGTATTGCTTCTCCAGCTCTTGTCCAAAGAAAATGAAAAACACCTAACAGAAGTCTCCGGAGCCGAGTTGGTTGGCGTCGAGATGAGGTGGGACGGGATTGAGTTATTCCGGGTCAGGCATCTGTCAGGTTACGGTGTCCATTCGGGTTGCGTTCAAGCCAGCTTGGTCCAATTAGGATTCGAGCCACTCATTGCTCGACATTCTCACCAACCCCGGGCCTTCCTCTCAAATTGGAAATGGCCTTGGCCGCGCTGGTCAGGCAGGCGCTAACCCCGCAGCCCAACATCAATCATACGGTGGCATCATGATCTCACCTTCCCCAGCTTCAACCAAGATCCAACCCCCACTCATTGTCGCTCTGCTCCTGAGCCATTATCAGCCGCAACTGGAAATTGCTTGATAGATGGCTTGCTCACTCAAACAGCAAAATGGAAGGCGACAAGAAGCGCTCCTTCCGCCTGCATGAGCGGCCAAGGTCTCTGCTTTCCAAATTGTTCAAGCGAAGTGAAAGCAATCGGTCGAAATCCTCTGCAGGGACTTCTTCTTCGCTGCCCCTTTCTCTCGAAGAGACACGAGCGGACAAAGTCGGTTTGCCCCAGAGCAGTAACGATACCTCGAAGTCAGCAGCGGCGGCACCAGACGACTCTATCCCCGATGTATCTGGCCATTCCATGTGGGAAGATGCCATCGCCAAGGTCGTGAACTCGAATGAGGATCCCAAATTGGTCGCAATTGTGAAGGAGTTAAACACCGCAAGTGCTCTTTCGCCCAATGACACCGTTAGTACCATAGCGACAATGGTCAAACGAGATTTGGAGCGGGAAGTCGAAAGCCAACGTTCAGCACAAGGCTTTGTCAGAGAATCCGTTGAGCAGACTGTGTCCATCATCAACAAGTTCCTAGCAGTTGGAGACGTTGCTGCCAGCTTTGATCCCGTTCACGCTGCTCTTCCCTGGGCTGCCGTTCGCTTTGTGCTTGTTGTGAGTTTTCTCCCTTGTCCCTTCTCCGTCGTACGTTTGTGTTGACCAACCAAGGCGTTGGTTTCATACAGAGAGCTCAAGAGCCAGCTACTTGGCGGCATCGCAGCCACGACCTCACTTGTTTTACAATGTGAATCGTATCGGACTTTGTATATGGATCCCGAACCAGCTCTCCGCCCCCCAGAGTACGCCCTCTCCGAGCTGAAGGGCTGCATCACCGAGGCATACTATAATTCGTTGATGTTGCTCAGCTTTGCCGTTTGCTATCTACGGGATCCAGCTAGGCATCTTAAGGCCGTGTTTAAGCTCGAAGACATGGAAGGTCACGTCAAGAATGTTTTGGATAGGGGTAGAGAGCTGGATCATGCCGCCAACTTATGCGAAAGGTATTGCAACCTTGAGAGCAGGGGCAGAATTGCGCTGCTTCATGAGATTGCTCAAAGCTCGTATGAGACTCTTGAGGTGTTGCGAGGCCAAAGGTATGTTATTTATCGGCGCAAACTAGCAAGGCAAAGCTAACGAAAAAAAAAATATCTAGATCCCTTCTTCTTGACATTCATCAGGAGCTGGTACTTTCAAAGTTGCGCATCGCGAAAACCGCTGCATTCGATCACTTTGACAGAAACTCTGAACCGGAATGCCATCCAGAGACAAGAGCCGCCCTTTTGCGGGACATGATGCGCTGGGTGTGGGACCGCGAGGGCGACTCTATCTTTTGGCTCCAAGGCATGGCGGGCACTGGCAAGTCAACATTATCCCGAACATTCGCTCGCAAACTCCAGAAGAAGGGATTGCTTGGCGCTAGCTTCTTTTTCAAGAGAGGTGATGGCGACCGCGGAATGGCAAGGATGTTCTTTCCTACCATTGCTTCTCAGCTTGCCATGCAATTACCCGCTTTGGCTCGGTCCTTGAAATCTGCCCTCGAAAGAGAGCCTGATGTTGGCGAGAAGTCAATGGAAGTGCAGTTTGAGAAACTTATACTCCAGCCTTTGCAGGGCATCACAGTTGGCCGTTCAAAATTTACAGCCTTCATAATCATCATTGACGCTCTCGATGAGTGTGACCCCGAATCCGATGCCACAACTATCATACGTCTCCTTCCTCGGCTAAAGCAATTACCATTTGTTCAACTCAAATTCTTTGTCACGAGTCGGCCGGAGTTTCCCATTCTACTGGAATTTGATAAAATCAAAGGGACATACGAGCAGCTGGTGTTGCACCATGTAAAGGAAGACATCATGACACATGACTTGAAAGTTTACTTTGAGTCTGAACTCGGAAGGATCAGGGATGACTACAATAGGCTACAGTCACCAGATGATCAGTTACTCTCGGACTGGCCAGGACAGCGCAGGATTGAACTTCTGGTTCAGCTTGCCGTCCCGCTGTTCATCTTTGCAAAGACAGTTTGTCTGTTCATTGCAAATTATGCCTACAGTGATCCAGAAGAGCAGCTTCAAAGGGTTCTGGAGGTTCAGAAGGTGGACCATGCTTCTCAGCTTCACCGAACCTACCTTTTCGTCCTTAACCGCCTTCTCTTGAAGCGTTCCGACTTTGGACTCGTAGAATGCGACGCAGAAGAGAAAGAGGAAATATTGGACAACTTTCGCCAGATTGTTGGTTCGTTGGTCCTCTTAGAATATCCTCTCTCTGTCGATTCGCTTTCTCAGTTACTGAAGATCCCGAAAAAAAACATCAGGAACATGCTCAATTTGCTTCATTCCGTCCTCGACGTCCCAGGGCTCGATAAACCGACCGCGCCGGTCAGGATCCTTCACTTATCCTTTCGAGACTTTCTTACTGATCCCAAGAATCAGACCAAGAACCCCTTTTGGGTCGACGAAATGAACGCAAACGCTGTACTGGCGACCAGATGTATGGACCTGTTAATGGAAGATGGTATCATATACGAAGGCATGCACAAAGGACCTTCGGATTATCATAACGTTGATGAAGAGTGCATCCAATTGTCTTTCAAAGTTCCTCCTGCTCTGTGGGAAGAGGTGGGCGAGTTTGAGTACCACCAGGAAATCATGGCCAAAGTACCTCCTTATATTCAATATGCATGCCTAAAATGGCCATACCATGTTAACCGCAGCGGCCCAACCACTTACAACAAACTTCAAGCTCTTGAGTTTATTGAAAAGAAGTCCAAGTCGTGGATTGACGCTCTTCTTTGCATGCGTCGACAGGACGATGCCTACAGTCTCTTGAACATGCTACTGAATAATGACAGGTTTCGTAGTGAGGTAATGTTACACAAGCTTGCAGTGGAGTAAATACTTGGTATCTTGAGTACTGACGGTCCGGTAGGAACCCAACTTACGGATTTCGCCTCTAGACATGTGCACAGAAGAATTCCAGCCATTGTTTGTGAAGCGTCTGAGTGCTCAGTGTTCTAAATGTAAAGAAAGGGAGGAGAAGTTGGTAAAAAGGCTATGGGAAGAGGAGTTTGAGAGGTTTCAGAAAGTGGTGTCTGAACGTAACAGTATATCACAGGGTCAACTTGAACCGAAACCTCCACTTCCCATTCAAGTAGCGTCAACGAGTCAAGCGATGAGGCCAGACAGAGAACATAACTGAAATCTCAAGCCAAACGCCAAACCTCAATTCTCGACAGGTCCAACACAATAACTGGCCCATCACTACCTTCCCCTTCCGTTTTCTCCATTGACGAAGCTCTGTTCTCACTGGGCTTCCCACCCACCGACAGTTTCCAGTATTTCTAAGCTCCCCGGTTTCCGTTTCTTTCTTCTCCTCCGTTACCATTACAACAGAACCAAGCCCTTTTTTCTGCCGTCGTGTTTCCACTTTCCAGGTCCCGTCAGGCTCGCTGACCGTGGAAAGACTCACGACAAACACTCAATTAACAGACATTATACTGAAAGGTGCAAGATAAATAGTATGGATACGAAACCTACTCTCTGTCAATTTTTCTAGGATATTTCTCTCTTTATTGGATCACAAACTACACCTGTACACCAGCTCATCCATGTATGTAACGTGGTGGAGGAGGAAACAATACTGTAACTTACCTACATTGGTTGGTACCTGTACCGCGTCCATACTTACCGAAACGTTTCAATTTCATGTTTTCTTTTCTCGTTTTTATTTCCTCTTTTTTTCTCGGCTTGGCTGGGGCTGTCTCCATGTATAAGTCGATCGATCTTTCGATGAAGTTGGAGTAGTATCTCCACTCTAAATTATCCCCCACCAAAGTCTTCGTTTCTAGGGTATTTAGCGGGGGATTGGCAGTCCTCTTCCTCTTCTTCCACCAAGCCAATCAATCCATCAAAATCACCACATTGGTTTCCATTGATCTCAGTAGTCTGGAATCAGTACGTAACCCGCTTTTGAGATAGCTAAGGTAGCGGCTGATACATTTGAGTCTGTACTTACGCTTCCAACTACTACTATCTCTACTTATGTATATGGCGAAACTTTCTTCCCAGTCGTAAAAGGAAATTATATGCAACAGTCTGTTGGTGAAAACTGTGGCATATCCAGGACATACATACTTAAAAAAACCGAACTCTCCCAGCGGGAGTTGAGTTATGCATATATGTGTGTGTACAAATTGTAACAAACAAGGAACAAGTTAGGTTAAGTAGAGGAGCGAAGTGATGTTATGGAATCTGTGTGCCTGACTGAGTGCCTGTGTAAAGAAGAGTCTTGATTAGGAGCACCATTTGCCTGCCTGTATCTCCCTCCCTGTGATACTGTGAGATGATGCCACGCGGGAACGTTCAACCTCTTGGAATTTTACGCGATGCCGTGTATTTCACTGGAGAGAGAGAAGGGGGGATTACGGTAACTTACCAACCAACTTCACTTCTGTCTGCACCTTCGCCTTCGCCTTCGCCTTCGCCTTCAAAGAAAGCTGCCGCGGGAAATTTCCATGCAACACCACTGCGGAACAACTCGGAGGTTAAAGCATCCGGTCCATCATGGGGACAAGAACACGATGGATGTTTGTCAGGATATCATTTCCGCTCCGGTGATGGCCGGGAGGTCATACAAAATGCCATCGATTTTGCACATACCAACATCCGCTATTGCCACAAAACTTCTCTACACTACGTGCTGTACTGTCTTTCTCTCGCTACTCCAACATCATATGTTGCCGGACTCCTCCAAAAGCGGCTGTTATTTCGACAGGAAAACTTCAACTGACGAACAAGAAAAGATATTTTTTGGTTGGGGGCTTATCAAGCCATCCGACATGATGCCACCCAGTACAAGCAAAGAACTCCGAACGACCTCCTCCGTAATTATCCATCTATCTGGAATTTTTGTTTGTGTGCAAGCATGAGTAGACAAAAACCTTTTGCCCCAACGTCTATCATACCATATAAAAAATCATCATCGTCCAAGACACTTGTACTCATACTCTCTTATGATGCGCATTGTGATGCAAATTCTCGAGCGCAAAGAACCACCGTTTACGCAAGGCAAATATCAAACCGTTGTCGTTTTAGTTACGAGTGTTCCGTACATTCAGGGATGCATACGCATTCCGTGAAATGACAATCGCCTACTAGGCGTTGGCAATGTTGTGGATGCTATTACAGCTTCTGTCAGCCGAGAGCGCCATCGTAAAACTTGACGGCAAAAACATACCTGATATCCTGCCTGTTCTCAGGGTTCTCTCTGAGCGCGGGGGGCTCGGGGGTAGAAGAAACCTTAGAATATGTTAGTGACAACCTCAACTGGGAGCTCTGTGATTGTGTACGACTTACGTTGACCGGGCCGCTGTTGGCGACCAGGACCTTGTTGGTGCCGTTCACGACGGTGGCCTTCCGCTTCGTGCCACGGCTCTCGTTCAGGTGGTCGAAGTAACCCTCAGGAATGTCGGTCTGGTAGTTGCCGCAGAACACACCCACTTCGAAGTCGGTGATCTTCTGGTGATCGGGAGAGGCCTCGGTACACGCCGCCTTAAGGTCGGCGAGGTCCTGGTAAATAACATCATCGGCATTGATGTGCTTGGCGATATCGCTTCTTGTCTTCTCGTGGGCGATAAGCTCCTGCGGCGAAGCGAGATCGATACCGTACTGGAAACATGTTAGTGTTGACGATCGTTTTGCAAGTGGAGATGCAGACATACAATGTGAGGGTAGATGATGGGAGGAGCACAGCTGGCAAAGATGACCTTGCGGGCACCGGCCTCGCGAGCCATGCTCACAATCTCCCTGCTGGTAGTGCCACGGACAATGGAGTCATCCACGAGCAGGACGACACGGTCCTTGAACTCGGACTCCATGGCGCTGAGCTTTCTCCGGACGCTCTTTTGCCTGGCCTTCTGACCGGGCAAGATGAAGGTGCGGTAGACGTAACGGTTCTTGACGAAACCATTAGAGAAGGGTTTCCGCAGCTGCTCTGATACCACGGCAGCGGCAGTATTACTGGTCTCCGGGATAGGAATGACCACATCGATCTCCTTGACACCCTCGTCTCCGAGAATCTCCTTGATCTTGCTGGCAAGCTTCTCGCCCATGTTCTGTCTGCTGCGGTGCACAGAGATTCCATCCATGATGGTATCCGGGCGGGCGAAGTAAACATACTCGAAGATATCGGGGGCATAAGCCTTCTGCTCAACAACCTGGTGGAACTGAGGCTGCCCGTTCTTCTGGATGAACACAGCTTGTCCCGGGAGGATATCCTGGAAGTTGCCGAAGCCCAGCTGACGGAGAGCAATGCTCTCGGAAGCGAACATGTAGTCGATACCGCCTTCGAGGGTGGTGGAGGGACGGGATCCCATAATAAGGGGGCGGATACCATATTGGTCACGGAAGGCGAAGATACCGAAGCCAGCAATCATGGCAGTGGCGGCCCAGCCACCTTGGCACCTCTCGTACGTCTTCTTGAGGGCACTGAAGATGTCGTCGGTGTTGACACGGGCCTTGCCGGTCTCGTTGAGAGCGTTGGCAAAGACGTTGAGCATCAGCTCGCTGTCCGAGTCGGTGTTCACATGACGATGGGCCTCTTGGTCGAGATAGCTGCGCAGGGCGGGAGCGTTGATGAGGTTGCCGTTGTGCGCGAAGCAGATGCCGTAGGGCGAGTTGACGTAGAAAGGCTGACTTTCGGCGCTCTATGGGTGACTCGTTAGCTAACCATGAACCAGAAAACATATGGACGAAGGATGGATGTTGAAGAGATGCAGGGTCTCTGATGATATCACACTTGCAGACTGAATGGGCGGAATGCATGGAAATAGCTCGGCCTTTGGGACCAAAGCGCTGGGTCGGAGATGAGAGGGGACAGATACATACAGAGCTCGTTCCGGCAGTCGGGTAACGAAGATGGGCGATGCCCATGTAGCCGGGAAGGTCTACCGTGCGCTTGCCGTCGTCAAAGACCTTGGAGGCCATGCCGTTGCCCTTGCACTGGAAGATTCTACCTCCAGAGCCACAGGTCGCGATACCACAGGCATCTTGACCACGGTGTTGCAGATAGTACAAGCTTTCGTGCAAGTCGGCAGCGGCGTCCGATGCATCGGTATCCGCGAGGATAAGGGCGAGAATACCGCACATTGTGCTGGATCGAATGGGACAAACAATACGTCAAAAGGCTGTATAATCGGCTCGACGGTCGGATGAAGGGATACGATGAAGTCAGACCGTGGGGGAAGTCGAAGCTGGCCGGATGATGAAACTGGACCGCGAGGGTATGACTCGAAAGTGGATATCGATTAGGACCTGACCCGTGGTCCTTCCGTTGTTGACAAAGTATCGGGGTGGGCGCCGAAAGATGAGATGGGACTGCTCGGAGCAGAAAAAAAAAAAAGACGAGACTATTTCGTTATCGATGAATCGCCGAAGTCGCTTATCGGTTTCGTTTCGGGGTTCTTCGTCTGGTACGTAGACTACCAGCTGGGGGCGTGAGTGATAGGCGATGGTCTAAAACTGCAAACTTGCGATCACCACAGAAGATCCGCATGAGACCAAGGGTGGCAAGCGGAGTTGGAGGCAGAACAAGAGGACAGAGGGGAGTCGTCTGGAGACGTCGGATCCATCATCTCTGGGGTTGGAGGTTGAAGATGCTGGGAAATGCCGGCCACTGCAGAGCAAGTCCAGACACGGAATTCCATGCAAATGTCGCCAAGGAGGGGCACCGCGGCCAGCCGGGGCACGAGGGGGAAGAAAAAGTTTTAGTGGAGTCGTACTGGCCCGCCTCGACTAAAATGCGGGGCAAATCCACACGGATTTTCTTATCGATCCTCCAACGGTCCTTATCCATTGGTCAATGCCAGGTGTGCGGGAGTGCGGTTATCCAGGCGCCACTTCTTCCCCTGGCGCCACTTCTTCCCCTGGCGCCTTTAGCTTCCGCACTGGACGCCGATACTCGGCCTAGCCCTATTCGTGATGCTCGCTTCATGATCCCGTCATTCCTGGGTGATGTTGATTTGACCTTGAAGCCTAAGCTTGGCTGTTGATGGTTTGGATCCTCAAAGCCAAAGACCAACAGCCGAAGCGCCATGTCCTGGGACTCGAGCCTTGTGCTACCGATGATTCTGAATACGCATCTGGATCTCATCACGGGATGGCTGATGGTCTGCTGTGGCATGTGCTACATACCACGGCTTGCAGAGCCGGGACACCAAAGATGGGGAAGTGCGCTGCTGATGATATACTTGTAGCTCGAACTGTGGAATATCAAGCTAGTGATATACTTGACGTTGCAACCGGTTGTGAGTTCCGAATGAAGGAACACAAACAGTCAAATGACAACAACAGAGCGGAATTGCTGCGGGTGCCACTTCCACGTGAACTGGACAAGTCAAGTTTGACAACATCCAAAGGTCAAGTGTCGTGTGGAGGTTCTGGAGGTTTTGAGGGGTAAGCTTTTGACAAGGTTGAACCTATATCATGTCATCATTGCTCGAGTTCATGGCAAAATGCCGTCTAGAACCTGTTACCCAGATTCAACTAGTGAAGGAAGAACAGGCCACGTGAAAGAGAGTCGTGGAGATACCGAGTTCAAAAAAATCGTGTCCAGGCAAGCGGGCTCAAAGACTGAAACCAGAACATGATGAGAAAGAGGAAGAGGAATAAAAAGGTTTGGTTGAGCAAGCAGGAAAAAAAGAAGGATGTCAGGTGTTGCAAAAGGAAAAAAAAAGCAAAAAATTAAAGTCGACCATCCTGGGACTCGAACCCAGAGCCTTTACCACCGGAAAGTAACGCGCTACCGTTGCGCCAAACGGCCATTGTTGAATAATCCCTACAAACCCACCACCTATAAGCCCAACCCTACTGTGCCCCACGAGCAATGCCAGTGTGGTAGCAGCAGAACATTCCCGTCCCATTCCCGTCCCACACGCACAACCAACCAACAACATTCCAGAACCAACCTCAACCTTCATCACACCCAAACCTCCTACCTACACAGCCACCACCACTACAACCAACTGAATCCTTCCCACTCTCGCGCATGGAGATCATCAACAACGGAAAACAGCCCAACGAAACAGGCGTACCCAGACGTGCCAGAGTGCCAGGTTCTGAAGAAGCCTCACTTCGCCCAAGACGTCAGGCTCGTCAGCATTCCGTGCCCCGTTGGCGCTTTGCGCCCGTCAGATTCGGCTAGGCTCACAGCCTGCGCTGCCTGCCTATGAGTACATAGGTAGGTCATCGATTTGACAATTTGACAACCAGACAGAGAGACGGGGACTTGAGGCATAGTCAGATTGTGTTTTGAACTTTATTTCTCGAGCTGGTCCTGTTGATTTGCTGGTGATGGTGTTAACCGAGGAGAATGGAATGTTTGAGGTGCTGGTTGTTACCTGATGAAGGAAACTGGATGGTGAAGCTTATCACAGTGAGCTGCCGGCCGGCTTGACGCTTTTATATGGTTTTGACTCTCGAGACATTTTATTCACAGCGGATCATGTTGGACTTCTTCCTCATCACCAAAGGTCAAGTAGTTCAAACTTCGAAGCCAAAATCACAACCTGAACTCGGACTATCAAATCGCAATGTTCCTGAAACGGTGAAACCAATCCTCCGTCCGGACGCACTATCCGTCCGAGCAAGAGGCTTGTACCTTTGTCACTGCGCAAAGTACACTTAATGAGTAGGGGGTTGAGGAAAGGTCCCACCACAACCCCCAAGTACATCTCGATCTTTGATAGCACAGCAATTGTCTTTCCATATTCGAGTATGTACCATACGAATCGGAGGATTGATTCCTCCATCAACCGCCAGCCACGTTGCTTTCGCGTCGATCACTCACACTGCCCCCAGAAGCTGACAGGTCGGGTCGGCGGTCGGGAGCGGCGCGGCGCCTTGCAGAAGGAACGCCTTGCAGAAGGAATGGGATAGAAGTTGGCCGGTCTCGTTTTCTTACCCTATCCATTCCTCCTTAACAATCTTTGCAAGTCCTTCCACCCCTGTCTCGTATCTCTCGATTCTTATTGGACATCATCGACTCCATCCGGCAAGTTTCATCCGGGGCCCGTCCGTTTTCCTCCCGTTCACGTTCGGTGTGTCGGGCGAAGCTGGCTCTCTTGCAAAGTGCTTCCGCTTGCAAAGCCATGGCATGCGTCTCTTACAAAAAACAAAGTTCTGAGAGGGATACTGTATGTACTGTATACAGTAAAGAAAAGGTTGGTACCGTCCAGACCAGGGGGTCCCATATACAACTAACTTCTTATCTTGTCACTTGTCAAGCGCAAAGAGACCGAGCACTGGAGACGGGAGTCCGAAACAGAGATGGATGGATGGATGGATGGATGGGAGCAAGGGCATCTGAGCCTCAGTAAGTGTACGCGTATGTGATATCTCGTGGAGAAAAGCCTTTCTTGGCTTCTGGAGAGAGAAAGTCTTATAGGAACGCCGTCGGCCGCCATTGCCATTCGGGGTCCTGTAATCAAAAAAGCAGAAGCAAAGTTTAAATTTTATTCTCACCAGTCTCACCCAGGTTTCCCGGATATCTCGGGATCGGCCTATCCACAATTTTTCAGTTTCTTTCTTCGACGGCAAGCACACCGAATTCCAACTTGCAAAATCGTTATTCTGTTTGTTTTGACGCTTCACTTTTTTACCATCTTATCTTTTCTCTACCCTCAAAAAGAGGACGCGCGGACAAAGCAGGTCCTTTATCCACACTTACCTGCATAACTTCAACCCACTTCTATCCGTGCGCACCGCCGTCCTCCGACAAGGGAAGATCCCGGAAATAAGAGAAGCATGTCCTCCAACAACACATCCGGGTCCGACATCCCGGATGGCGTCACTCCGGATATGTGGACTGCGTGGATGGACCTCCGCAAAGAATGTTATCCGGACCTGATCGATGGTGTTGACCCCAGTTACGGGTACCGGCCAACGCTGGGAGCCGGCATTGCCTTTGACGTCCTCTTTGGCATCTGTATCATCGGTCATCTCATTCAGCTGATTAGGTTTCGGCGGTGGACTTCGGGGTTGATGCTGGCTGGAGCTATTAGTGCGTATACCTCTATCTCTTCCCTTCTTTTCTTTGTGGTGTTGCTGTCGTCAATCATCACGTCATGTCAACTGGGCTGTCAAGTGTCAATGCCATCGCGGTAGATCATGTTCCACCGGTCCCTGCATATCATCCACTACCCCTCAAGTCCCCGACTGTCAACCAATAACTTAGCTACACTCGGACAAAGACCCCAAAACTAACACTCCTTCTCTCAAACAGCCGAAGCAATAGGCTGGGCAGGCCGCACCTGGTCCTCCAAGTGTCCCTACAACAACGACGCCTTCCTCATGCAAATCACCACCCTCATCATCGCGCCGACCTTCTTCGCCGCGGCCCTCTACGTCCTGCTGGCCACGCTCATCCGGCTTTTGGGACACCAGACCAGCATCCTCTCGGCCAAATGGTACGCCATCGTCTTCTGCACGTGCGACGTCATCTCGCTCGTCATCCAGGCCGTCGGCGGCGGCATGGCGTCCAGCGAGTCCAACAAGGAAGGAGGCCACACCAAGCCGGGGACGCACACCATGGTGGCGGGAATCGTGTTCCAGCTGTTCACCATGACCGTGTTCGCCGTGCTGGTGCTGGATTTCCTGAGGAGGGTGTATAAGCTGGCCAAGGGGCGGAGGGATGGACAGGGGGGACTGACGAGGAATATGAAGCTGACGTTGCTGGCGCTGTTTGTGTCGTTCGTCATGATTTATACCAGGAGCGTGTACCGGACGATCGAGCTGGCCCAGGGGTGGCATGGGCATCTGATTACCCACGAGGGATACTTTATCGGGCTGGATGCCTCGTTGATGGTCATCTCGGCGGGTATCTTTTTGGTGTTTGACCCGGCGGTGTTGTTGAGGGATGAGATGAAGAAGGTTAATGTGAGCGGAAAGGAGGAGCAGGACACGACCACGGGGAATGACTCGGAAGCGCAGACTGGAGTGAGGGACATAAGAGGGGATTGAGAGTTTCTCGAATAATGAAAACTGGAGGAAGTCGGGAGAGAGGGATATCGAACGTTGGCGAGCGCACAACCGCATCAACTGCTTTCTTGTTTTTCAGGATACCAACATACATCTACGGCGTACATGTCAGTAATGAGATAATAGAGAGAATCTTCTTACCCATCTGCCCACTTCAGTTGGTTCTTGCACAGGTAGATGGCTGGATGGGGTGATGGGCTCCTGTCATTTTGTGGCTGTGAAGACACTCGCATCTTGCGGTCGCGAGGAGCATTTCGTTGCAATCTCTTTTTTCCGAAGGCATCAGGCAACAGAATCCGAGAATGCTTCCATGTAGGGAGTCGGGCGTACATGCTTGTACTTCAAAGGGCATCGCCACGATCTTGAAACGTTTTCTGCGTTCGACGCACGTCTCACGAGTGCATACGGCAAAAAGAACAGGCAGTGGAAGATCACGAGATTGGATTGACAACTGGACTCGATCGCGCTTCAGCTTCCGGATCGTCGGGCCCGACGGAAATCCGATATATGTTTGCGAAGTCACGAAAGAACGATCGTGAACGATGCGCAAGCAAGGAAGAATTGGGAAAGAGGGAAAGAACAAGGTGACGTTGTGAGTTAAAGTGGAAATCGCGAGGAAGTGAGAGGAGGCGTGCGGGGAAGGAATTCGTCCCTCCTGAACGCGCCTTCACTGTTGAAGGTTGGTTGGCTCTGCTAAGAAATACACAGGAATAGGTGCAGAACACTAACCCTCTCTAGCAAGCGCTAGCGGGCCTATACAAACTGAAAGCCTGGGGCGAACACCTCGAAATCTTATCGTGACTCCTTGGCTGGATTCTCCCAACAACCTCATTTTTCGACGAACTCGACCTGATTGCACACAGAGTGCGCCAGAGCTAGCATCGCGACCCCTTCTCAAAAGATTGATACCGCACATATTGCGCTCCAACAAATCGAAAGTCCTGACATCCCGTGCCAAAGAAGTCCCTCCAAAGAGCTTGGCTCATGTCCCCAATGACCCGTCTATTGACTAGCACCGATGACCCGGCAGCTCAGTTGTCAAGGCTTCTGGACAAGTTCCTCAGCCTTTTATCCTCTCGCCATCGCCAAACACGATTCTGGCCCGAGAGAGAGGCCGCCGGTTCTCTTTTTTGTGACTAGCAGTCTCTTCTTGTGCCTGTGCTCAAGATTTGACTCCAAACCCATAAGAGTGTTCAACCCGGGAAGCACTACTCTCATACTCCTTTAATTATTTCTACTCTAGGGGAAACACAGGGGCCCGGGTCACTAGGCTTCCTCGAAGCCAACCGTGTTTTCCAAAATTCCCTTATCCCCCGATGGCTCCCCGTCCCACCTGAAGAGATCGACTTGGTAGCTCAATTTTCTCCAGATCCTAGTGAGCAGAGCTAAGAACAGACATTCCCCAGAAGAATGCAAACGATCGAGTGAGCTTCGACTGCTTTGCTTTGCTGTTCTGCAACCATGTTGTGTCTTGTGCCTGCATCGCCGGGCTATGTTACCAGGTGGTCCGGCGACGACAGATCAATATGGGACATTTCTCATGAGAGAGCTTTACAAGTTCAAGCATAACCGGTTTCATCCCCATTGCTACTCAAGTGTACTTCCGAAATCCCTTCTGTTCTCCTTTACCGATCTCTTCCATGTCTCGGTTTCCTCGCTTTCCCATTTCAAGATCATTTCTTGCTGATATCACAGCTCCTTTTTACCGGCTGATTAAACGCGGGTTTCCACTCGCATGATCACAAGCTTATTGGCCTTCATCTAGAGTTCTTCTGCTCAGATAATACCATTGCTTCTGAACCCAGATTGTGAGGGCCACTCTGTGGGTCTGACTCTCCGCTCTTCATGATCCGGACATCCAAACCGTCATCCGGACTTCCATCTACAGCAAAGGAGAAACCTCTCCTCCCTTTCACAGTTCGCAAGAAGCAGAGGATTCAAGTGCGGACAATCGTTAGTCACTGCTTATACCGAAGGGTGATACTATGGACTGTCGCAATATTTACCCTCTCAGCAATAACCCTCTCGAAGAGAGGTGTCTCCATAACCAATGGCGAAGCCCCCAATATCAAAGCCCATGACCAAACCCGGGTAGAGACACAAACACAAGCCCAGGTCGATGAGGCGGAGAACGCAGCTACATTCATGTTCTTGCTGGCAGACGCGTATGAGAAGAGCAAGATGAAAGAGCAAGCAAAGTCGCCTCAATGGTTGCGCTTCAAACGGTAAGTGAGAACACCAGGCATTTCTCCTTAACTTCGAATCAATTTCTAACTTATTCAGCGTTAATGGCTTCTTCAATGGGTTAAAAACACTAGTACCTGTTAAAGACCATAAGCCACAATACCCATGGAAGGATGACCTGCAGGACACTCCATCTCTTACGATCATCTTCTCAAGAACACCCACTCCTATGCCGTATGTCCCGCAACCAGAATACAAGTCATCCCAGTACGTGAGCAAGTATCACGAGGTCAAGCCATGCTACCTCGACAAGAAGGAAACAATACTTGTCCCCAATGTCCTCGCGTACAACGGTCTTCCACAGGGGCTACCGGAGCCTGTCATCGGTTCACACAAGCTCTTTGGCTTAAGGGACGATGTTTGTTTCGATAGATTCGGCAGATATGGGCCATATGGTCTCGGCTACAGCTATGACGATGGCGGCCTCGATGTGGGAATGGATACCGAGAAAAACGGAAGCGAAATCGTGTGGGCCAAGACGGGCAAGATTGACTACAGCAACGTCGACTGGGGTGACACTCAGAGCCGATGTGTTGAAGCCAACAAGGAGCGGTTTCATGAACCTCCCAACATCACAGCAACTGCTCCTACAGAAGGGATCGAAAAGGACCAGAAACAGGTTTTCCAGCAACATACGCGCAAAAAGATTGCCCGCACGGCGATTGTGGTGCGGTTGTATGTCGGCTTTGAATGGACGGAACACGCAGTCCTCAACTTCCGTGCAATGATTTCCGAAGTTTCGCTACAATCAGGAGGCGAGTACGCGGTGCACTTCCTCCTTCATGTCCGGGACAATGACGAGCCCATCTGGGCAGATCCAAAGGCTGTCCAAAAGGTGTTGGATGACAACGTGCCCCCGGAATTCCACAGTCTCTGTACGCTGTGGTCAGAAGACCAGATGCGTGTCTACTATCCCGGTCGTTTCGCCCGGTCGTTCACCAACCCAAGCTTCAGCGACATCCACGGCGTCTACCGCAGTGCTCATTTCCCGCTCCAGCACTTCGCCCAGGCACACCCAGAGTACGACCACTTCTGGAACTGGGAGATGGACATGCGGTGGATAGGCAACTACTACGAGCTCTTTGACCGTCTCGGCACTTGGGCCAAGAAGCAGTCCCGTCATGAGATGTGGGAGCGTTCGGAGCGGTATTACATCCCGCACTATCATGGCAGCTGGGACAACTTCACCCAACTTGTTCACAACCAGACTGTTGCCAGTGGCCGTCGCCCAATCATAGGTCCCGTCCACTATCCCGGACACTTGAGCCTCCGATCCGAGAAGCGTGGCGTATCCTTCCTTCCCCCAACCTGTCCCAAGGACGCTGTCACATTCGTAAACCCACGTCCATATCCAAATCGGCCACCACAAGCACAAGCCCATCCACATCGTCACCACCATCACCACCCGCCTCGAGCCGGCTCCCCCGACGACGACCTCGAAGCCACCACCACCACCACATCACCCACACCCGAAGACCTCACCTCCTGCGGCATCGACGAAGACGCCGACCTCATAAACCTCAACCCCATCTTCGACGCCGACTCCTCCGGCTGGAACTTCCACCTCGACATCACGGGGTACGACCGCTCTCACCCTCCCCCGCCCCGGCGCGCCTCCATCATCACCGCCTCCCGCCTTTCCCGCCGTTTGTTAAACGTAATGCACGAAGAAACCTACCGCTTCCACCACGCCATGTTCACCGAAATGTTCCCCGCCACCATGGCCCTTCACCACGGTCTCAAAGCCGTCTACGCCCCTCACCCAGTCTACCTCGACCGACAATGGGACCTGGAGACCATCGAAAAAACTTTCAACGGCGGAAGAGACCACACCACCAGCGGCAAAGGAAGTCCGTATCAGTACCAGAATGAGTACCATCATAAGGGAAGCACGTGGTATTATGATGCGCAGTTTGCGGGAACCCTTTGGAGGAGGTGGTTGGGATATGCGCAGGTGGAGGGGCCTGCGGGAGGGGAGAAGGGGGAGAAGGCGACGGAGAGTAAGGAGACGGGCGGGAGGCTGAGGGGTGGCAGGAAGGAGGAGGAGGAGGGGACGGGGAGGATGTGTTTGAGGAGTATGTTGGTGCATCCGATTAAGTGGGAGGATCCGGGGGAGTTGGCTTGGGCGTAGTGAAGTGTTTCGGAGGAATGCAAGATGGCGTCTGTTGGAGCGATGGTTGGATAGTGGGGTTGGGTTGGGTGTAGAAGGGGCTCTTGAAGGATCGCTCCGGGATGCTCGGTACCGGTGGTCTGGTTGTTGGGATCAGGTAGAGAGGAAAAGTGATTAGGCCTCTTGGGTCTAGACTCCTAACTGAAGTGTACGAGGTAAGCATTTGGTTGTCGATGATACGTAGTGTATACTATGTACTCTACGACTGTCATTCCTTTAGGTTGGTAGCATTCAGGCGGCAATGTTTGGTTTCAGCTTTGTTGCAATGCATACACAGAAGCATAGGTATCTAACAGCAGCTGCAATGGCTGTACGCGGAAAATGTTAGGTCGAAATAGCCATGGTGATTCATGATGAAGGCTGTTTCGAAGTTGATGTGTGACCGAACTGTAATGCGTAATTCTGTTGTGTATCGGAGTCAGTAATCCATTCACGGAACACGAACGGATCCGGTTACCGGAGGTGTCGTCGGGCGTTGAACCCGAACTCGGAACTATCACTTGGGATTAGCCTCACGAGGTGTGTGTGTGAAGGTGTGTGTGAATGGTGTGTGTGTGAATAGGTAGTGTGTGTCACCCCACGCCAATGCGCCTCATGGTCGCATAACAGCTTTTTTTTTGTCTCGCTTGTTGCCGCATGGAGGATGGGCACGGGACCTGAAGATATTTTCATTGTCCTTCCTTCGCCATTTTAATACCCGTTTAGTTTGGGGATGCGATGGGTTGCGATTGTTTACCTGTTTTGGGTTGGGAAGGGTTGGGATGAGTTGGTGGAAATGTCTACAGAAAAGTATCGAGTTCAGTAGACAAGGAAACCCTTCGAGTAGCTTTTTATGTACAACCTTGGCTATGTCGCTTGGGATCAAGACCTCAAGTGCTTGGCATTCGCAATGTCCTCACCACTCATTTACAGTATACATACCTCGACGAACTGTTGCCATTGTAGTTGCCCGGAAGACAGCCCGTCGGTTACCGTACACATTAAAGAAAGGAGAATGATCTTCCCGAGGTCGTCGTCGACCCGTCGTCGTCCCTCCATTGGCGCCCGAATGCTACTGTATCACAAGAAACTAACTTCAGAAGGGTGTATCGGCTATCGCTCAGCTATCTCTTTAACCGTGTTTTGCGCCATTCTTTTCCCGACAGGGGTCTGTAGCCAATGGCGTTTCGCAAACACCAAAATGCAACCCTTTGGCTACTTCAGGCTACTTTCTGAGTATCTTAGCAGGACGCTATAAGTCCTCTGACAGAGCCACTAGCTGCTTAGGAGCTGGGTACTCTGAAGTTTTTATGGGCCGGGAAAAAAATGGCGCAAAACACGGTTAAAGAGATCGGCCTGCAGATAGGAACGTCGTCATAGTGGAACCCTTTTTTTCGTCTTAGGACCAGTTAAGCTTTTGTCGCGAATCCGCTGGCATGTCCGCTCCATCATCGATTCCATCGCCGTCTTGGCGAATTGGCGACGAGGTTTGGTTTACAGAACCCACCGCGATTCGGTCCGGGTCTTGTGGTCATCCACTGTTAACTCGTAGTGTAGGAAGTTATTGTGAGTGTGACGACATTTCCATGTTGTTTCGGATGTGAACGGATTTTGAGAAAAGAGCTTGGGTGGGGGTTCGCGGTTGTTGCTCGTTGCTCGTTGATGAGATCCAACTAGAAAATAGTAAGTAGTGTAGGAGCTGCCCTTTGTCGAAGTGCGGAACTGAAGAATGTCCAGTTTGTATCCCTCCGTCAGTGTCAGCACTCACAGACCTAGACGAGATACGTACTTTGCAGAGGAGGGTGAGAGGCTTGAGCACAACGGTTTGCCCGTTGGCCAATTGCTTCACGCGGAGATTCTGGATTGACGAATGGCGACGGCTGGAGATAAAAATCTTGAACACCATCAGGAGTGGTCACAGAAGCTCACAGGCCTTCGCACAGAACCCCCAAATGATGTTTTGCCACGGCAATCCTTCAAGGGTCCCCACCATCGCCGGCCGATCTAATTGGAACTGCCGAGCAGGGACTTTCACTTTTGTGTTGTTGCACATCTTGGACGAATGAACCTCAAAGACATTCCTGCAAAATGAAGAAGAACGTTTGGAGCATCCTTCAAAAGGGTCAGCCGTCTGAGCTTCATAACGTCGTTCATCTATTGTTATTTGTTTTCCCCAAAACCTATAAGAGCAGAGGAAATTATAACCAATCATAAACAGCTGGACCCTGAAGAAGATTGCATCGGGTGACCTACCCGTACGTGTGAGGCTGGCTTTTGTAAGGGAAGGCTGGCCAGACTACACCCACTCTCTTGCAGAGAGTGGGCCACTAAATTCTGGAACACCACTTTAATATGGGACAGTTCAAATTGTATGGGAATCAAGAAGGAAAAGCAGTAGTACTACGACAATAAGGATCTGGAAGATGTAATTTAAATGAGAGTTTCTAGGAAGTATAAGAGATATTTTGGGAACTTTTTGAGAAGATCCGATACCCAGGGGTAATGTTGTTTATAAAAAGGACGGAAACTTCACCAAAAGGACGGAAGCTTCACCAAATCTGATATATCGTCTAACACCAGAATGCTAAGGAAAAGTTTAGGATTTCGATGTTATACCAGTTCCTTTACTTCGGAAAAATCTCTCAAAATTCTATTATCTTCATTGAACTTCCTCGAAGCTCTCATTCAAATTGTATCTTTCAGATCCTTATTATCGTAGTACTACAGCTTTTTTTACTTAATTTCCATACATTTTTAGTACTGTTCCCATCCCTTTAATGGTGCAAATTCAACATTTTAGCGTGGACCCATAGTATACCAGTAGTACTTGGTAACCTTTAATGGAATTGCCAAGTATACTAGCTAGCGAGTCTATACAAGCGATTAACGATGTTAAATGTATCCTTTTTGCTAGTAAAATCAGCGATTCTACATCGCCTATTAAGATATCAAGACAGACTTACCAGATCATACTATCGTTGATAAAATATTACCAAATTGTTTATTGTTATTATTATTAAAATAGATATTTTAGCGATATTGAATTCGTCCATCCAAAAGGCCCCGCCGCCACACGACCTGTTTATATATACGTACAAGGAGGGGGACATTATTCTTAAATTGCTAGTAGGGTATAACCCTATAGATTATTTGCCTACCCGTTAATTCTTTCTCCTTAGCGAACTAGAGTTAAATATTGATGACAATAAGGGTAACGTTATACCCGACTCCAAAAACGAACGCGAACACGATAACAAGGACCGCGATAAAGGCGACTCTAAGCTATTAAGTAATAAAGTCCATGTTAACGTGTGGCTAGTACTGTGCCTTGTAACTGCCTTGTACTACCTTGTAGTATAGAAGGCTAGTTGAACTATTCCTTCTACGGAATCAGTTGACTCAGTCCCCACAGAATGTACTAGAATACAAGAGGTTTTGCCACTGTATTCTAGAGTCTTATAACTTAGCTAGCATTTCTTCCAGACTGATTTGTCATCACAGGATTCAACAGAAGCTTCTAGATGCTTAGTGTCCATGTATATAGAGACCTCTCCTCTCCTTCAGTTCGTCACTCCTTAAGCAAGCAAGCAAGCACAAGTCAAGCAATACAATATAGTCTTTTCTCACAGTGCAGAGTCCACTGTAATCTTCTGTCTTGAGAGCAGAGTCCTCTCTAAGACCTCTTTTACAACATCCTTTTATTGTACTTGCAACTACGCTGCTTCCTTCAGCATTGCTGTCGTACTTCCTACCGCTTCCGCTCCGCTCTGCTACAAGTGCATAGTTCACTGTAGCAACCTTGTACTGGTGCTATCATTATAGGCCAGTCAGGGCACCGCAGGAAACAGTCCAGAAATTTCTAAAGCCGGGCTATCGAAGCTATTAATATATTTATAAATTAATAGCGGACCTCCCTAATAATATACCTTTAAATATTAACGTCGACGTACTGTATAAACTTGAGGATCTTCAGTATAACTTTATCGACCTTTAATACTTCCCCTTCGAATTAATCTGTAGTGACGGCAGTACATTTACGTATTAAATTACCCATCCCCCTACCATTATTATTATTTCATTAGCGTTTTAATAATACTTTCCCCTTTATTTAGTAGAATAATAAATAATATAAATTAACCTTCGTTAAATTTTATTACCGAGCGAGGATAACCCTTACTCCTATAATAAACGTTAGTAACTAACGTATATTACTAAACTATACATAATATTCGCTATCTTCTTATATATTAGCCTCTACGTAGAAGCGAACCTTTTATTGTATTAGTAAGAGAAAGAGGAGCGCTCGAATTACCTAGTCTGTAACTAGATGCTTTTCTTTCGGTTCGAGATGTTTCTAAAATGGTTTTGTATATAGGATCTAATTTAAAACGATTTTAATTTGTAAGACAAGGTATGCGCCTTCGATAAATACGTTTAGAAAGTCTACCTTAAATTACAGACCCCGCCGTAGTACGTTATTATCGATAAAAAGATAGTAAAATATACTAATAGAAGTAAAGTAACGGTTTATATCCTTAATAAACCAATACTACGGGGTATTAAATATTAGGTCACTATGTCTAGTAGTTATTTCTTTAATTAGAGGTAGTATAATAACGCGCTTAGTATTATCGATTCGAAATCTTACGTATATCCCCTTTTAAACCTTAGTTAATTATTAGTTAATATATTTAAAATTAGGGTAATTTCGCGCCAACTTAAAGAGTGCTCGTTAAATTTACGATTGGCTTACCCCCCCTACTACGCAAATCGGTTTATTACGTTTTTATTAACAACCTTTTTATTACCGTCCTTTTTGCTCATTACTTTCGTATTAAGAATATTACAATTACCGATACAATACGCTCTAATCGAACGGTACTGTAGTTTGCCAAATTTTGAAACGAGGATAATAAGAAAGAGAAAGTACCTTTTAGGGTACTATATCGAACCGTTTTAGATATTCCGGGCTTTAAACCTAAGAAAGGTGAAGCTTTACTGCTAAACTTAGACTAGGACACTAGGGCAGTCTTTATGTATGTGAAAGATCGCTAAATAGTAAACTTCTTATTTATATAGTATATAGGAGACGAATTGCGTAATTGTATATACCGTCGTTGACCGACGTGTAAGAGCGCTATAAGAGATTACTTTAGTAAAGCGGGCGCGAAAATAGTTTGGATACTACTAATTATTTAAGTATATAATTATTATATGAATTGGGTCGACGTTAGTAACTAAATATACGTATATAATACGTATAGTTATTATTACTGCCGCGGTCTATTTATAGTATTGTTTACTAATTTCTACTTTGGTATATTGCTTGTATTTGATTCCCTAGTTAAATGCTATATTAATGAGATGTTATCTTTATATAGAAGTTATCGCGGCCAACTTTTTATTTAATTAGAGGGAGAAGCCGTTTGGCGCCCCTTTTTATTGGAAGAATTAGACTATATATATAAACTTTCGAAGCTAGTTGATTAACGAGATCTAGGCCTTTTATAGTAAATTCGCTATCTATCACCGCGCTTTATTAAAACGATCCCTGATATTTAATACTAGGGAAATTATAGTAAAACGATATGAGAGAAGACGATTCTCAAAGCGAGCTACTTATACGATATACTTCTTTGTAAAGTATAGAGCTTCGATTTTTATTAAGACTAATAGTTCCCCTTCTTACGTAACGAAAAAGATTAGAACCTAGACGCTCCTGGGGTATATTATATACAACGTGGTGGTCTGTAAGCGAGAACGCTGCTGGGCAGCCCACATTTACTAGTTAGATTTAGGAATAGCTTTATCTTAGTTTGAAATATATTAGTTAATTCTGGTATGCCCGCTCTCTATATCTAGTGCAGTGACAAAAGTACTGTAAAAGCTGGTAAAATTGAGGTATCTGCATAGGCACAGATGTGACCCGCTAAGGGAGGGGGGCAGCCGATTGGCTCGAAATCCCTGCGGCGCTAAAATGTTGAATTTGCACCGTTAAAGGGATACAAGTTGCACTGTCCCATATTAAAGTGGTGTCCCAGAATTTAGTGGCCCACTCTCTGCAAGAGAGTGGGTGTAGTCTGGCCAGCCTCCCTTACTAAGCCAGCCTCACACGCACGGGTAGCTTGGGACTAAAAAAAGGTACCGGTACCTTCTTGCTATCATCCTGGCTGAGGTGTTGGTCGGGATACAAACTCCGTTATCACGTTCGCCATCTCAGCCCTTCACCTTCACATCGGTGTCGGCTATCGAAGGACAGGAACGGAAAAAAGGAAAAACTGAGGATGGGACTGGAACAGGTCATTTCCACAGACACTTCTTCTGGCCATGAATCGTTTCATTCCAGCTGCCTCCTCGTGCTGGGCTCAAGCCCCCCATCAACATCGATGTTTCCATCAATAATTCTGGAGAACCCGGTACCTTGCCCAAAAGTACCTGCCCACCCGTGCACATCCCGCTTTCCATCAAGGGTCGTCAGGGTTGTGTATGGACCCAGCGCCATAACCCTGGTCTCCCCCCACCGCATTATGGGTCCGCGTGACCGCATCGCTGGAGTGGGCGCCGTGGTTCCAATTTCCTCCCTGTCTGCCACTTCCCAACCCACTGTATCTGTCTTTCCCGTCCCGTCTTTTGCACTGAAAAGTGTGTGTCTCTGCACTGCAGAAGCACGACCCAAGACAAGCATCCGCTATCTGCTACTGCTACCCGACCCGCTTCAACCGCCGCCCGCCATCAATCCCGGAACCAGCCAGACACCCTCCATCTCAACCCGGACCCTTCCTACACCATTCACCTAATAAAGTGAGACAAGCCACCCCCATAATTCAATTTCCCCTTCACTCGTCCGTTGGCTTGATTCATCTTGCTTTCTTCTCTTGCCTATATATCATAACTCCCCCAGACTGATTCCCAAAAGAGAAAGCTATTTAGTTCTTCTTAGTTCTTAGACAGCACGGCAGCACCGGGAACCGCAACCCAAAACCGTCCCGCTTTTTCCTTCTTTGCTGCAGAGCTACCTTGGGCCGTACCTTAGCCTGACCCCAACACCTCCTGGAGACCTGACGTAGCGTCACTTCGTGGCCCGCCCTGTCCTGCCTGCTCTCCCCTCCTCCTTGCCAACCTCACCTAACAACAAATCGGCTCACCTAGAAAAAGGATTGGCTGCTCCCAAAGCCCAACTGATTCTATCAAGCACCTATCCAACTAACGACGACTTTGTCCGATTACAAAGCCCCATCCCTTTCTCTCTCTCCGAGCAAAGATATCCTCGACATCGAACCCGCCCGTCGTGACAGTTCTCCGCATCTCGAAACAAGCAAGAGTTATCAGGAGACAAACACCATGTCACCTACCCAGTCCCCTCAAGGCAAAGGCCGGGGTCGCAACCTGTCCATCACCGACTACAATGTCTATGATGATGCGAAGACATACTATACCACCGAGGACCGCCATCACAACCACCGCGCTGGAGCCAGAACTCGTACCTACTCTCAGGTAAGCACCCCCCAGCCAGATTGTCACGCTTGGCGAGCATCTACTGATCCCGCCACCTACAGAACAGCTTGTTCAAGCAGTTTGAACGTCTAGGCCTTCAGAAGGAGCCCTACCGCAGAGGCAGCCATGGTACGAAGATAATCACTTGCCAGCGAACGATTCCGTGCGAAACATACTGATAAGATGTATGACAGACGAGTCTACGATCCCCCACTCCCGCCGATTCCTTATCCAGGTCGAGCCCACACTACAAAGTCTGCAATCGCAGGAGGACACGGATGGCAACATGCAGATCACCATCGAGGACAACGGGCCAAAGGTACGGGGAACGCCACAAAGGGGTTAGAAGTCGCGGTTGGTATGACACAGCGCTAACATGGTGTAACCCCAGGTCCTGTCCCTCCGAACCGCTGCGTCCAACGGCTACAACCGATTCGACATCCGTGGCACTTACATGCTCTCTAACCTTCTTCAGGAGCTTTCCCTCGCCAAGGAATACGGTCGTAAGCAGATCATTCTCGATGAGGCCAGACTCAACGAGAACCCCGTGAACCGACTTTCGCGACTGATCAGAGACCATTTCTGGGAGGGTCTAACACGCCGCATTGATGCTTCCAGCATCGAAATTGCTGCGCGGGATCCAAAAGACTGGACCGACGATCCCCGACCCCGCATTTACATTCCCAGAGGAGCGCCTGAGCAGCATGCCTACTACACAAAGGTGGCCGAGGATAGGCCTGAGCTTCGCCTGGATGTTATATATCTTCCCGAGAAGATTACTCCTGAGATCGTTCGGGACATGAACGCCAAGCCTGGTTTGCTGGCCGTCGATATGGAGGAGATCGTGGATCCCGAGACCGGTGAGAAGACACTGCGCGGTCGCCCTTTCGTTGTGCCCGGAGGTCGCTTCAACGAGCTGTACGGATGGGACAGCTACATGGAGTCTCTCGGGTTGCTGGTCAACGACAAGGTTGATCTGGCCAAGTCCATGGTTCAAAACTTCTGCTTCTGCATCAAGCACTACGGAAAGATCCTCAACGCTACTCGTTCCTACTACCTTTGCCGATCGCAGCCCCCCTTCCTAACGGATATGGCTCTGCGCGTCTACGACAAGATCAAGCACGAACCGGGTGCGCTTGACTTCCTTCGCCAGTCTCTGTTGGCCGCGATCAAAGAATACTATAGTGTCTGGACAGCCGAACCTCGCCTTGACCCTGTTACTGGTCTTTCCAGGTACCGCCCTGAAGGCCTTGGCGTTCCTCCCGAGACTGAGGCTGGTCACTTCATCCATATTCTTGAGCCCTACGCCAAGAAGCACAACATGACCTTCGACGAGTTTGTACACGCTTACAACCACGGTGATATCAAGGAGCCCACGCTCGACGATTACTTCATGCACGACAGAGCTGTTCGTGAGTCCGGCCACGATACCACATACCGGTTCGAAGGTATCTGCGCCGATCTGGCCACCATCGACCTCAACTCGCTTCTCTTCAAGTACGAGACCGACATCGCGCGTACCATTCGCAACGTCTTCCACGACAAGTTTGAAGTGCCGGATGACTGGCTCGCTACCAACAACCCGGGTGCTAGCAAGCTCGAGACGTCGGCAATGTGGGATCGCCGTGCCAAGCGCAGAAAGTTGGCCATCGACAAGTACCTGTGGAACGAACAGGCGGGCATGTACTTTGATTACAACACCGCCAAGCGCGAGCAGTGCAACTACGAAAGTGCCACCACTTTCTGGGCCCTGTGGGCGGGTGTTAGCAACCCCAAGCAGGCAGCTGTCATGGTGACCAAGGCCCTGCCCAAGTTGGAGGCTTTCGGTGGTCTGCTTTCTGGAACGGAGGAGTCTCGTGGTGAGATTGGTCTAGAGCGCCCTAACCGTCAATGGGATTACCCTTACGGCTGGGCGCCACAGCAGATCCTTGCCTGGACTGGTCTATACCGGTACGGCTTCAACGAGGAAGCTGAGCGCCTGGCCTACAAGTGGCTGTTCATGATCACCAAGGCGTTTGTGGATTTCAACGGCGTGGTGGTTGAGAAGTACGATGTGACGAGGCCCATCGACCCACACAGAGTCGATGCCGAGTACGGCAACCAAGGGCTGGATTTCAAGGGAGTTGCCAAAGAAGGGTGAGTTTGTTCTATTGCTATGATTTTCGAGAGAAGCACAATCACTGACATGATGTACACAGTTTCGGATGGGTCAATGCCAGTTATATCTACGGCCTGCAGATCGTGAACGCGCATATGCGCCGGGCGCTCGGAACTCTCACTCCTTACGACACCTTTATGAAGGCCGTCGAGGACAATCGGAACAAGACGCTCTCGGAGCTCGTTTGATCTGGTTTCGGCTGCCCTATTTTTAACGGTTATCTTTCCATCGAAGCGTCTGTTAGCCTGCAGCCTTTTGGCTTTCGCAATTTCAATATTCGGCGTTTAGGTTTCATATGCACTACTGGCGCGGCTCTTTCCGTCATGTTACATAGTCAGATCGGTTCTCGACAAAGGGACGACGAACAGGAGGTAGATTACAAAAGATCACATCAAGAAAGAGAAGGTACTATGATGGTATTTGCATACTACTGGGTGTTGCTGAGGGAGAAGACTGAAAAGTCACGCGAGCGGTGTTGCTCATGTTTTGCCATAAGGGCTTAAACATACCAAGAGAAGGACCTCGACCTGAACGGTCTATTAGCAGTAGTATGAAATAGGCAATTATTACCTGATGAAATAACTGAGCGATCGTGAACAAGCTAGCCGTGACTGGACGTGGATGTGAACTAGACCGTTGACCGACAAGTCAGGGTCTCTTCCGACGAGCTCCATGTCTCCTTCATTAAATTCCAGGTCATGTCAGAAGATGGCGTCTAAAACAGATTGTCCTCGTTGGTCTTTATTGTCATCGGGAGAGGCGTCTACAGTCAGGCCTCCTCTACTTGCAATCCCTCCTAAGCACATCCATATTTATTGCAAGTTTCGTCGCTTTGTTTGTTGACAAGCAACTCTGTTACTCGAGAGTTTTTGCTTAGTGACATCATTGATGCATGCAGAACCCTATTGTCCAAAGCCTCGGATTCAGTCACAAATCTTATATCTGCAAGTAGTCGAGTGGGTGCATAAAGTGCCCGGTTCGGTGTGTCGGTAGTTACATGTGATATCGTCCTTCTGGAGACCAAAGGAATATGTGGAAATTATGCAAACCGTAGTTTGCATCGCAAGAGGCGCTGCACAGCGGCTAGGCGATGTATCAATCCAATATCACGATTACATCTGTTAGTAAAAGCTACCTGCCCCACCAGCTTTTCACGAACAACACTAACAGATACTATCCTATCCTATCCAACCCGCCCTGCAACCCCCTGTCTTGACGAACCCGATTCAAACGACACTGGACCCTTGCCGCAAACCACCAATTCCACTCCTTTTTTCTACATTTCTCTACCAGGACACTCTTTAACGATACTTCACCTCCGAACTCGACAGTTACCCCGTTTTCGCCACTTGGACCCCGCGCTCTTGCGCTTTTACGAGTCGCCAACGGATTTTTGTAATCCGGGTTTGGAAACGGTGTAATTTGGTCTTCGATCATCAAGAATGAATTTGGATTTGGCAACGGGAGGTGATGGCCGTCCGCGGCTTCGAGATGGCATAGACAACGATTCTGCGGAAATAAATTAAAGAGACATCATGCGAGATGGTGCCGATACACATATCCAAAGAGAAACAGGAAACTTGGGTGAGAAAACTGGGTTCTTCGCCATGATCCGAGGCGTTCGGACAGGGAACGGTGCCCCCCATCGTTCGAAGTGATGCTCCGGAGTCGACATTTTGGAATTACAAAAATGCACGGATTTATGCCCGCTGCGCTTCACCGGATAGACTACATGGCAGAATTAACTTCAACGGAAAGGTTCGACAATAAAACCGGGTTCTTCGCCATGAACGAGGCGCCTGTTTAGTCTACCGTGACCTAGGCCTATCATTCGATATTCATGCTCTGTAGCCGACATTTCGACACGAACTTGGCACGAAAAATACTCCAGAGCTTTGCAACGCGTCCGGAAATGCAAGCATCGGAGCCCGGGCACGTGTCGCTAATGTCGAAGCCTGGAAGAAGAGACAGAAAGAGCACCGATGATGCCGATGATATGATACTACCGGGCTGATTCCTGACTAGAGCATGTTGACGCCGGTGATACTATGCATATATGCCGGTGGACAGACTCCGGAGGCCAGAAAACCTGGAAAACATCAACATGTCCGAAGCCAGCAGCCCAGCACCGGCCGAGGCGGAGGGGGAACAATTCAGCCAAAACGTGAAGAGACAACTATATAATGAACCTCTTCTCTCCTCCAAATGGGTACCTCCTCTTTTCTTCTCGCCTTCTTCCCCCATCCGCACTTCTCATCTCGAACAAGCCACCATCTGCAACAACAATAACGCTCATCTACCGCAGCTACATCTATCTATCTATCTTCGCTATCCTGCTCTCTAAGGAACGCAAACCCATCACTAAGACACAATGTCGACTTCGACCGAGGAACGACAGGCAACCATCAACCTACCTTTCCCAAATCTTAGGAGACCACAGGGGCCAATCACGCCGCCCGTTACTCCCTCGCCCCCGGCGGCTACTACCACAAACGAGCCGTTGTCTCCGGCCGTAAGTATTCCCTCCATCTCTTTCGCATCTCACCAAATTCAATGGCAATTTCAACTTCCCTAAAAACTCGGGCATCATCTTCTGCAATTTTTTGTCCCCCACTTACATCTGATCCGTGTTGCTTCAACCCCATCAATAACCATCATCTCGACCACCGAAGCCTTCATACCTACTCTGTCCGCTCACCAACAAACAAGCCCTTTAGTCAGAAACAAGCACCATCCGCCTCCCCAACCGCCATCGCGACGTACACCCCAAAAGAGCCATCCGTCACCCCTCGCGCCCCTCGCGCCCCTCGCTCCGCCTGCGTTTCAAGTGCGGCGATGACAACAAATTGACTTGCGACCGGCTCGACATCAACGGGGACCCTCTCCCAAAGCTGCGCAAGCACTGGGAGCAGGAGCAGGAGCGGGAGCGTGAAGCTGCTGCTACTGCTGCTGCTCAGGATTCATTGGTGCCTTCGCCGGCCGTTGTGGTCCCAACGACGCCCACACGGAGATTTTCTACCCGAGTCCGAGACCGACGACTGAGACCGATGAGGTCGAATGGGGCAAGGAGATGATTAAGAACGGGGATGGCTGTTGCATCCCACTCCTCCTTTCGTGGACGATTAGTGAGGAAGAGACGGAGGAAATGGACGGAGGATTACTTAGAGGGGATTCTTGGATGTACTAATTGGGAAAAGTTTGGGTTTGTGGGTTTTTGCCCCCGCAAACACGCACAAAGGTTTTGGCAGACGCGAGTTACGGAGGACGGGTTTGGGAATCTTGGATAAAGCGGAACGTGCACGGATTGGATAGAGGTACCTCTACACTGGGAGAGCACGGAATGGAAGTGACGCCCAAGAAGGAGGGACAGGGCGTCAATAAACACCTGACTCCGACAGCTGGAAAAGCAATAAACACCGCTTCAACTCGTGACTTTTTGATTCATGTTAATGTGATATTTGCAACTACTGTCGTTCTTCTCAGTGTCTTCGCTCAACGTCCATCTTACCCTCCGTCGACTAGATGCTAATGGCTGGTAGGTACCTACTACAGACAAGAAACAGTCCGAAACAACGATCCAAGTAGGTAGACAAGGGCGGTGGGCCCAGTTGGCTGGCCATCAGGATTGTATCCGTGAAAAAAAAAAGAAAGAAAACGCCTAGCACAAAACATCAATTCGTCCCCAGTGACAGACAATGTATCCATCATGTCCATTATATCCGTCTTATCCATCCTGTCAACAAATCCCGCATCCGCTTTCTGTACGCTCGAAAAAAAAATTTAAAGGCTTGTCTCGGAGCAGAAGAAAAAGAAAATATAAAAAAAGTCGTACACGACAGACGGGGAAAGACATGCTTCTTTTTCTCAGTCCGGTGATCAAGTTGTCGCCCCAACAAGACCTCCATTATCAACTGTCAATTGTAACTGCCCCATGTTCAAAATATGACGCGGCAACAAGTCCGCCGCCACTAAGGGCAACAACACCAGCAAACCCCAACATCATCAACATCAACAACAACATCATTATCCCCATCAACATCAACAACATCATTATCCCCATCAACATCAACAACATCATTATCCCCATCAACATCAACATTCCTAGTTGTACCAACAACATCACGAATAACAACTCGAACGTAGAGATTCTTGGCGTTGTGTTTGTCTCTGGCCCCTTGGGATCATCAGCTTTGAGAGGCATTTTGGATCTGATGTTGCCGATGTAGTAGTTTCTTGATGGAGAAGTTAGTTGAGCCCCAGGGTTGGGTAGTAGGGAGGTTTTGGAGGTTGAAGTACTCAACTACTGGAGACAGATTCGATGATGGGTTTCGATGATGTGATGGATAGTTTGGATGCTGTTGCTGCTCAAGGTAGCAAGGTAGCAATGTTCAGAGAAGAAGTATGTGGGAGAGGGATAGGTGAGAGACGAGACCAAAAGTTGTTACCTTCGATGGAAGTTGTCTGAAGCTAAGTACGGTTCTGGGATATGGCGGATGTGTCTGAGGAGAGAAGAAAAAGAATGTAGAGAATGGGTGGGCGTTCATCATGGCTGCCATCATAGTGCAAGTCATGCCCAGGGGCAGTCATGTGGAAGTCGTGGCCCACCCTGATAGATCTTGCTGTTCCCTTTTCATTCCTGGCGGGGTTTCTCGTCCTCTCTCCCAGATGCTCTTTCTGTGAGCATCCAACCAGAAATATGCCCCACCCTTTGCCTTGTTGTTTTCGTCTACACAGAGAGTCCCGCACACGAAGACCCACGCGACGGCAAAGAGATCGAAAATCAATAAAGCAACTTGTGCATATGAAAGACTACTAAAGACGCAGTCCCCAACGTTACGACACCTCCAGTGAGTGCAAATACACCTACCCTCTGGCAATGGGAAGGGCGCTCAAGCAATGAGCCCGTTGTCACACACCACAATATTCAGCTTTTCCATGTCGACAAAGCTGTATCACGCATGTCTTGTCTCCGCGACAGGCTGAGCATACCAGACTCGAATAGTACTCCCAGAAAGTTCAATGAATGAACGTCCAGAGCAAAACGACGAACGCAACCGACGTTGCTCAAAGTAGAATAGAGGAAATGAAAGCGGAAGCAAAATAAATATGAAGAAAAAGCAAAAAGCTCGGCTGCCCAAGCCTGGAGTTGAATCCGAGACCAGCTGCAACCTACGAAAATACCACGCGTTTTCTGCCCCAGCACACTCCCACGTAAGCTACTGGAGGTGTTGGAAGGTCTGGACTCTAGAGCTTATATGGTCTCAGTGAAGGTCCTGTCGCTGGAAAGCTGGGGCTCGCGTGCTCGTGTGTTGGAACTTTCGGTTCACATATCAATGGAAAGTGTCGCGAGAACTCCACTAACGCTAAGTGGAACATTCTCTTGTTCGACGCAACACATCTTTCACCTTCGTCGCACCTGCTCCCATCCGCCCAGACACTCGGGCAAGCTTGCCACGCTCCTCCCAACAGACGGATTCTTCCATGTGTTTCCTTGCAGATGACAGAGACAGCGCGCGAGGGATTGAGTGCTGCAAAAACTCGGCGCACATGGAATCCAGGCCTGCAAAGCTACCTCATGACTCCGCTACACACCAGACTGCAAGGTATGTCGGTCTGGTACCTGCAGCATGTAAGGCAAGGTCACTGCCACAAACTTTCCGATTCTTCAGAAAATTCCCAATGTCCTGATTGTGAAGCAGGTGCGCAAAATACTGACTTCTCGTATATGATCTCGATAGGTAAGGTATGTGGTCAGTTTGGGATGTTCTCAACTGCCTGCAGACCTGGATCCCGGATGTCTCGAGTTTCTACGTCCACTCGTTGGCCCTAACCGCAACCATCAACCTCTGGATCGGAACGTCGTCACAGAGAGAGGACTTCGAGGGAGCGTGATTAATTCACTTGTAGGTGACAATCATGGCAGAGGGAGCCTGGTTGACGGGCCGATGCTCAATACCGATAACCTGGAAGCCGGGCTCTACACCCAAGAAGGCATTGCATGAGCAGCATGCATGTAGGAGGGTTTCGGTTTTGGCATGTGCTCTGGGGCTTGGAACAGACGGGAAAGAGGAGGGGACCGACAGGACTGAGAAACAGGCTTAAAAAGGAGACTTTCCAACAGCCAGACCACAATCACATCAACCACAACCACACGAACCACAACCACACCGAACACACCAACCACCATAATCACGACACAGCCCTCTGGGGGTTACGCAACTAGGAACTCACAGCGGAGGCAAATCCTGGGGTCGGCACGGGCGTGCAACACATCGTCGGCAACGTTGCCAAGTTCAGCGACAAAGGCAGCTTCAGTCCACCACGAAGACAGTAACAGCTATACTCTCTTGACCAAAATCATCGACGCGAGTATCAGCATCCACGAATCCACCTCCTCCTCCTTCTAGGTCATAGCCCAGACGACTAGAACATGAACTGTCACTTCTACCTTCAATCTTCAGCCAACCGCACACTCGCGGCCTGCCGTTTCATAATGTCCCGACCTCTGAATTAGATGTCCGAATCTGTTCACACTATCCATAAGATCACTGGCTCGAAGACCTCTACCGGCACTTTCGTTCTTTCGTTCATCGCCATGCATTGAACCACGACCACCATGAATTGAATCATCCCCTGTATTCGATTCGAGATCCCACACACTCTCCTTCCAGCACATAATCAGCATTGGCTTGAAGCGCACGAAGCCATCCTCTCAATCCTTTTGCCAAGGAATACCCGACATTATTGGATAATGAGACCGCAACATCCGTTACCAAGAACCAGCGGAGTCCTTCAACGATCCAACCAAAAGAGAAACAGAACAACCTTATTAGAGATACAATTTGTACTCGCATTCTTTCAACACCGGTCTAAGAGCCACTCACGTCTTCGTCGGGCATAATCAACATGCCTGACCACAACAACCTTCGCTCAGCCCAGCTGGCCCCCTCGGCCAGGCTGAACCCCCAATCCGAGCTACTGCCCGCGGCCAAGGTATTCCCCGCGACCCAGATGCGCACCTTACCCCCCGCCTTCCTTCCAGTTTCCGTCCAACAACCAGTAGTCCTCCCAGAAAACCGACCCAAGTTCATCCCCATTCACCAATACCCCACGCAACCACCCACTCCACGAGCCACACCCGCCATAAACACAGCCCGGGTCATAAACGAGTCCGTAGCCCAGCTGATCACTCAGTGTGAACGAACCGAAGGCTCTTTGCTTGCCCAAATCTCCTACGTCGCACTTCATGGCATCATCGCCAACGAGGGTCAACAAGCTCAAGACCTAGAGCAAGTGATATTTTGGATCAACGACTTCGTCCTAGGAGCCAAGCATCGGTTCGATGAGATCCGGGCTCTTGTGGTGTCGGGCCTTTGTGCTGCCGTGAATAACTCAAACGGCAACGCCAAGGCCTCAGCCAAAAACCTGTGTGCCCAATCATTTCAACATATGAAGAAACTCTACCTGTCCCTCTTAGAACGCTTAATCATGGGCCTTCTCAAAATCTTGGTCCCTTTGTTCACCTTCCACAAGGACATGGACACCACAGAAGCGTTGCTGATGCTTCGCATTGAGGGGTGTAAGCGGGGATGGATCCCCTTCCTGACGGAGGTGTTGAGGGTTGGAAAGGATGGGGCCGCGTGCGAGTATCTTCGCACCCATGCTCAGAACCGGGGGTTGTGGAATTTTTGGAGTTTGGTGGTGACGGGGAATCGGTGGGCAATTGATGCAATTGCGGATGCGAGGAGTATCGATAACGGGCTTAGCACCTCTAGCATAAAGGTTTATTTGATGCCTATGGGGTGGGATGGGAAGAGGTGGGAAGGGTTGATGTCTGAGGTCACCAACCAGAAGCTTGCGTGGTTTCCTGAACGTGGTGTCTATTGGATGATCTGGGAAATGGAGATGCTAATGAGGTTTCTTTCACCGGCAAGTGGAGGAAGTGGAAGTCGAAGTAGCCAGCATCCGGGTGGCTGCAACAACAACCACAGCAACAGCAACCACAGCAACATCCACCCTCCTCCTTGGTCCAACCCTCCTCCTTGGTCCAACTCGTATCAGATGAACCCCATGGCGAACGCTGGCAACTACGGCCAACAACCGCAGCAGTATGTAAATGGCTATGGGTATGCGTACGCTTCGCCTCCGGGCCCACCGCCGAACGGGTACAACCCCCCTCCCTCTCCGGCCGATGGCTACGGCGGTTCAAGTGGATGTAGATGTGGATGTGGTGCCAAATACGGATGTGGACGTGCAAGTGGAAGTGGAAGTCGGAAACGACCTCGAGAGGATGCGTACGCTCCGCCTCAAGGATCGCCGCTGAACCCGAACAGGTGCAAACCCCCTCACGCTCCGCCCGATCGCTACGACGGCCCAAGTGAAAACGGAAGTGGACGTCGGAAAAGGCAACGAAGATAGAGCCAGAAACGAACGTGTATTGGAAATACGTCGACTGGAGGCGGAGAAGAAGAAGCATTGGGATCAGGGACCGCCGCCGAACGTGTAAAAGCCCTCTCCAATCGACAGTTATGACAGCCGAGGAGGAAGTCGAAAACGACAGCAACCCAGGATGGAGGATACATGTATCAGTGACTGGGCGCTTTCATGGTGGTTACGGCGTGATATGATATGACGCGGGGATCTTGGATAAGACAGCGTCTTCTTCAAGAGCATATCGCGAGACACGCAAATAATCTGACATTGTTGATAAATAACTAAGGATGAAGAAGAAAGAGGAAGCTTCCGTCTCAGCATTGAAGTTCCATCAAGCCGGACCGTCCCGTTCCAAGTCCAAGTACTCGGATCCTTCATCGTCACGAGCACAGCCTACAACCATTGCCGGTCTTTCATCTGATGATGATAATGAGGATCCGATAATGAAGAGGATGGAGATTCATCTGGTCACGAGTTCGGATACGACCATACCACGGATTCGGAACCGGATTTTGAGCGCAAGCTTGAGCGCATAGCTTATGGGAGCCGCACTAGATGTTGAGATGGAATGATGCACATGTTCTTTTCCTTGCCCATCCAGATTGTCGGGCCTGTCTTTGTTTACATGTTCTGGTTTTGGCTTCTAGATTGCGTTGCTTTTCATCTTATTCACATTAACCCCCAAAACAATGTTTCGTCTTATCTTTCTTACTTCTTTTCGACTCTGGGGCTGAGTCTTCTTCAAAGGGGGGGGGGGGGGGGGGGGGGGGGAATGTCATGGCATGGCCAGACATGTGCCAGAAGGTTGCCAGTCACATGGACCTTTTGGTCTTCCATCCCATCTGTCACTGCATATAAGGCTGTTTGTTATCCCTTCCTTCCAATGTAGACTACCTAGCTTCCTCTTTCTTCGTCATCTTTAGTTATTTATCAACAACGTCAGATTATTTGCGTGTCTCGACCGCTAGATCCACGTGCGTGACACTGCAAGCTGAAACGAATTGGCGTTTATTATGTACACCCAACCCTGCTCAGATTACTAGTATACAGACCAAAGACATAGTCTGACTTAAGTTAGCTGATTATATATCAACTGTTGCACCCAGCATCCCGCCTTTGATCTGAATAGGTAGCAACTGCCTTTGAGCATTTGAGTCTTTGAGCGTTTGACTCGACAGATCCTGCAACACGCATTTATTTACCTATGCTGTTCTCATCGTTGATTCAGAGGTATACAATCTACCACCAACCTAAGACTCGTCAACAACGAAAACGTAAAAGTCACCGTCCAGACCCTCTCCCGGCCGAGTGTCCACACCTTCAAGTTGCCTTCGCTCATTGGTCGCCAGTATTACTTGTTTATATTCAGTCTTTTGCCCCTGACTACCTTAGAGGTAATTAGGTAATGTCTTGGCGTTGAATCGGCAAGACGACAACAGTGGGGCCGGGAACATGGGAGGATGAGATGGGACGGCACGGCACGGCACGAGATGGGTGGGGATAGACGAGGGCTCTCATTTGGTTCGTTGACTCCAGTGTGTCGTGGGTTACTCAGTTCTTGCATGTGATGTTTCAGTTCTCTCAAGGACTTATTTTATCGGACGGACCTCCAACGAAGCTTGAGCGTTCCAGATTTCGGGCCGGGCTTCTAAGTCTAGGCCTCATCATGATTTCGGTACAGTATTCTACTCTGCAGTAGTATCTGATAGACAGACTTGGATACTTCACCGACCAGGACAGCTTTAGACAAGAACTTGAAGAACGACTACCGAGTTGATCTGGACATTGGGCTTACGCGATGCAGTGTGCCATGTTAACAATGAATTCAAGTTGCTCCTCCTTGAACTTGAGAGCAGGTTAGTTTAGTTTGTGGAAGCTGAAGCTGAAGTGAAGGTACAAGTCTTACGGTGACACTGGACTTCGGTTGGTGAGTTGTAGTTTCTGCCACTGCAGGGCAATCACTTCCCATTCAGTTGATCCGATTCCCTCCTGAGGACACCGCTGCTCAAACACTCCTTCCTTTCATGATCGACGACCAAGCATACCTAGGCTAGGTACTAGGTACTACTTCCATCACGACGGAGCGTAAATCCCCCATGCCTTTTAGGCCGTTCAAGTTCATCGAAGAAGGAAGGAGCCAAGCACCGCATCTGGATGAATGTATCTCTGTTAGTGAGCCTGTTGCTTGACTATGGCAGATTTCATCGCTCTACTACCCCTTCTAACATATATAGAGAGGGAATACCTTGATGAATTGTGTTCTTTCCCATTAGTTCATGCATCAGTTTGGGGATGAGTGTCTTCAATTGAGACTCTCTCGCTGGGGACGGGTGATGAAGCGGCCGGGCATCAAAGATGGACTTCTTTTTCCAAGCGAATTTCGGGTGCATGAACGTAATACCTGCTGACTTCCGCATCCCCCCAAGAACCATTTGGTATCAAATTATGTTGTGTGTTTTTTCTACGAAAGCCAAAGGACAATTACTAAACCAACTATGATTGACACGTATGTTCCTCGAGAGGATCGGCAAACAAAAAGGCAAGGTAACCGTCATCTCCTCTAGGTAAGTAGAGTATACATGAGAAACCCCGAGACCCATGTCATCCATCCATTGTTGCCTTCATGAGCCTACAGTACATTCCACAAGTCTCCAAGCTATGCCTTGACCATTACATAGGTTAGATAGTACTAGGAGAAAGCCACCAACTAGAACACCGCAACGCAAAGGAAAGGAAAAACACACGATCTACTACATGTACGTACTTCCGTATACTGCCACAAGACTTTTTTCTCTTCGAGTGCGCCTTGCTTCCGGATTAAAAACCTCCAGTGACCGCCGGCTTGGCAAGGGGGACTCCATGGCCCGGCGACCGGTGCAATGCCTTCGTGCTGCCCGCTGCACGGCAAACCTCCGTCGGCTTTGATCCCACTGCAGTCCCTGAAAACCCTGCCGTGAATACTCCATCAATTCGGACGAAACAACCTTCTCTCCAACATCTCCTTCCGTCACCGACCCAGTCGCACCTTCCCCCCCTTCTCCCTCTCCCCCACCTTCCCTTCCCACCAACACACGTAGGCCACCCCACCACATCGCCTCACCTCACCCGCCTACCACTTACCAAGTAAACATCATCAACGCCGGGTTCAACAACACCGGCAGCGCAAAATGCGTAACCGCCATGCTAGCCAACGGATACACGCTATACAACTTCTGGATCTTCCACGGGTGGGGGAAGAAGAACCACCCGGCCACAATCAAGCCCGTCATCAAGAAGCAGTACAAGAAAGTGAACTTGAACCTCTTCAAGATGCGAATGATTTCCTGCCCAAAGTGCACTTCCTCGACTTCCTTGGCCGTGGCGCCCCACACCATGTCGATCTCGAAGAAATGACACAAAATGGCTTGCGCGATGTGGATGGAGAGGCCGCCGAGGAAGATGGTGAACATGGGGATCCATTTTAGGTTATCGATGACTGTTTAGGCAGGGGTAAAGAAGGGTTGGTTAGTGGGCGGGGTTTCAAATGAGGAAGGGAATGAAGGAGATGGAAAAGGGGGAGGATAGTGCCGAAAACTTACAGCCGGTAAAGAGGCCCTGCTTATTCGTGCGGTACCGAAGGATGGCGAGCGCACAGTTGCCCAGCGCGGTGAAGACCACGATGATGGCGCAGTAAATGGCAAACGAATCGAGGTAGTACTTGTCGTAGAAACCTTCGAACCAGCCGGTCAGGAAGTAGTTTAGCAGCGACAGGAGCCACGCCGCTCCGATAGCATAGTACGTCCCGATGTAGGCGCAGATGGTCAACTTCTTGGGCAGAGCGATGCTGGAGCCGAGGAACTTGCGGAACAGTGGGGTGAAGGGACCGCGGATGACCCAGAATCGGAAGGGGTGGAACAACAGTTCGTTACACCCGTAGGCGTACTTCTCCCAGCGGGCGAGCTCGTCGTAAACAGTCAAGCTGACGCCTTCTTTGAAGCCTTCGCCGGTGTAGGCGGCGTAGCGGAGGGAGTAGCCAGCGCATTGGAGACGCAGAGCCATATCAAAGTCTTCCGACACGTGTGATTCGGACCAGTATTTCTCGTAGCCATCTTCCTCGTAGCTGGCGGCGTCTTGGAGGGCTTGCCAACGGAGCACGGCGTTGTGGCCGACGAAGGGGCAGACGTCACCGCAGGCGACGGCGTAGGTAATGGCTGTGTAGATCAGGTTGGTGAACCAGGTGACACTGCAAAAAAAAAAAAAAAAAAAATTTGGTCAGCCATTATTTCTCGACGGAACGAGGGAGGTGGAGGATTTGACTTACCCTTTCTCGAAGAACGAATCGGAAACGTTCATGACCCCAGAGGCGAACTGAAGGATAGCCACTTCAGGGCTCTGCTCCATCTCGCTAACAGCGTCCAACAGACAGTCAGACGGAACACGAGTATCCGAGTCAATCAGCAGAATGTAGTCGCCAACACGGATATTGCCTTCAGCCCAAGTTCGGCCTTCGTCCTCGCGGAGTACCTCGTTCAAGCACTGTTGATAGGCGGCTGTTTCGTACTCGTTTGTCCAGTTACCGATACGATTGATTTTGCTCAGCTTTTCCTCGATGCGGTTGCTAGTGTGGAGGGCGTAGTTCATGTTGCTGGCCTTCTTGAACTTGCCACGACGAAGGAACAATGTTTCGCCAGCCTCAAGATTCGGCTTGGGGTTGTGTCCCGGGCGTGCCACCCAGCCGATGTTGTGTTCGTCGTAGAAATCACGGCGTGCTTGGGCTTCTTCCTCGCTGATGAGCTGCATACCGTCGTCGTTGACAAAGATGTTGGCGGTACCGCCTTGCATCTCGTAGGTGCTGATGGCTTGTTTCACAGAAACTACCGTGGGCTTGATGACAGCCGCGAGACCTTCTTTGTACACGGGCATCTGGAAGGTGACATGGGGCAGCGTGTGTTGGTGACGGTCAAGCCTTTGGGGCGGCTTCCCGCTGTAGTATTTGCTGTTATTCT